GCGGCTCCTTTCCGCACTCATACCTCATATGGCAGCCAAGAGAAGACTTTGAAGAATAACAGCGACCGCATTTGCGGCAGGTGAACTTCTTGGCCATGAACGCTGGAAAACAAAATTGCAAAAGTCAACCAAGCCATACGTACAAGTTTTTTATTACTGCTATTATTCATTTCAAACTTTTTTTTTAAATTTATGACTAATTGAATGGAAAAAAAAGACAATTTGGTGATAATAACTTAGCTTAAACAATCAAAAGAGATTAACTTAATATTACATATAAGGTTTTCAGTTGAGATAAAAAAGTCAATGGTACGAGCGGGATTCGAACCCACGATCTTCGGCTTGATACGCCGCTGCTCTACCACCTGAGCTATCGTGACCTCGAACCACTCGGACACCAACCTCCCATCTCAACCACACCTTTTGAATTTCCCCTCCTTTTGGTCAAGCGGACCACGAAACTAGTGAATTACATATAAGATTAAGCATTACTTATGGCTCATAGATCATAACAGGATCCATTGTATAAAGCAAAAATTAATATAATAAATATCCATTGTTAATACAGAAAACAAAATTCTGCTTTGATCAATGGATGTTGAAGTGATAAATCACTGTCATTTTTTGACAAATTAAATTAGTTAAAATATGAAGAGCGCTATAGAATTATGGAAGTCTTAAGTATCTGTCACACTGTTTAATAAACAAAAAGGATATACAGTAGAAATCCATTCCTCTGGGACTTGTCCGGATGATCGAAAGTTCAGATAATCCAAAAATTTGTGATTTTATTAGTATTGTGTCATAAAAACAGAAGAAAAAAAACATACGAAAGTGAACACTTTTATTCATATATCAAGTAATATTTAAAGTAATTGATAGTTTTTATTAGTTTTATTTTTATTTAAGTTCAGACACGTGTTTCTCGGAAAATTTATACGTAAAAAATACCGAAGAAAAATATACGTAACAAAAACATAACTTTTTCAATGGAAGCCAACATAGTAACAACATGAGACAACAATTTATAATCTTTAAAATAGTATACACTTTTTTTATTTATTTTTTATTTTATTAATTTATATATTTTTTAACAACAATGTGCCTATTCGATCGTGTGACTAGTGGAAGGGCGATTTGGTCGCTTTTACAAATTTCGAACGATGAATTAAAAGTCCCATAGTTGAATTATGAATTTTAAAAAATTAATATACATACATTGAGAATTATGAAAAAATTATAAAAAATGTGTGGTGTTTAGTGACCGTTAATTAATGATTATTTGGAGATCATGGGACTATACCACTGTACAATACTATACCAGACCACATCTCACAATCTACAAATAATTTATAAAAAATATTTTAACAAACGGGTCCGGATAATCCCGAAGTCCAGATAAACGGGTTTCCATTGCAATTTACAATTTTTTTTTTTTTTTTTAAGTAAAAGTTAAGCATAACTTCACTAGTTTCGTGGTCTGCTTGACCTAGTTAATATCTTACAGTTAATTAAGGTTTTCAGTTGAGATAAAAAAGTCAATGGCACGCAGGATTCGAACCCACGATCTTCGGCTTGGTATGCCGCGGCTCTACCACTTGAGCTATCGTGACCTTGATCCACTCAGACACTAACTCCCCATCTCAATTCGAAAGGTGTGGTTGCGATAGCTCAAGTGGTAAAGCCGCGGCGTATCAAGCCAAAGATCGTGGGTTTGAATCCCGCGTGCCATTGACTTTTTTATCGCAACTGAAAACCTTAATTAACTGTAAGATGTTAAGTATAACTATTGAGGTGGGTGAGTATGTTATGTATCAAGTATAAGTTGTTATTAATGAAAAGTTCACAAAAACTTAAGTAACAAAAATGTTGAGGACTTTTTTTACCGAGGGAATTTCAACTGTGATGTTACATGAGCAAAAGGCTGCTGGATTCGAACCTGGGACCTTTACCTTACACTGATGGCTGCCGTGTCAACACCTAAACTGTTGTGGCCACAAATCATAACAATTGCTTGATCCATTTATTTAATTTTGAATTTTGAAATGTGTTATTCTTTCCAATCAATTTTTTTTTTTTTTAAGATTTTAAATATCAGTTATCTTCCATAGAAACAATTGTCGTAGAAGTTTTAATTTGTTTTGGCCAGAAATGTTCAGGGATTCAAAGGAAAATCAATTTGAAAAGATTACAGATTTACAAGGTTTATTCGTATTATTTAAAAGAACATGACATTTTGCATTATGTGAATGTATTTGAGGTGGCGGTCCAAACTGGACTTTTGATGAAACTTCCTGTTGCAGATGGTGCAGACATGCATCGGCTCCTTACCGCACTCATAGCGCACGTGCCGCCTAAGAGAGTACTTAGAATTGTACGTCCGCTTGCAAGTCTCGCACATGATTTTCAACTTGTTCTTGGCCTGGCGCAAACGCATCACCCCTGAAATATTAAACATTATGAGCAATTCGAATTTGTTAGAACATAAACATGTTTTTAATTAATTATTATTCACAATTTGATATTTTCGTTTATCAATACTGTTAATTACCACTCACTTCTTTTCCTTCTGACTTGAAGCATTTTTAAGATTTGCCCCGATTATAATTTTTATCTTTCCACTGTTCTGTTTTAAAGATGTATAATAAATTGTTTAACATGAAAAATGAAAGTATATATAAATATTTAAGAAAAGAGTACTTGTCTACAGTTCACCATTTCTCAGATCTTTAATTCACTATTTTCATGGTCCGCTTTACCAATTAATACAAGACAATTAATTGGTCAAGCGGACCACAAAAATAGTGAATTAATGATTTAAAAATGAAGTACACTTCACTAAAACTCTCCGTCGCCATTTCAATTGTCATCGAGAATCCAAACCGATTACATGACATTTGAAAAATGGCAAAAGGAGGGAAAACTCATAAGGTGGGGTTGAGATGGGGAGTTGATGTCCGAGTGGATCAAGGTCACGATAGCTCAGGTGGTAGAGCAGCGGCGTATCTAGCCGAAGGTCGTGGGTTCGAATCTCGTGCCATTAACTTTTTTTCGTATCAACTAAAAACCTTAATTAATTGATTTCTCAGATCATTAATAATTAATAATGAATATTTCATTATTTTGTGTAATGATCTAGTCTGTAAGTTTAATGCAGGTCTGACATCCTTATAAATAAATCTGACAACACGAGAAGCTAAATACTATGCTAAGAACACAAAATAATAATAGAAGTAATAAATCCCAAGCCTGTAAATGGAGGTTTCTTATTCAAATTTGATTTTTTTTTTTTTTAATTGAAAAATTGACCTAATACTTTTACAAGGATCGAATGATTTTACTGAACTATCATCGGAGTAGAAAGGTACAATCAGCCAGAAGGCTGTAGCGCCTGATGAACAAAAAACCCACTTCCTCGTCTCCTTTCATCACTATCACAAGTAAATCAGACCCATGAAAAAAAAAATTTTGTTGACTTTTCTGAATAAACGAGAAGTATGAAAAAGATGTCATGTACTTAAAATTTGTACATTTGCTGTTCTCTTTCTTTCCCTTAGAGCAGTTTGCTTAAAGTCATAAAAAAAATAAAAAAAAACAATAAAACAAACTGAGGCACGCTATTAACCTACATTTTTTTTATTCTATATCAAGGGAACAAATAATAATAAATACTTTTATTATTATATATTAACAAACAAAAAAACAAAAACAAAAAAAAATCTTTATTCCATTCCAGTAATTTAGACAGAATATGTTAAAATTTAAAAAATTTATTCATAATCTTCTACAAAGTTGTGTTTCTTCTTTTGAAAAGAAAAAAACGGGTAGGAAAAACGTTTATAATAATAAATAATCAACATTAAATATTCCCATTGTAAAGATTTATATCATTAATACTGTACACTAGACCTTACAAAATAATAATAATATAAATCAATAAATTACTTATTTGATAGTTACTTATCAACCTGGTCTGCCTATCGTCGTAGATTTCTGTCAGTTCAGACGCATTTCGGCATTTTGACATCATGCCCTGAAAATGGCGAGACGCTTTTGTAACAGAAATCAATCAGCGAGGATAGACGGACCAGGATAATAGGCGACTATCAAACAATAGGTTTATCTCCCAGCAAAAAAGAAATCTCACAAAATAAATTAATTATAAGATAATAGGAAGAACAAAAAAAGGAAACTTATTGAACTATGTAACAAGTAGTACATGCTATCTGCAGTCAGCCAATTTTTATTTAGAAAAACAAATAACAGTGCATAACTATGTACTGTTTAAAATAAAATCTGATAGAAGCACATCTGGAGGCAGAAGTAAAACAAATCAGTCATAAATTCTGTAAGTCTTCAGCATGACTAAGGCTACAACTTTCATTATTAACAGCAATTTTTCTTCCAAAAATTGTTAGAATATTTTATAAGTTTTATCAAGAAAAATATTTAAGACTAAGCATACCTTGAGATTTTAATCATAAATAATGCAATAACTCAAAGTTAAATGTCATTATCCGTTCTTAATTGTTTTATTTTTTATTTATTTTTTTTAAGTGTTAAATTTTGATCATACAAAAATATAAAATTCATTATTTAACTGTAAATTTTCACAATTTGAATTCACAATCCGTAGGCATCGCCAGATATTCAGCTTTGGGTTGAGTCTTGTTTGTAATCAGGTACTTTGGATCTGTGACGCCCATTGCCAACTGGCATTCCGCGGAGCCGTGCACGTGGGAAAAGAAGACGGCACGGGACTTGTACTCCTTTTTGCAATGGCTGCACTGAAACAATTGGCCGCACTCGATTCGCTCGTGGTAACGGAGGATGCTCATGTTTTTAAACTTGCGGCCGCATTTGCAGAAGTAGCGCACTGTCGAGCCGCACTCGCTTTTCTGGTGATAATTGAGGAGACCTTTGGTCTTAAATTTTCGCCCGCAACAACAGAAATAACGGTTCTCGACGCTGATGAATTTTTCTGGTACGACACCTGAAAAACAAAACAAAAACAATTCATTTTAAGACAGCACCTCTTGTAAATTGAGTTGTAGAATTTATAAAATTAATAATATTATGGCACTTAATATCTACTAGATTAAACATTATACTTATTAATTTTTTGTTTGGATTTAATTTTTCTTTTAACCAACATATAATCATAATGAAGAATTTGTTCCCACCTTCCCTAATAATTGGTCCGAGAAACCTGTCTTTGAATGAAAACTTGTGAAAACAAAATAATAGAATAATCTCTGATCTGATTATAATAATAATCATCAATTTATTATAAACTGAAAATAGTCGGCTACAAATTGTTAAGGTTTGTCCTGGGAATTTTCAAAATCGGGCCAGTTATGAATCATGTGCATATGAATTTTCAGTGAGTCGATTCTTGTCAACTTTTTCTGACAGACGGAACATTCGTACTGGTGCCCGCATTCCCATTTTTGATGGTATTTGAGCCGTCCTCTGGTCTTGTATGACTTTCTGCACTCTCTGCAGGTAAATTTTTTCTCTGAAACCATTAAAATCCGTTAGTGCTCAAAAGTTCCAGAAAGACTCTCAGACGGGAAAAGCCATTTTGAAAAATAATATAAAAACAAAAACTTTTGTCTGAATTGAGCTTTATTTTAAAACAAAACGTTATAAAAAATATTTTGATTATAAATTAGTCAGTGGGTGCTTCTCACATGGAACGTCAGACTGGCTTTGCTCTTGTAACTTTTCATACAAACGAGACAAACAAACGTTTTCCCGCAGTCGGTTCTTTTATGGTACTGGAAGTGCTTGTTGTAGTTGAAATTGCGCCCGCAGTCACATTTTAACTTGAACTCTGCTGAAATAAAACCAAAAACAAATTCGATCAGAGAAGACATGAAAAAAGGAAGAAAAACAAACAAAATGGCGTGAATGTACTGTCGATCCGCTACTGTGATATATCGTTTAACTATTGTGAAAAAATGCTGTTGATGTCGACAAATTATCCTTCATTTCTCTAAAAATATGTTCAATATATGAGTAATGACAATCCACAGCATTTCAACACAGGATGTACAAAAAAGTATTCCAAGCAGGTTCAGCCAAAAATATACAATTTTTCAAAGTAAATAAATAATATGCGATTCTTAAGAAAATTCGGCATTCTAAATTTTAAATTTGATATTACATTTTGCAATGGGACGAAACTGAAAAGTGAAGTATTAATATAATATCACATCGCACCTGAGGCCTAACCAGCTAGACCTGAGATCTACGCCCTTGTCCACAGCTTCATATCCATCCAAGGCTCACAAGGCGAGGTCTTAAGACACATCCGTGTCAGCAAGGAACAAGGATCCATCAATGCCTTGTCAAAAAGAACTCGGGGTCCTCCAAAGTCTCGCCATTCAACCGATGCCACTCCTGGCCGAGTGAGATGAGTTTCAGAGCCAGAATCATAATCTGGGTTAGAGCCATACATTGTGACACCCGTCACTAAGTCCTGAGTATGGAGGTTAAACTTCTCGAGGAGGGCCTCCAGCATCCCCTTGAAGACCCCATATTTGTATTTCAGTTCAATAAATGAAAATGATGGTTCAACTCTGATGAAGAGCAATTACAGTTAGAAATCTGGATCACTGCAAAACCAGTTTGTGATTAGAACCATCCTTTTCATTTACTGCTACTGAAAAATGAAAAGAAACTGAAGACTGCAGATTTTTTTTTTTTTTCAAGTTATTCAAACATGTTTTGACATTACATCATCTTCGGTGAAGAACTGTGTTTATGTGTGAGTTACAACAAACCCACGAGTGAAGATGGCACAACACCAAAACGCATTTCAATAACTTAAAAATAAATAAACATGGGTGCAAGTGACCTAGTACTCAGATCAAAATCCATCAACAATTTTTTAAAATAGTAAACTTAGAAGTCTATTGATCTTAGGCCAATTAAAGTCTTTTATCAGGAATATTTAGCATTTTTAACTGAATTAGAAGGGACAGAGTAGTTTTGGATAATATAATTTTTCAGATAATCCATTTCCAATTAAAACCTATAATGCCAGAGCTTCAACAATGACCATATTTTGCTGATCCGTTGAAACGCTGAACACGTTGGGAATTGAGAGTCAAGGCAGACTCTTAGATGTTTCCTGAGGTCGGAAGTTCTTGATTGGAAGAAATTTGCGGACTTGAGCCATTGACTTCGATTCATTGCTTTCTCAACCTACAGTTTTTGCCGACTTCGCATCATACTTTTTTTTTCAACGCCAGTGGTTCTTTTTGTTGTATATACAATTGTAATCAAATCTTTTTAATTTTAATTCCTTTGCCACTATTCTTCGGACAGGGAAAGATCCACAAGAATTAGGCCTTAATTTTGTTTGGTTTGTCAGTAACTCGACATAGTCCGTCATAAATATGGTAGCAGAGCGTGGCTGTGGACCGGATCTAAATCAGAGTTGGGCAAAATCTAAGAATTTTAATTGAAGTTTAATCATGATTGAATTAGTCATGAGTAAACTTCAATAAAAATTCTTAATCATGATTGAATTAGTTAGATTTTGCCCAACTCTGGCTACAACGACCAACTTACCAAAATCCAACAGACTTCAGATAAAAATTTTGAGATGAGAGCCGTTCTCAAGGCCAACCTTCAAAAAGTGTTATCATAAACGAAAACCAAATTTACATAAATATTCTACATGTCTATTTTATTACAATCAAGACCCCTAGATAATGTATTTTCCAAATAATGTAAAAATCTCTCCTTTCAAGTGGAATAAATTTTAATTCAAAGAAATATTTTTTTACGTTGATCGGTTATTTAAACATATTTACTTTTCAAAGCATAGCTTGTTTTAGGATTTTTTTTATTTTATTTTATTATTATTATCATTATTTTTTGGCTTTTCATTGCGACATTACTTATAATTGGATGATTGATTTTTGTTAAATAAGGTGTTGAAGGGTTTTGATGAAATAAATTTCTGTTAGAAATTTTTTTAAAAGCGATGAAGTGTATTTTTCATTTTTTGACATGATTTATCGAAATTTAGTCATGACTAACTATATTGTGACTAATGACTAAATTAGTCACTTACTACCAATCATGACTAACGGTCTGAGTGATCAATCGTTAATCATTAGACATGACTAATTTTTTCCCAACACTGAGCAAAATCTAGGCTCCGCTTCAATGTTGTGCATGCCATTTTACACTGGCCAACACAACAAAAAAAAGCACTATTAAAAAAAAAAATTAAGCTCAATCCGAAACTGGGCGAGCACTCATTCCAAAATGCGGCTCCTGGCCTGGTTTTCCCCGATGGAAAATACTTTTCCGGTTTTTTCTTGTTTTGGCCTCGCACCTCATATCTTCTTCTTACTCACTCTTTTGTTTTTTTCCCTTCTGTTTTTATTTTACTTTTTTTTTACAAAACTCAAGCTTTCAAAATATTAATTATTCAAAAAACAATCATTTAAACAAATAAATATTTAAAAAATCTAATAAGGAAAAGTTTGTAAAATAACAAAAAAGAAATAAGGCGAGCTCTATTATTTAAAATTCACATTCAAGAACCAAGCTATATTGATTAATAAATTACAGAAATGTACTTACTCGTTCAACTCCATGAACTCGCCGAGTCTTCACCTTCTCCACAATTGAGCCATTGACTTCGATTCATCGCTTTCCCAACCTCCAGGTTTTGTCATCTTCGCATCATACTTTTTTTTCAATGCCATTGGGTCTTTTTTTTTAAATTAATGAATGTGTTTGGCTATTTCTTTCTTATTTAAAAATAATGTTCTGAAGCACAGAAGAGCTGCTATTCTTTTGTTGTTGTTCTTTTTTATATTTTAATTAAAGTCCTTTTTTTATATATAATTGTAATCAAATCTTTTTATTTTTAATTTATTTGCCACTATTCTTCGGACGGGGAAAGATCCACAAGAATTAGGTCTTAATTTTGTTCGGTTTGTAAGTAACACGACATAGTCCGTCATAAACCAAACAATCTATGTATTTTACATACAAATATGCATACTACACCACTGAAACGTAAAACAGAGAAAAGGTGCTTCATTAATTTTTTTCATGATTAGCTAGCTTCATCATTTCGCGATTCAGACTTTACAACTGTATTCATTAAGTTTAGATTTAGGTTTTACCACATTGTTGATCTCTCAACACCATAATTAGCGGCTATATTTGGCAATAACACACAATTCTCACACACCATTTTTTTTTACCAAAATCGTTTTGGTTCGGGTTTTGGTTAAGCTGAGTTCATTTATGGTATAATCGTACATTTTTCACATGAATTCCTTTTTAAAAAGAATTTCGTTTTTATAAGCTCTCTCATAAAAACCGATTTCTGGGTGATTGTGGTCAAGCCTCGCTTTTACCACTTGTAGATTATCGGTGGCAAATATTGCTGCTTTGCATCGTGAAGCGCGACCGTGACACCTAGGAAGAGAAATATGTATTAGAAAGATTTTTTTTCCCCTATTTATTTTTAACTTGCACAATGCTGTCTCACCTCCAATGGTTTGTCCCATTGGATAATTTGTGTGACAATGAGAACCTGTAGTTGTTCACGATTAATATCTGCCTTCCCCGAGACCCAAGGACACATCGCATATAAATATCTGTAAAAAATACTTCATTCAATTAAACACACAATTAATCAATTATTCAAATCGAGAGAACGTATATTTTAAAAGTTTTGTACACACTTTAAAAAAAAAATCAAATGAAGGCATTGAAACCTTACAGGCTTTATATTTTTTTGATTCAAAAACAACCATGTGTTTAATTGGAGAGTTGAAAATATAGAACAATAATTATTCTACTCCATAAGATGTCTTTAAACCATAAAATAAAAGGATAAATTGTTAAAATGGGAATTTTTATTAGCCTAGAGAACAAATTTTACAACATTTGCAACAAAAAATATTAGAGTTTGTTGTGTCTGAAGCTAATTTCTTGCTATCTTTCACCAGAAGGTCTTTGTAGCATACGTCACACATTTCTTAGATTTGTACTGTCAGCGTTTCCTTGGCGAAATTTGCACTTAAAAAAAAAGTTTATTGGTCTTTTCCCAATTTGTGCACGGAGCTCTGGTGGACACGGAGAGACTGTTTTGAGCAGTAGTCCTTGTTGCAAATCTTGCAATGGAACTTGATGCCACACTCGTACTTCTTGTGATGGTTCAGTGAGTGAATGTAACCATACTTCCGTCCGCAAGTGCACCAGTAGAACGATTTCTCACCTAAACAGAAAATTATTAAATGGAGAATGGTAAAAGAAAAATTGCCAGTCGGACATTTTCAATGTGAAATGTAAACAGCAGAGATCATCTTAAAAAAAAAAACAAGAAACATAGGCTACAAAAATTAATGGGATAATGATTCAACTACTAATTTTATTTTCAAAATCCTTCCTTTTTTTCCAATTAGACCTTGTGTGTAAAATACAAGTGTAGATTATAATTTCTTTTTGATTTGTACTGTTTGCCGCATAGCTCGCAGAAGTAAGACTTGCCGCACTCGTGATTCTGATGATACGTGAGATTTTTCTTGTGCGAAAAGCATCGACCACAGCTGCATTTATATTTCAAGGCACCTGAAAACATTTGAATATTTAAGTGCATATTTTAATTACGAATCGTTTTCTTTTGTTCTCGTTCTCGCTGCGTAACTGAAAAATCATAATGTACAATCGAATTAACTATTTCCAAGTTTATAAATTGTAAACAATCAGATCCTTCCATTACAATCAGATCAAATTACTTCATATTTAATAGTAAATACTATTGGAACAATTTATTTCTTGCTAAGTACCATTATTATGAATTATTCTACAAGAATTTGCCGATGAACTTTTCATAATTCAGCAATATTTATAATCCATATTTGTAAGTAGTCATAATTGGCTGTATTAATTATTTTAATTAATTATACTTTTTTATCTAAGGTCTTGGTTGAGATTAAAAAAAACCCAGTGTCATAAGCAGGAGCTGAACCCACAACCGTTCATCCCACTTGTGACACTGGTTTTTTTTCCATCTCAACCAAGACCTTAGATTAAAAAAAAGTATAATTAATTAAAATATTCATAATGTTAATACATTTTATGTATACATACATAAATTCAGCATAATTCACCATGTTCTTAATGACAGGAACTTTTTCATATTCATTTCAGACCGATGTACAATTAGAACGTATAGGACAGAATAGAACAACGTCAGTGAAGATCATCACTGACCATCCAATCAATGTAATATTTATTATTCAAATCGTGTCGTACAGTGGGAATTCGATTCAGGGTAACAAAACTGATTCAGATGTAAAATAAAACAGATTTACTGAACAAAAAAGTTCATTTAAGACAACAAAAATTTCATAATTTCATTTGTAATTCACAACAAATCCTAAACTGTCAAACAATCTGGTTAACACGTGTTTTGTTTACAGTACCAGAAGGTATATTTTGAGAACAGAGAATACCTAAGCGCATTTTTAATTTGTTTGATTTATTGATATAGCTGGTTTTTTTTTTTTAAATTAAATAAATAAACATGAAAACATTTCCAACAAATTGATAACAATTTAAAATATATACATTTTTTTAGGGGGTGGGGAATATTATATATTCTTACAATTGAAACGAAAATATTAGTCATGATCAAAATTGTTATTTCTAGAATCATTTTGTCAATAAATAATCCAATTAAAGTTATAAACAGCATTGAGAGCACTGCCAGATTACTCTCTCAACTTTTAACTTTGTAGAAAAAAAAATATAGATACACATTTGTATCTGTGTTTTACTATCTATAACTATTTAAAAAAAAAAATTGTTACAAATGTATTACTTACAAAGATTTCCTTAAATTACTATAAGTGTATTTTCTAAATGAAGCGATTAGAAATATGTATATTTTTGTGAATTTTCAAGCTCAGTTTTGTCTTGTAGACACGACCGCAGAATTCACAGGTGAAGACTATGCCGCATTCTTTTTTCTTGTGATGCTGATAGTGCCGCCGGTGGGAGTAGTTCCTCCCGCAGACGCACTGGAATCTGTACTTTCGCCCTTCAAAAATAAAAAAAGATTAGATATTGCCGCTGGCGGGAGGAATTCGCGGGGGCTTTGTAAAGGTCTCAGGCATAAAGTCCCTTGAAGGTAAAGTATATTTATTGACTAGGTATTGACACTATGGTGGACGGTGGCTAGGTGGGCGATGAGGGTCTGCTTCGCTTTGTATTTCTTGGTACAAATGTGGCATTTGAAATCTACCCCGCATTCCGACTTGCGGTGATAGCGGAAGTGGTTCTTGTGTGAGAAGTTCCTCCCGCATTCGCACTTGTATTTATACTGCTGTCGCCAACCTGAAACAAAAGTTGCTTTACTTATCTGGCCACAACTTGCGATCGTGTTTCAGGGAGGTGGAATAAAAGCAATGGTCGGTATCAAACAATTTATTCCAATCAGAAAACATTTAATAAAAATCAGTATAAAACTTTCTGGTGCACTGTGAAGCAGTGCGTCTTCAGGGCCGTTTTCGATTTGTAGCTCTTTCCGCAAACCTCACACTTAAATTCTACGCCACATTCTATTTTCTGATGCGATTTAAGATTGTGCAAGTAGCTGAATTTTCTCCCACACGAACATATGTGCCACGTTTTCTCCCCTGAAAGTAAAACAGTGTTAGAAACAGATTTTGACGGTATACACAGAAACATCTTACCGATTAAAAGGTGAAAGTAAGTAAAAAAATCTCAACTTTCACAGAAAACCACGTTTTAAGCATACACAAATCATTTATAACTTGGGATTTATTTATTTAAATGACATCAACTTTAATGTATTGATCACTTTAGATGATCATTACTTTTCACAGTTGGTTAAAAACTTGCTAAAGATTGAGGATAATGTTACGAAGAAGTATTACTTCCTTAAGACTTACAATATGAACAATGGAAGCAGCTGTGATGAAAATTTGAGGAAAGTTTTATGATTAATATTTCTTTTTTTATTATATAGTAAATGTTTTAAACAAGGCTATAGTAAAAGATTTTTATCTTTTTATTAATTTATGATTTTTATAAGAAAAACTTTTTAAAAGTTGTTTAAAAGAAAAACCATGTGGTTTTGTATATCTTTTTTTTTTTTTTAAATTGGAAATTTTAGGATTTATACCCATCTTCAGCAACTTATTCCTTTTTGGTAATTTTACATTATTTTGAGTATAATGATTTAAAACAATTTTGCATATACCAGAGGCCGCATGGTCAAAACCTGTCGGTCAAACTGTCCACTGTCAACAGTTAAAAACTATTTCTTTTTGTGTTGTAACAACCATTTTCTTAACTATCATTAATCTATATCAAAACATATTTTTACCAGGAAAAAAGGACAGGTTTCCTCGATAAAGATTTTGAATTAAACAAAATTTAAAAAAAAGAAAATTTTTCTTTAATTTCAATAAACTCACAGTCATTCTTTACAACATAATTCTTCCACCAGCGTTTATTATTAACAAAAATGGTTAACATTTCAAGAGAAATTTTTATTTTGCAGACAGTGTAAGAACGAGTGTTTTCTAAAACCGTATTTCGTCTTTACAACTTTTCCGCACTGTTCACACTTGAAGATCCTGCCGCATTCAGTCTTCTTGTGGTGGTTCAGGTTAGCGATATAGCTGAATTTTCTTCCACACTGGCAATTATAGGGTTTCTCTGTTGAAATGCAAACAAACCGTCAGTAATTAAGCATAACTAAACAGAAAGAAAAAAAATATTTACAAAAAGATCATTTATACGTCCTTTCATTTCGGGTGTCATACTGTGCGTTACCTTGTGCCGCCTGTAGCCAGATTTGGAAAACATTATCTTTCTGCAAATCCCACAGGCGAATCTTTTTCCACATTCTGACCTTTGATGGTACCTCAGGTCTTTTAAATAGCTGAACTTACGACCACAGTTGCACCCGTGTGCAAAATCTGTAAATCAAAATAACCATTTTATATATACAAAAAATAAATAATCAAAATACCAATACAGAGAAGAAATAGTGGATTAGAATCAACAGTTGAAAAATCTTAATAGAACCTGAATTTTTTTTTTGGAGAAACTGATACATACCATGAACAGTAGTATATTAATTTATCTTTCTTACTCTCTACAGGGTTTAATTTGAAATGTTTTGAAAAACAATTAATTAAGGTTTTTAGTTGAGATGAAAAAAAGTTAATGGCACGAGAGGGATTCGAACCCACGACTTTCGGCTTGATACGCCGCTGCTCTACCACCTGAGCTATCGTGACCTCGATCCACTCGGACATCAACCCCACATTATGAGTTTTCCCTCCTTTCGCCATTTTCCAAGTTTTGAAAAACGTTCGCGAAAATGAATATAGAAGCTGGAAGACAAACGTATGCGTGTCATCAATGATTTTCTCAACCCAAACTTGTACGACACCGATCATGCACACGTGAACTCCAGTCAGTTTTTATTTATACCTCTGTAAAAAGTGAGATCATGCCAGGGAAGAATAAAAACGATTTTTTTAAACCAAAATTTCTTTAATTTTATATCTATTTTTTACAAGAAATATTTCTAGTTCTAGGGAAAACGTAGCTATGCGCGATGGTCATGTGCTTCCGGTATCCGTCCCTGGATGAGAACTCCTTTTCACAGAAGTTGCACTTGAACTTAAGACCGCATTCCTCTCTCACGTGGAATGAAAGGTGGTACGAGTGAGAGAACTTTCTTCCACACAAGCATCTCAACCATTTCTTTATTTCTAAAAGCAATACGGTATAAATATTTGTTTAAAAAAAACAGCGATGTTGGTTTTCATAAGAACATTGTTTACAGCTAAAAAAATTTTAATATGAAATTTTTTTATTATACATCAGTCTAACATCAAACATAATTTTACATACCTACTAATAATCTCAAATTATAAAAAATAATAAAAAGTATACAAAAACTGCGAGTTCAGGTATCCATCAATTATTTTATGTATAATATAGATGGGGAAAAATACAATTCATAAAATCTTTATAAATATTTTAATTAAATCATGATATAACATTACATATATTACTGTATTAGAATAGGATACATTACTGAGATTTTCTTTCTTGCAAGGTGAGGTACCTGTAATATGATCGTTACTGACGATTTCATTCTATCTCGGCTGGATTGGCCTGAAGACTTGATTTAACAAAAACCACTAAGACCAAACATCGATAATGATAAAATGATAAAACACGTCTTACAGACAGACCCAGCGAGGAAAGTCCGACCAAAATGGTCAATAAAGGCTAAATCACATGAAGTTTTATGTTTAAAGTTAGGTAATCGTTTTAAAATTTTCTTTCTTTGAAAAAAAAATGTTCAATTGCACTTCGAATTTTCTTAAAACTGGGTTGACCGGTTGGACAGATAAAGTAAGAAACAGCTTCTTTGAATAAATATAAATTTAAGTGTGATTCCTCACATCCAACATGAAAAAATATTTTGAAAAATATAATTTTTATGTATATGCGGACTGCCAGATCTCAGTCAAATAAATTATTCATTATTAATCAACTGAGCAAAAGACAAAGTTCATAGGAGTGACCATCTTACAATAATTCACAAGATATAATATCAAGTTAAACAACAATAAACAATAGTTTTAGTTGGATATTAAATGAAGAAGTGATACAGACATCAGGTGCATCAGTGCAAAATAAGATTTCAAGGGCTGGGCTGCGTAAAAAAGAATATTTCAGACAAAATCCAAAAATTTATTAGTCATTAAAAAAAAACAACAGAAATATAAGAACGAGATGGTTTAAAAAGTAAGCGTTAAGAAAAAGGAAACCATAACATACATAAACAGCTAATGTCAAAATTTGTGCTGCTTACGCGCGTGGAACTTGAGGCTGCTCTTTGTCGTGTACACCCTCAGGCACATTTTGCACATGTACTCCCTTCCGCACTCTTTCCTGTGGTAGCGGAGGTGCTTCTCTTGTGAAAACCTTCGGCCACAGTCGCAGGGATGGCGCAGCTGTCCCCTCGACTCGCACTCCACCTTCTTGTGATATCTGAGGTGTTTCAGCTGGTAGAATCTGAGACCGCAGTTAGGACAGAGAACGTATTCTTTATTGCCATCTGTTAGAAGAAAAAAAACAGAAGGGCGATTAAAGTTTAAAAAATTCTGAAATTAATCAGTTCCAAATCAATTAGAAAGGATTCTCCTTCCTCACGACCGAATTAAATCAAAATACTATATTTTTCATAATTGATTTTATTTTAAATACATTTATCCATCAATAACAGCTAAAAATATATATGTGTACATTTCTACAGATACAAGCTGATCTTGGCATAGTGACTTTTGAAGCTTGATATCAGCTAAAAATGAAAAATAACATTGAACTCCTCAAAACGTTTGTGTGTACAGGTGTGCAAGTGTTTAATATTGAATAAATCATCTTTGTTTAAAAATTACCCAAAACTCTTTTCCTTTCCCATTGTTTTCCGCTAGTACAGAGAAATTAAATTATCAATTTGCAAGTTACGCCTATCCCAATCATGGTAATAATAGAAAATGTTTCCAAATTATTAATTAAAGAGGATATTCTGCCGATTAAGAATTGAGATAGTTTACAATTTATAAAATGGGATCGAATTTATTTCAAATATTGTATAGGGTTGTAGTTGTGAAGGTTTTTAAAGTGCAATTTGAAACCCTTCATCGTCTTGAAGTTCTTCTGGCACTCTTCGCAACGAAGGTTTCTCCCGCATTCGATTTTTCGGTGGTACTTGAGCTCGGCCATAAGAGAGAAGCTTCTACCACACTGGCATTTGAGTTTCTTCCTAGCCGGCTTATCTAGAAAAAAAAAAGTTGCACTTAATTAACACATTTTCTCCCTCTTTTAGAAATACTTTTACAAATAACTTAATAAAATTAAAATAAATAAATAAACGTTGCCTGTTAAAGAGGAAACTTCTTATTGTTGGTCGATGTTCACGATTCTGGAAATATCACTGCCAAAAAATGGTACACATTGAAAAATAAAAACGCCTGATTATCGAGATTATTGTGTCAAGTAAACGAATGTTCAAAAGAATTTAAGAGCATGAAATAATAATCTAAGTAAGTACGGTTATTGTGTATCAGAGGTATTTTGAAAATTAAATTGGAAAACCACAAAAGCCAGGGATTTTTTTTTAATATATTTTATTTTTATTTATTTATTTTTTTATAAAGTATTATTTATTATTTACAACATCAAAACATTACAAGTACAACAGAAGGCATAAGAAAGACTTTTGTAGATAAAGATTTGCAGTCAGATTTTGATACATGTTTTGTGATGCAGGAGGATATGCGTCGTATATCCCTTTTTCGACCGAAATATCTTGAAGCAAGTGGGACATATGAAATCAAGTCCACACTCGGTTTTTTTATGCTGGTTCAAATTCTTCTTGTAGCTGAACTTCCTTCCACAGCTGCACACCAGTTTACCTGCATAAAAAAAATTATTAGAAACATAAATCACTGTTTCTGTACATATTTTGAGGAACTAATAAAATATAAGAGTCATAAGTCATACGATGTTTTTGTATTTGTAGTTTTTGAAATTTTACTATTATTAACTTTCATTTTAATTAAAGAAGAGATAGATCAGATGAGGGCAAAGGTTGATCTATTCTTTATTTAAATTGTAATGAGTTGATATTATTATTTAACGTGTTAATAATTAGTTAATTATTATTTGGAGATCGTGAGATACAGACTGGTGTGATGTGTGTTTAGAAAAACATTTTCTGTCATGTGCCAACGTTTCGATCTTTATTGAGATCATCTTCAGAACCTGGGATTTATAAAAATTGTTTAAATTTGACAAATACATGCAGGATGTGAAAAAATGACTGTACAATGATAGAAATTTTAGATTCAAAGTATTTGTACTCACTCAGAGTGTTTTTCGTATAGATGTGTCATTCTCGTGTGTCGTGTTGAGAGTGCCAACGAAATATTGATGTTTTCTGTTTATAAACGTTGGATTTGGGGTGGGGAGGGAAGTTGGGACAGAAAACATTTCTTATATGAGGAGTTGGCTTCTTTGAGGTGAAAGGAACCGACAATGGGAAAATGGGATAATTAGAGATCCTCGTCTATAATCCTAATCAGGCTGAACCATTACCCATTTTTTCCCATTGTAGGCTCCTTTCACTTCAAAGAAGCCGACTCCTCATATAAGAAATGTTTTCTGTCCCAACTTCCCTCCCCACTTCTTTCAAAATCCAACGTATATAAACAAAACATCAATAACTCACTGGCATTCTCAACACATTTACACAGAAAACAAACACTCCGAATGAGTACAAATACTTTGAATCTAAAATTTCGATCATTGTATAAATTCATTTTTTCACATCTTACATGTATTTGTAAAATTTAAACTGTGTTTATAAATCCCAGGGAATGAAGATGATCTCTATGAAGATCGAAACGTTGGCACGATAAAGAAAATATTTTTCTAAACCTACGTCACACCAGACCGCAGCTCACTATCAAAAAATAATTATTTAACTTTCATTTTATTCATAGAAAAAAAAAATTAAAGATGAGATGATGTACCGACCTGTTGTTGAACAACTTGGAAAAAAGGATTTTCGATGAGGTCACAACAGAACGGCAAGTCTTTAAGTTATTGCCGAGCTTTCTACGATTATCGTCATCATCAGTGATTTAACTCGATGAGTGTCGAAATATTCGAAATATATCTTGAGAACAGGAAACTGCTTTTATAATAAGATTACTTAAGTCGTTGTTTATCCTCTGAAGAGTAAACATCGGTTATCTACTTGATCCCTTGTATTTCAAGAAGTATTATATTCAGTTCATTTATATACTGCAAATAATTTTTATTTTTCTCAACTCTTCATATTACTCCTTCGATCTCGTTTTATTTTATTAGTTCATCCTTCATGATGGAGGCCCCCGGCCAAAATACCTTGTATAAATACGAAAATGAAATGGTGTAAGTTTCTTGTCATGACTTGAGAACATGAAAAAATCTCTTTCAAAAATTTCAGTCCCTTTAAGGTTCGCAAATTTTTGAAAAGCTACGCACCTAAAGCCTCTATGAAATTCCTTCGAGACGGATCTGCTTTACTTGATATCAACTGTGAAAATGATTATCGAAACATCCAAAGTATTAGAACTTATGAAAATTTCAAAGTGAATTTTACCTTGCATCGTTCATTGAACTTCTCCAAAGGTGTCGCATACATTCCTGAATTAAAGAACTGTCCAGAATCAGAAATCCTGTCTGAACTCGAGTCTCAAGGAGTATCCAGAGTTCACAGGGTCACGAAAACTGAAAATGGCAGAACAATTCCCACTCCCACACATTGGACAACACTCATTTCGAAGAATGGTTACATCACTCAAACAGCGAGGAACAGACGAAATCTGCTGTAGATGGATAGAATCAATGCTAAAAAGCAGGAAAGTGCTGGTCTCCATGTTCCTCGAAAAAGTAGAAGCAGTCGTGGCGAGGGGGTGTCCACAGGGAGGAATACTCTCGCCTCTGCTGTGGAATGTGGTAGTGGACAGCCTCATATGCGAACTATATGAAAGTGGAATTTATACCCAAGGCTATGCAGATGACATTGTCATACTAGTCAGGGGAAAATTCAACTCAACATTAAAAGAGCTCACCCAAAGAGCACTAAACCTGGTGGAACAATGGTGCTTAAAACGGGGACTTAAAGTAAACCCCTCAAAAACCACCATAATTGCTTTCACCAAGAAAACAAATATAGAAATACAAGGATTACGCTTCTATAATGAAATGCTGCTTTTAAAAAATGAGGTCAAATATCTAGGAATAATCTTTGACAAGAAACTAACCTGGAATCCTCACCTGCAACATACAGTAGCAAAAAGTAAAATATCGCTAATGACCACAAGAAGGACCTTAGGCAAATCCTGGGGACTAAAACCGAAAATAGCCTATTGGCTATATACGGCAGTAATAAGACCCAGAACTAACACATGGATCACTAATCTGGTGGAACAAAGCTCAACAAAAAGTGGCTACCCAAACATTAGGCAGCTTACATGACAAAAAAATCCTCATAAGATCAGACAGCCAAGCAGCTATTAAAGCATTGGCATGTAAAAGAATTACATCAAAACTAGTCAGTGAATGTATCAAAAATCTCCAAAACCTGGGAAAACACAACAACCTGATGATATCTTGGGTGCCAGGGCACAGGGGAATTCTGGGTAACGAAGAAGCAGACAAACTGGCCAGAGGAGGATCTGCAAGACCGTACATAGGCCCCGAACCTATCCTTGGGATAAGAAAAACAAACATAGAATCCTCCATCGCAGAATGGATCCAAACAAAACAAAGAGAGAAGTGGATAAACTCTAGCAGTGCTAGACATAGTAAACTTATGATGAAACAACCCCCAAAATTGGCAAAAACACTGCTACAATTGGAGAGGGCAAAACTCAGAGGAGTGGAGGGGCTACTAACCGGTCACTAGTATCTGAGAAAACATCTACACAACATGGATATATACAATGATGATCCCATTTGCAGATTATGTAATGAGGAGGAGGAAACAGCCACTCATATTATCTTCGAATGCGAAGCAACAGCTCAATGGAGGTTTAACCTCGAGGTACGAAAAAGACTCAGGGAACCAAATTGCAGCAATAACAATCAATGACCTGATACTTCTGAGAAGAAGGATTGAGTCTATTGACTAAACTAGGGAACTGGGAAGGTACAATAAGCCAGAAGACTGCAGTGCCTGGGGAATACAAACCTCGCTTCCAGCGTCCCTTCCACCATACCATACCAACCATGAAACTACTAACTGCCCCAATGACCCTCATTGCATAAATTGCTCTGGACCACACCCAGCCTATAATCGACAATGCCCCACACATATCATTGAAAAAAAAAATTGAAAACATCCGTCAAAGCGAAAAAGTGTCCTTTATATAGGCTGAAAACTTGTACAAACAACGCTCCTCTCCTCAGGATCGACTACTGACATATGCACAAGCAGCTATGCTCCAAATAACTCTCAACCCTCTTCCTCCTGTTCCCAACCAGCTACCTTCCAATCTACCTCTGTTATACCACAACCCTCATCACCTTCCTCCGCCACAAATAGTACAATTGAATCCTTAGTTAACGAAGTCTCCAAGCTTACAAAACTAGTTCATTTCCTTACAAACCAGGTTCTGACATCTCAACAACTTCAACCATCACCCCACGTCAATCCTCCCCAGAAAAAACTCATCGTATCTGTACCCTCCAATCACAATAGCAATATATCTGACTCAACGTATACTCCATCGAACAATACAACTATCCAAAAGTCAAATCACTTGAAAAACTCCAACCTAAATCTAGATAGAATTAGTGTCAAACGTCCTGCTTCTCAAGGTTCAAACTCATCCTCCACTACTAATCATAAACAAGCTTCCAAACTTACCAAAACAAATGCAAAAACTTAATATCACAACTGTAATTAAATAAGTGAATTCTGAGCTCTAAATTTCAACGTAACATTTATGTGCAACAAATATAACCTCCATAAGCTAAAACTTTCTCATGAACATTCTTCAATGGAACATAAATGGTCTAAATTATCGTCGAAATGAACTGCTTTACTTAATGAATGAATTAAACTGTCATGTTGCCTGCTCAAGAAACTCATCTTAAAATTAATGATAACTTCTCAATTCCGTTCGAAAAGGTTATACCAATGGTCTAGTTGCCAGTGGAGGAGTATGCATACTAATTAAAAATGATATTCCTCACAAACCATTGTACTTTACAACACAGTTACAAGCGGTAGCAATCAGATTACTCTCCCCCAAACCACTTACGATCTGCACTATCTACCTGACTCAAAAACTCTTCCTACACGACCTTGAAGACCTATTCCATCAACTTCCACCACCATTAATACTTCTAGGAGACTTCAATGCGCACAACTTTTTTTGGAACGGAGATCATATCGATAAAAATGGCAAAAATCTCGAGGCCTTCATCGACAAATATCAACTGAATATTCTAAACTTGGAAGCCCCACTCATTTTTGTGCTCGCTCAGGAAAACTCTCTATAATTGATCTCAGTATTATTAGTCTCGCTTTAACTGGTACACCTTAAACGATCTTCATGGAAGTGATCACTTTCCAATCCTAATTAAATCAAACCTCCATATCCCTTTGCATTCCCCTCCAAAACGCTGGCAACTTCATAAAGCTGACTGGACGAAATATCAAAATAATGTTCATCTTAACGATCTTGACCTAAACGAATCCAATATCGAATCCAAAACCACTCATGGTCAAATATTCTTTTAAAGGTCAACCGACGCCAATTAAGGAATTTTGGTCCACTGTCAGAAGGATTATGGGTCATGGTTCTTCCCCTCCGGTATCCGCCCTCCAAAATGGAAACAATATAACCACAGATCCTAAGATGATAGCTGAATTGCTTGCTAAAACTCAATACGAAACATCAGCATCCTCCAACTTCTCCTCTGATTTTATTTTAATTAAAACTGCAAAAGAAGCTACCCCTTTACTTTCTGATAACAATCAACATGATGACCCGCTGAATCTGCCTCGTACTTTTGATGAATTTACTCATCTTCTAGGAAAGATACCACTCTTGGACCCGATGACCTATGCATTGGGATGATCAAAAACCTGTCGCACTTCCAAAAGCTCACCATCTTAAACATTTTCAATCAAAATTTTCTCGAGGAAAAATCCCCCTCTGTATGGTCAAAAGCCATAAATATTCCAATTATTAAAAAGAATAAATCTCCTCTTTTAGCCTCGAGCTATCAACATATATCCCTGACGTCTTCCTTGAGTAAATTACTTGAAAAAATTATATCAAGACTCAATTGGTATCTTGAGTTGCACCTTTTACAACCCCCATTTCAGAGCGGCTTCCGAAAGAAACAAAGCAAAACAGACAACCTTGTGTTTTTGGACTCATACATCATGAATGCATTTTATCAGAAAGAAAAAGTTCAAAAATGCTTTTGACAGAACATGGCATCGACTGATTCTTGATACTCTGGCAAGCCTTGGAATCACAGGACACATTATACAATTTATAACTAACTTTCTAAAGAATAGAACCTTTCAAGTTCGATGCGGCAGTACCCTATCAACTATTTCCCCACAAGAAAATGGTGTCCCGCAAGGATGTGTTCTTAGTTCTACACTTTTTTGTATCTGCATCAACCAACTTCTCAAAAAAATAAATATCCAAACTATGCTGTATGCCAACGATCTAGTTATCTTCTATAAGCATAAATATTTAGAAGAGAAATAAAATATTTCTCCATTAGAAGAACAAATTCAATCAGTGATATCTCTGGTAAACGGGCTTCAAAATATCAGAAAGAAAAACAGTCGCTATTCTTTTTGCCAAGAAGCAACCTCATCATATTCCTGTACTCAAATTAAATAACAAAAATATTCACGCAGACTCCGTACGTTACCTAGGCTTAATTTTTGATAAACACTTGAATTGGAAACTTCACCTCAAAACAATAAAACAGACATGCCTTTCATCATTAAATCTATATCCTTTACTGTGTTCCACAAATTGGGGAGCTGATAGAAACAGCTTACACAAGCTTTACAAAACACTAATCCGATCCAAAATAGAATATGGCTGTATTGCCTATGGCTCTGCCAGTGAAAAGACCCTAGAAATAATAAACACTGTTCAAAACGCGGCGCTGAGAATGGCGATAGGTGCTTTCCGTACCAGCCCCATAAACAGCATGTTGACGCGGGCGAACTACCCCTAAAATTTCGGCGACGCGTGATAGACCTTTCGTTCTTTGGCAAAGTAATTTCCCATCCTCAACATCCACTTCGTTCTCTCTTTCCCAGTAATCGAACCCTTCCTAATTTTCCAAACTGGCACATCCCACGGTTTTCTTTTCCACTAAGAATTCTAATAAACCTTCAAGACTTAAAGATCAAAGTACCATGTATCCAAAAACAACAAGCATCGCCTATCCCTCCTTGGACTCTTCCATCCCCTGTACTCTCCCTGCAGCTTTCCGTCTTTAACAAAGATAATACTCCCCCAATTTTATACCGTCAAGAATTCTCCAAATTTTTGTCCCGTTACCCACTTGCCGATTTTATATATACCGACGGATCTAAATCCGATGAAGGTGTGGAATTCTTGATCAAGAATGCTCCAACTTTTCTGCCGAGCTTGTCACCATTCTTAAAGCCATCACTATCGATCAAACATATTTTTTCTTACAATCCGAGCATCCAAGATATCCTTTACAAACTAAAAGAACTCTCCACTCAAAATGTTAAAGTTATTTTCATGTGGATCCCAAGTCACGTTGGCATCCAAGGGAACGAAAAAGCCGATCGGTTAGCTAAAGAATCAATTTCGTGTGGAATTCCCTATACAAAAGTTCCCTACAAGGATTTCTGCACACATATCAAAAACATCATTTGGAAAGAATGGGAGCGTGAGTGGAATAGACAACGCACTACAAATAAACTTTTCCAAATTAAAAAAGAAGTTAAACATTGGCAATCCTCAATTCGAACCACTAGGAAACAACAAACAGTACCAGACTAAGGATTGGACACACCCACCTTACCCATGGCTACCTACTCGAACATAAAAATACACCAATATGCTACACCTGTCAAACACCAGTCACAATTGAACATATCCTACTGAACTGTCGACGTTATGCTCCTCTCCGCACATCACACCACTTCCCAAACAACATATCCAAATTATTTAGTGATCAATCCCCATATTTAGACGCTGTCTTTGATTTCCTGCCACAGGCAGGCTTAATTGGTGAAATATAAATTGTACTTCTTGAACATGTGAAAAAAAAAAAAAAAAAAAAAAGGGGGTTATTTAAAATTAGAGGAAGCTCAGTATCTCGGTTAAAATATAAATATAAGAACGTTTTTTAAATAAAATTACTTTTTTTCTCAGGTACATTAGAGCATCACAGTTAAGATTAATTAACCTTTTTTTTAAATTGTACTATATATAGATAACTTAAATTAAAGTTTAATTTGTTATCTATATATAGTACAATTTAAAAAAGCTTAATTAATATTAACTATGATGTTCTAATGTACCTGAGAAAANTATACGTACATGCCTCTTTTTTTAATAAAATTACTTTTTTTTCTCAGGTACATTAGAACATCTTAGTTAAGATTAATTAAGCTTTTTTAAATTGTACTATATATAGATAACTTAAATTAAACTTTAATTTAAGTTATCTATATATAGTACAATTTAAAAAAAGGTTAAATAATCTTAAATGTGATGCTCTAATGTACCTGAGAAAAAAAGTAATTTTATTAAAATAAAAAAAATAAAAATAAAAAAGGCATGTATTTATATTTATATTTTAACCGAGATACTGAGATTCATCTAATTTTAAATAATCTTATTATAAAAGCAGTTTCTTGTTCTCAAGATATATTTCGACACTCATCGAGTTAATGACGATATAATCGTCGAAAGCTCGGCAAAAACTTAAAGAATTGTCGTTCTGTCCTTTTTTCTAAGTTGTTAAAAAAAAAAATTATAAAGAAAAACTGTAGGAAAGAGACATTTTGTCAGTCACAGCAGTGAGATCTCTTTATTTTTATTTTGCAGAGGTCATATCAACCCTCGGGGTGTCGGCATTAAAAAAATCCCGATTTTAAATGCAGGGCCGCTGGATTCGAACCCGGGACCTCTATCTTACAGTGAAGAGCACCATATCAACGCCTTAACCATGGTGGCACCAATGCCCCTAATGCCTTTAATTGTTCTTTAAACCAAACAACCATTAGAGTTATTTGTCAGAACAAACACTAAAAATACAGAAGTTGAGAAAAGAATGCATTAATAACGTATGTACAAATATTATAAATAAATTGAGGGGTTTTCATTTTTTTTTTTTTTTTTCCACTTCGCATGTTTTGTATAAGGTGATAATATCATACTTAATGTACAATTACATATAACTTTACAACTCAAATAGATTAAAAATTCTGATCATTACTTTTTTGAAAATGAGTGGTGCGATACTTTTTAAGGCAATACACTATCACCTCTGTTTGATAGAAGGTGTCGTCTTATAGTTGAACTTATCATTTTATTTTCTAAAAATGGAAAATTTTTATAATTTAAATATTTGAATTTGTACAGAATTTTATTTGTTTATGTTTATGAATGGGACTGCGGTAACTGAGTGGTCAGCGTGAGAGACTCTTGGCTCGTAGACCACACGGTTGTGGGTTCGATTCCCACTGTTATAATCGGCCTTTTTTTCACCACCCCCCAACTATATATGATGAAATAATCAACGGAATCATACTCCTGCTAATATGCAACCTCATAATGCCATTAAAACAAAAAACAAACTTGAAATTTATGTCTAAAATTAAAAAAAAAACACAAATATATAAAATTTCTTTTATGTTATCATATCCACACTATACATATGCATGTATACATATTCCGAGTAGTAAAACGTACTAAGGCACAAATGTGTAGTCCTTTAAAAGGACATTCTTTACCGTACCTGCCTTCAAATGCTGAGAACTGTAATACACAGTTTTGCTCAAATTTTTTTTACCAAGTTTGTGATTTACTTTTTGGAAAAGATAGTTCTATTAGACAGACTGTTTTATGCATCTATCTGGATTTCGAGCATACTCATCATCAGGCAGAAGATTACAAACCACCAGAACATTTCAATAGGTTGTAATTTGTTTTTGAAAACCAAACAACGGTATAATTTTATTTATTCAAGAGATGAAACATAATATAGTGTGCTTTGTAACCCTTGTAGGATTTGAACTTTTTCTTGCAAGTATCACATGTAAGGTTGAGCCCACATTCGGTCTTCTTGTGATGATTATAATGCGATTTGTATAAAAAAGACCGGCCACAGCTACAATTGATCCTTTCACCTGCACAAAAGAACCGCACAATCGTTAAAGTATCAGTAAAAAAAATTTCTGGCTGTTGGCAAAATGGCCATTCATTTTTGTAATTCACATAAGTTTTGACATTCGTATACATCAGGAAATATCTGCCCCGATTATGCACCTCACTCAGGCATGACAAAAGCCGCCATGTAAAAATACAGACTTTATTTCGAATTTATTACATAATTAAAGAATGCCCTCTCTTGCAGTGGAGCTGATAGCCTTTCCAAGATTTGAAAGATTTTCCGCATTCGTCACACCTCAGGTCGAGCCCACATTCGATCTTCTTGTGGTGTTTCAAATCGTACAGATGCCTGAAATTCCTCCCGCAGTGGCATTTGATCCATTCCGAGCCTGCGGAATTTTATTTCCCTGATTAATAATCTTGTTTAACCCTGAGTCGAAGTCAGGAAAAAGGATGAAAACAATAATAAGAGATGGAAACGACAACAAAAACAAACAAAATATTTTAATTTACTTTTAATATAAATACGACGTACAAGTTTTCCTTCTTCTTAATAAGTCTGATGACGAGTGCTTCTAAAACTGATGAATTTAAGGGAGTCAAGGCAAGATCTTCATCCTGTGAGCTGACGCCGAGTGGATCTTCTGCCCTTGTTTTGACCTGAACGACTTGCCGCAGGTCGAGCATCTAAAATCAATTCCGCATTCTGTCTTCTTGTGGTGCTTCAGATGGTAATCATGCGTGAACTTCCTCCCACACACGCACACGTGCTTTAGCTTACCTTGAAAAGCAAAGCGAAAAACATTAAAAATCAAAGGAACTGTCTGAGGTGGAATGAGACAATTTTGGGCAAAAACACTTGCGAATAATGACCAATGGGCAGACCCATTCTGAAACATTAAAATGTATATACATATGAGTACATAAAAACATGTATATCATGTGACATATACAAAACGAACAAAAATCACATCAAATTTACAATAATTTTTTTTATTTTCAATGCAAATAACAACACCCAGCACATGAAGAGATTATTATTATATTATGCCTGATATTTTTTAAAATCAGTCTTTTTAACTTTCAAATCCTTCTGCCCTTTGTTCCAAGGATGCAATATTTGTTTAAAAAAAAAAAAAAAAAAAAAAAAAAAAAAGTTCAAACCTTGTCCTTCTTGGTTTTTACCCCATAGCATTTACATTAAAAATAATGAATAAATTAATGAATGAATTGAATAAATTATTAAGGCAGTTTTCCGTGGGCGGAAAATGCATGTATTTTAGCAGCCTTCTTTGATTTGAAATGCTTCTTACAGTCGTCGCACTTGAAAATGATCCCGCATTCGAATTTCTTGTGGTGTTTCATATGGTAATCGTGTGTGAACTTCCTCCCGCAAACACATACGTGCTTTAATTTACCTTTAAAAGTAAAAGTCAAAATTAAATATGGAACATATTCAAGAGAAAAATAAACGACAAGATTAAAACATTAATTAACGATTACATATTTTGACTAATTAATATATCACAATTAATTAAGGTTTTTAGTTGAGATAAAAAAGTCGATGGTGCAAGCGGGATTCGAACCCACGATCTTCGGTCCGAGTGGATCGAGGTCATGATAGCTCACGTGGTAGAGCAGCGGCGTATCAAGCCGAAGATCGTGAGTTCGAACCCCGCTCGTGCCATTGACTTTTTTATCTCAACTAAAAACCTTAATTAATTGTGATTGTTTCTTATGTTCTACTTAATTAGAAATGAAAAAGACTGGGGATCAATGTGAATAAAACTAATCAAGTATTTATTTACACAGTAAAATACATTTGTACAGAGTAAAATTCCAAAATAAAAGTAGTTAAAATTTATTTGAATTCAAGTTCCACCTAGATGAAGAAAAGGTGAAACATGACTTCATTGAACAAACAGTAAAACGGCTATGACGGTTGTCCGTGGAGGGTAAAATTATGTACTTTCAGAGACTGTTTGTACTTGAAATTCTTTGGGCAGTGTTCACACTGGAAAATTATTCCGCATTCCGTCTTTTTGTGGTGCTTCAGATGGTAACCGTGCGTGAACTTTCTCCCACAGCCACAGATATGCTTTAGTTTACCTTTAAAAGCAAAATTAAAAAGTTAATACAGAATTGATTTCCAATTATCAAAGAGAAAAAAATTGAAAACACTCCTGTGGTTTGAATCACAAAATAACAACTACCTTGGTTGTTTAACTAGTTGTTTATAAGAGAAGTAACTACATAAAAAATACCAAAGCTGAAAACTTAAAGTTCTAAAAAAATAAGTCATAGTACCAACAAAATACAAATGTCGGAATGTAAATTGTTTCTTTTTAAGATCAGTTTGGTTCAAGAGTTCTCATAGCGGTTGGTGAACTTTTGAAAATTATGTTGGTCTAAAATTTTGATCACTACAGGGTGCATCTACTATCGCTGGTTTACCTTTGATTGAAATGGATTTGCTTCACACCATCTTCAATGAGGAACTGTGTTTCATCGTCTCTTAAGTCATTAATTACTATGCAATTATGGGTAGGAGTGCTTTTGGGCATTTCCTCATGAATTTGGTGTGAAGCCGAAACACATTTGAATGAAACCAGTGAGAGTAGGCGGACCCACTAAAGTGATCAAGTGCTGAACAGTTCATGTTCACTAACTTGCAAACCAGACTTCTTAAAATTATTCTAAAACTGCATTATTAAAAATGCTCTTGTGTCTTACTGTATTGTCTTGTCCTTTATCACGGCACGTCTTGAATTGTTACATCGATTGTTTCCAGTGGATGGAAAATGTGTGTATTTTAACGGCCTTCTTTGATTTAAAATCCTTCTTACAGTGGACGCACTGGAAAGTGATTCCGCATTCTGTCTTTTTATGATGCCTCAGATGGCGTTCGTGAGTGAACTTCCTTCCGCACATGCAGGCGTGCTTTAGCTTTCCTTTAAAAACAAAAGAAAAAACTAAAATCAAATGAAATGTGAAAAAATAAGCAGGTAGATAATATTCTCGACATCAACACCTCGACCTTAAGAGCTAAGAAAACCTTTAATTAATACATAATTAAAACATTTAATTTATGCTAACAGGCCTTAGGGGCCGGATAATATGTCACATTGCAGTCCTGGGTTCAAAAACCAGATTTGACCCTGGGGTTTTCTGTCATTCCATAACCTCTAACATAAGACAAATTATAATACAGAAGAAATGTAATGTAACCGGCAGAGTTGGTGCACTGGTTCGAACAATCTCTCTCTATATTCGCTTGCTTTTCTCTAGAAATAAGAGATTTGTTGGCATAAGCGCCTAGCTGCTTAGTTTTGTGTAGGGGAAGGTCAGGCTTAAGAATTTAATAAATCAAAGAGTATATTCCCAACATTTATTTGAACCCAATTGCACAACCACAGCAAAATCTAAATTGATTTAATAAGTCAGACATAACTCTAAATCTTAGATGAGTCTATCAACAAAGGGACTTACGCCAAATAACGCTCAGCAGCATCTTCTGTGCCTTTCCATATCACAACCATCAACTTGATCTGAAAAGTCGCAATGGCTGGTCCTCACTGGCTGTGGTTTGTGCCCTTGGACGGGACTCACCGATGTGAGCTCCTTGGTATGAGCCCTTGGGCGGGACTCACTGGTGTGAGCTCCTTGGATAAGACTCACTGGTGTGAGCTCCTTGGATAAGACTCACTGGTGTGAGCTCCTTGGATAAGACTCACTGGTTTGAGCTCTTGGACTAGACCATTGGAGTGAGCTCCCTGGACAGGGGACTTCCTGGTTCCTTGGATGAGACTGGTGTGAGCCCTTGGACGAGGGACTTCCTGGTATGAGCCCTTGGACGGGACTCACTGGTGTGAGCTCCTTGGACGAGGGACTCCTTGGTGTGAGCCCTTGGATAAGACTCAATGGTTTGAGCTCTTGGACTGGACTCATTGGTTTGAGCCTTTGGACTAGACCACTGATGTGAGCTCCTTGGACGGGTGGACTCCCTGGGTGAGTGCTTGGACGAGACTCACTGGTTTGAGCCCATGAACTAGACTGACTTTTGATTTACAATTTTATACCAGTTTTCCTACCAGAGTAGGGGTGGAAAGGAAAACAAAATTTAGGGGAGTTCCCGGACCGGCGAAGACAAGTGCCATGCATCCGGTTGACACGACCCCAATTTTCAATAATATTTAAATTATTTAATATATATATTTGTAATATTTTTCCTTTGTGGTAGTAACTCTTTGAGTTTTCCGCAATGCATTCGACTGGGAAGACAAAATCGCCCTTCAACACTCAATTATCTGGGTTCTGCTGAGCCTGCTGTGACCTGTATGGGGATATCTAAATTCCAAGAGGATGGGACAAACATCCAAGGAGTGGATCACATCCTCCCTTCCACTGAGGTTACAAACTCTCTTTCTCGTCATGGAGTGTAGTTAAGAAAAAGCATTTCGCCTCTTAATTTAAAAAACCAGCTCAGCTCCGTAGGCGAAAGTTCTGTATTTTTTGAATTAAGGGACAGCAAGGATCTTCATATAAAAGAACTGTCGAGCCGACCCCACACACTCTTCCCGGTAACATTCGTCCATCCTTTGACATATGACCATCAACTGGGCACAGCATTTATCCCGATCCTGGAAGTTAGAGTTAAAAGGGGTACTTTTCCAGTTCCTTAATGTCCAGAGAGGTAGTTGCAGTACCAGACTAATTTCAACACAGAGAAGATTCCAATTTCATTAATTGGATCGACAATTGGCCGTACCCCATCGTACTGATTACTTAGCCCAACTCCGCCAGCGACATGGCAAGGTTATCACAAAAATAAGTTCGCACTGAAAAATAAGCTGTTTATTACTAAAATCGAACTTTTTTCTTTTACAAAGGTATTTTGGATTTCATGTGACGGTTCATAACGTGTATTTTCAAGTTGGATATCCAATAGCATTTATAATCGCAGAACTGACACGCGATGATCGGTTCTTTGCCGCATTCTCGTCTCTGGTGTCTAGCTCGGTCGTTCTTGTTTTTGTACACTTTGCCACACTCGCAGACGAAACCTTGAAAAAACAAAACAAAATGAAACCTAGAATTATTACAAACACATTTTGTAAAGTTTATTTAAAACAAGGGGCCCAAAGGAAAGTGTTAGATTGTTTAAAGTTAAACATAGAATAAAACAAACATAGAACAAATTTATTGAAGAAAACAAGCAATATAGCCATAAACCTGCACAGTTGCCAAATTCCCTGCTTCAAAGCTCTTGCAGTCGAAGCAGAATGTTTTTCCTGTCTTCCTCGGCATCCCAACCCCTTGATAACATGAAAAACTTTCATAAATCACTATTAAATAGACCACTGGTAAGAGCTCTTGGACGGGGGACTCACTGGTTTTAGCCCCTGAACTGACTTTTGAAGGCAGAAAGGAACATCAAAAGTGAGGTGAGTTCCCATACTGTGGGTGGACCGGCAAAGACAAGTGCCACGCACCTGACCCGACCCCGATTTAGGATGTCCAAAATTGCATAGTATTTTTGCCCTTGTGACAACTAAATAGCTCGCCATTATTTATGTGATCGGCTGTCCAATTATTGCAACTTAACTTAATGTGGCTTCCTATTTATCGGACCATCTGTGCACTTGTTGCATGGCTAAGTACACCTGGTTTGTGAGAACATCAAGTCGCTCTATTTACTGCTTTTTCTGTGAGGTCGTTTTAAATTTTTGTTATGTTTATTTTAACAAATACAAGTTATTCTAAGACGGGGACCTGCTTTTAGTAATAAAAAATATCAAGAAGTTTCGCTGGAAATAGTAAAGCCATGGGAAACATCTTAAAATATTTTATTCAATAATGTACAAATCTCGAAATCAACGAAAAGTACATCTTTTCACAACTTTATTTAACATACAAAATGCGTTCATTTTTAAAAATTTTAAATAGCAATGGTTTTTGTCTTTCATTTTTTTCTTCTCTCTTTCTTTTGACTAAAGTTAACATTTAGAAAAATGTCAACTGTGTACAGGAAAACTTTGGCTGTGATTATTTCCTTATATTTTATTATATACATTTTCCAGGATCATCGTAGCATGAAGTACGTCTTCCTGAGCATTTTTGTTGTCAAAAAAATGCTTCCTTTATAACTCTTCTGTCTATGGAACCGAAACACTTTGGGCGGTGTGTTCTGAGGTTCAGAAAGTATTCATGGGTGAACTCCCTGGTACAAACTTAAAAAAACCAAATGTTTTTGAAAAAGTGTAAAGTTCGTAGAATGGAGCTGGTTGAAAATTTTATTTACAATTTCAATTTTATTTCTAGACATATGAAACATAACTTTGATCAGACGTCTGTTGCCTTTATCTTTGCCCATTCCGTTTAAATGACTTGGGGAAAACAAATCTACGATGGTTTCCCGTGGAGGGAAAATGTGTGTATTTTCAGGGACTTCTTAGATTTGAAATTCTTCGGGCAGTGGTTGCACTGGAAAATGATTCCACACTCTGCCTTTTTGTGGTATTCGAGATTAAATCGATGGGAGAATTTCCTACCGCAGGGGCAAATGTGCTGTAGCTTCTTACCTGGAACTACAAATAAAACTTATTAGTAACGATCAAAATATAGTTTTTATTTATAGGGACAGTTACAAAAAAAAAAGTCACCAGGATGGATTCATTGCTTTGTTTATTATTATTACCTAAATCACAGAAAATAAACATACTTAAAAAAAAAATCGAGGTACTTTGGACTTGGGAATGTTAGTACAACTTGAAAAGTTAAACTTAATCACAGCATGATTAACGTTTTGTTCGAGAATAAATTCTACAAGTATAACTTGTCCGATTTAATAGAAACATGCATCCTGTTGATGTGCTTCGTCAAGTTGGTTTTAATCGAGACCAACTTTGGGCAGAAGGGACACTTGAACTTCCTACCACACTCCTTCTTCAAGTGGTAGTTCCAATGGCCAGAGTGGGAAAAAGTCCTGCCACACTTGCAGAAATGTTTCCCTGTAAAAGATAAGTTGGCAGGGTCAATAAAAAATAGCAAAATGGTTTGGGAAAAACCACCGAACTTACCCATGACTAAACTTTGAGGTAGGAGAATTTCTTAAGACATGTGCCAGTCAGACACCGACCACGCTAACACTTTCACTAACGCAGCAAAAATACTTAGGCATGTTTCTAATTCCTGGAAAGTTGAAAGGATAACACCATGATAGTAAAGCTAGGTTAATTAAGTATCTACCGTCTCATCTCATTGTTTCCAGTTATCCAAAAATTATTCAAAAAAGTTTTGCTAAAAAGACTGAAACCCTTCATTGAAAAAAATAAATAAATAAATAAAAACAATATTATACCAAGCCACCAGTTGGATTCAGAGTCAAGCACTCAACCATATTTGGATTCAGGTACATAGGAACACTGATATTACAGGCAAAACATGTAAGACTGTCCAAGCTAAACAATAAAGCAGATACTATTTGTTTGAAATCAGGCTGGCATACCATGATAGCATCCTAAGCCCTGTGTTGTACAAGTGACATACCACTGATGACCCTCAAAATGTACCCATGCATCAATTAATGGACAGATACTTGAAAGGTCAAAATAAACCACTGGAAATTCGAAAAATAGAAAATTAGCTGACAAACCAATTGTATTCAATGGTAAAATAGTTCCTTCCCAGAATTCAGTAAAATATTTAGACATTACGGTACAAAATAAATAAATAAATTAGAAAGTACATATGAAAAAGAAAAGACAAGAACTTAATTCCAAATATCATCAACTTTATTATTCGCTGGGAAAAAATTACAGGTTACCAATACAAAATAAAATAACGATTTATAATTACATATGAAAACTTATATGGAATGGTACACAAATTTTGAAGTATGCCCAAAAAAAAATACAGAAATAATAAAGTACCAAAATAATACAGACAGTAGATCCTCGAAAAAATGAAATTCACAGAGATCTAAACATCCTGTATGTTGTCACTGAGACCGTACGGTATGCCTATGAGCACCACCTACCTCTTAAAAGCCGCCTCAACACCAGCTACATAATGAACGACTGAAGAGGACAAATTATTTTTAAAAGTGGCAAGGTGAACTAAACTAGACAAAAACTGTGACACTAATGAGTGGAATAAAGTGTATTTATTACAAAATTAGCCATCGTAAAATTAATAGATCGCCTCATTTGACTAATTTTAATAAATAAATTATTAATTAAATAGAATCATATTTATAAACCTAACGGAAAATGAGTAAAACTGATTGAAAACATAAATTTGTTTTTAAAAAATTGTCGAAACTAGTTATTAACCGTCATTGCTTCAAGTTTAAACAATCTTTTTTTATTTCAAATAAAATGTTTAATAATTTTATTAACAACTAATTAACATCATTGTAAAGGTAATAATACTAGAGAGTATGAAAAATATGAAACCGTTTAAAACATAAAAAAATAAAATTTTCGTTGATAAAAAATTTCTTACACAATTTGCAGTACTAACTTTAAACAATTTCAAAGGAGAAAAACCTATCAATGTGATGAAGTGTGTCAGTTTCGGTTAGTAATATTGAAAACGGAAGGATCGGAGGATCAGAGATGATCTGTATTTCAAAACTAAGTATGCCAATCGCTGCGTCCAAGAATAGAAGCAGTTTTGTTCAAGATGTTCGACATTTCGCCTTTTTTTGTTTAAATTTTCTTTTTCAAAAATAAAAGATTCAGGAACGCCTTTATCCCTAGGTCTGGACGTTGTGCGCTGCCATCATGTGGAATTTCAGGTTCTGCTTTGACTTGTAGGACTTTTTGCAGATGGTGCACTTGAAATCGATCCCGCACTCGTTCCGCTTGTGGTAGTTGAACATGGCTAGCTTCTTGTATTTTCGGCCGCATTCACACTTATGCACTCCGTCTGCTGAAGAGGAAAAACAGACTAATGAAACCTCGACTCAGAAAAAGGTGCAACTTAAAAAATAAAAGAAGTACAATAAAATAAAAAACCTTGAATATTTGTTTAAGGTTTACAGTAAGTAGACTGTGGTATGAAATACTCTGAGGTAACCACAAAGCATGATCAGAGAAAACGACAATAGATTGAAGAATAATAACTGAACAAAATTATTTTTTTAAAAATATGAAAGGAATGAAAATTCCCTGTAATAATTCTGTTACATTCCCAAGCCTGGCCACCTCCTTACCAATACAGTATTAAAAGAGTTAATTTTTTAGTGGTTAAACGGTACTAAAAGATATTCAGATTTCAACAAATATTTTTTATTTAAAGTCAACCAGATTGTTGGGGCTTGCAGTCCTCAAGCATCTGACGATTCGGGTGATGTCTTCCACATCCGGTGGACGTTGAGGTTGCTTTTCTTTGAAAGTGAATAAGCACAGAATGGACATGGGGACAACGTAGCCACACCAACTAAGTGAACAGGGCGATTGAAAATTTCAGACTACAAAAAAGATTTCTCGGCCTTTTCAACAAAGAGAACATGCTGTAGTAAATCTTCAATAAAAAACGGGAAACTTATATCTACCGTGATCTTATCATCCGATGCCAAGGAGAACGCATTTGGGTCCTCTTTGATTCACATTTTTGTACGAGTGCAGTTTTATGTTCATCTGTTACAACAGCTATAAGTCAGACAGTAATAGTACAGGGCTGTCATGAACAAGGGGTCAAACCAATTTTAAAATACAGTCAACCCTCCTATAACATGGTGAGTGCGTACCGCATTATATGGAAACCGCGCTATAAGAAACTCGGATTTAATTGTACAAACCAGGCTAATTTGTAGTGTGTTCTATGGAAACCGTCTACCGCGTTGTATGGAAACTGCGCTATAAGAAACTCGGAATTAGTACAAATCACATCATTCGTACCGCGTTATATGGAGACCAATAAATACAAAAGACAAGATAAATTATGAATTATTTTTATTGAATTGAAGAGTTCATATAAGGATTGATAAAAAAAAAATGAAACAAAAACTAAACTAAAAGACTGTTTTCCAACAAAAACAAGAAAGACTTTTGTAAAATTATTTATTTTTCAACACTCATCCTCGCTGTCAGATATGAGTCACCTAACTCATCTTCTTTTAATGGGCAAAATGTCTTCCTCACTTGGTTCTTCTTCACATTGGTTTTCGATCGTAGCTTTTTTTTCTAACTCCACTAAAACCTCTCTATAGGGAGAGCTAAGCAATTTCTTAACTCTCTTTTAAACTTTGCGCTGCGCACCGTTGAACGATCAGTTTGAATGAAATGAAATTCTAATTCTTTAGCCAAATTTAACCCTTTTTTCACATCTTGTAAATCGAGATTTGGCACCCATTCGTTTTCCTTATTTTCGTTTACTAATGCAGTTGAGGAAGGTGCATCAATTAATTCCATCAGTTCTTCCTCATCTAAAGTTTCTTCCCTGAGTACTAGTTCTCTTACATCCTGATGGTTTACTGCAAATTCTTCATCGCTTAAATTCTGTTAAATGGAAACCGCGCTGTAAGAGTACCGCGTTATGGGAGGGCTGTCGCAATTTCAACTCCGCATTATATATAAAACCGCGTTCTGAGAGTACCGCGTTATAGGAGGGTTGACTGTACTTATTTCATACATTCTAAATTGAAAATCTACAAGTTTCGCCGGGATTTGAACCAAGAACTAACTGCAAGCGTGGCAATACTCCCTTAAACCATTCAACCACCACATTCCCCTAGAAATCAGAACTTTTAAGCAGAATAAGATATCTATGGTGTATTCAAAAGATCAATTAATAGAAAATGTAAAAAGTCAGAATTTCAATACAGTATTAACCTTTTTAACCGAACGATTTCAGTAGAAAATGGAGTGTTAATTTTTGCAAAATGTAGCTGCTAATAATGATGAGTAAAATCTAAATCCAAACTTCATAAATACAGTTGTAAAGTGCTGAACCACAAGACGACGAACCTAGCTACTATTTTTTTTTTTTTTTTTTAACCAGTATGTAATATTTTATTTGTCAGGAAGTCAGTAAATGTATACAATTTTACATCGAAAAATTTAAATTACCCAGTAAAGTTAGAACTTAAAAGGAACCATTATTATTTAGTGAATATAATAGATAAGTATCAGAAATAAATAATTAGCAGTATTAAAATAATATAACATATAAACATAAAAATTTCCGTTAAATGAGTTCTAGGAGTACATAAAATGTTGAGTTTTGATTATATGTATAATAACCAAGTAAAAAGAGAGGAAAAAATACATTTTGGAAGATTTTCCTAATCATTCACAAAGGAGGTGGGCCATCTTGTTTTACAAAAAAGCATATTAAGTATCTTCTATCGAGTATAACTCAGAAAAGGTTGATCCTTTCAAAATTTTCCTTTCAGTAAAAGTGCCCTAAAATAAGCTCTAGAATCGAACTGTACAATACAAATATGCGATTTTCATTTAAAATAATAAAGTTGGTGTCATTTTCCAGATAGATGAAAAAATTATGTTAAATCTGTTACCATCAGGAGATTCCTAACCAAAATTAACTTTGGGTTTGTACAAGACCATTTTTTGCTAAAGTTAATAAAATAAATAAATTAATTTAAAAAAAAAATAAAAAATGCACCCTCCCCTCACGCGTCGAGCATAACTCAGAAAGGGTCGATCCTATCAAAAATGTTCTTTTAGAAAAAGTTGCATAAAATAAGCTCTAGAATCTAATTGTACAATAAGAATATGGGATTCCCATTTAAAANAAAAAAAAAAAAAAAAAAAAAAAAAAAAAAAAAGCCACAGTCCACAGTATATTGAACTTCATATTTGTATGTAAAATATATGAGTCGTTCATATTATATTATTTTTAAAAATTTTACCGCATGCTAACTGCTTCCGAAAAATTGCATTATCCAAAACGGCTACACCCCTGCTTATAGTTCGATTAAAAATGATTCTACAGTATTATTTTCGTAAATAAATGGAGAATTAAAAACAAACTGAAGAGTCATTCAAGGATTTTCAATAGAAAAATTGTCTGTGTGGGATTTAATAAAAGTGTTTTTAAAATTCTGATATAAAATGAAGAGAAAAAACCGATAATATTCTACGATTGTTAAAACTTATTGTTTATCTATCAATTAATTATTCTTTCCATGTAAGGTCTTGGTTGAGATAAAAAAGTCAGTGTCACGAGCGGGATTCGAACCCACGACCTTCGGCTCAATACGCCGCGGCTCTAAGCACTTCACCTATCGTGACTTCGATCCTCTCGGAAACTCTCCATCTCAACCTACAACCGTTCGAACCTTCCCCCTTATTATCGTGATTCAATAAAAAGAATATTCATACAAAAATAAATTTTTATTTATTTAAATGTGTTAAATTGTTTAGGAACATTCAATATATATACAACTCTTGTATATACGCATATACATATTATATATTTAAGCATAGACTAGATCGAAATGGGTAAAAATAGCGGATTATCCTTGACTAGAATATGTTTGTTCTGGATGTGTTTGTTTAGATTTGCCTTTCGGTGGCTTTTCTTTGGGCAGTATGGACACTTGAACCTCGGCTCTTGACCGCACTCCCACCTCGAATGAGTGTAGAAGTTCCTCTCGTGCTTGAACACGCGACCGCACTTGCAGAAGAAACCTGAAAACCAATCGGAATGGATCAGAGAGGAACGTCCGAGAAAAACTCCACACGGGAACGGATTTGGGCTTGGGAAGTTTTAAAACACAACGGTCTGTAAAAAAAAAAAACAATTCTATATTTAATAAATAAATAATTTTTAAAAAAATTACAAGGTAAAAAAAGTTCAATAAAATCATATTCTGGACTTGTGCCGGTTGAATATATGCAGTTTAATGCTCTTCCTCCAGTAGGTCGTAAATTCGCAGTGCGGACACTTGAAAGTCGGCTCCTTGCCGCATTCCCACTTCTTATGAGCTTGCAAGTTGCACTTGTGCTTGAACACCTTTCCGCATTCGCAATGGAAAACAGTAACTAAAACAATACAATCAGTGTTAATAAGAGAAGAAAAATATTGCATGAGTGAATTTCAGATGATAGATAACCTTAAGATTTTGTCTCGACCAAGACCTTACATATAAAAGAATAATTAATTGAAAGAAATAACTTGGTCAATTGACCACTAAAACGCAAATTAATATTTAATATGTAAAAGAAGTATCCTCGTCGCCAATTCATAAATCGCTGAGAATCCAATCCTCATTAGACGTTTAAAAATGGCAAAAAAGAGGGAAAATTCGAAAGTTTGTAGGTTGAGATGGAGAGTTGGTGTCCGAGAGGAAGTCACGTTAGCTCAAGTTGTAGAGTAGCGGTCGTGGGTTCGAATCCCGCTCGTGACGCTGACTTTTTTTGCCTCGATCAAGACCTTACATAGAAATAATAATTGATTGTCAGAAGATAACATTCGTAGGACGTGACGAAAAGAAAACACAAAGAAGAAACTAACTCCTCTGGCAATTATTAAAATTAATATTTATTCCTTTCTGGATTTGATGAATCTTCATAGTAAGATCTATATTTTTTTGTGTGGTGATTAGTGACCGTTAATCGATAATTATTCAGAAATCGTGAGATGCGGTCTGGTGTGATAGGTTTCAGAAAAACATTTTCTTTATCGTACCAACGTTTCGATCTTTATTGAGATCATCTTCAGGGTCTGGGATTTACAAACATTTAGGATGTGGAAAAGTGAATTTATACAATGCAAAATATATTTTTTATATTCAATCAAGGTATTTCTACTCGCTCAAAGTGTTTGTCTTCTGTGTAATTGTGCCATTCTTGCGTGTCGTGTTGAGAGTGTCAGTGTCCTTTTTTTTTTGGTTTTCAACAGCAGAGGTCAAATAAACCCTCAGGGTGCCGGTGTTTTTGAAAAAAAGCCCATTTGTAAGTATGTAGGGTTCGAATGCATGGCCGCTGGTTTCGAACCCGGGACCTTTACCTTACAGTGATGGACGCCGTGTCAACGCCTAAACAGTTGCGGCCACCAACGCCCGTATATTACTTCAGCCGAGAAGGCGCATGTAGAAAAATCCGCTACCGAATATGGCGAAATTCAATAAATCCGGTTGAAGATTGTCGCAAACCTCACACAAAAAGATCACAATGTGAAAAGACAAAGATCAAAGAAATCGAGAGACTCCGACGTTTTCCAAATGTTTATTTACCCGTTGACAAATTTGAAACATTTTGAAACATATGAAATGTTTTCTTGTTAATAGAAAATCATTCCGTCGGTTTTTAAGTTCAGAAGTTCACGTTGCAGTGTACGACGGCGGTGTGCTTGTTCAAATCGGATTTCCAGTAGGTGACGTACCCGCAAGAAGGGACTTGACATCTGACAGACGGAGGTTTACCGCACTGCCATTTTTTGTGCTTCGAGTAGTAGCTCTTCGATCTGAAACTCTTACCGCAGTCGCAGACGATATCTGGAAAAAAACCATCAATTGCAAGTCAACATTTCTTTCCTTTTTTGCCCAAAGTTTCAATGAATGTCAAAATGATAATCTAGGCGTGATGGACGAGAGACAGCTAGAATTTCGAGACATTTTAGGGTTTAGAATGTAAAGAAAACATTTTTCGTTAAAATACAATCCTTACTTTATGAGAAAGAAACCTGCAAAGGTATTGAGTACGAGGAGTGCAAGAAAAACAATTTTATTCGAGATAATTCATTTTACAGTTCTGATGTCAATGCCTGTTGGCGATGTGTCTCCTGAGGTCTGCCTTCCAGTAGGTCTTGTACTTGCAGAATCTGCACAGCTCGCCTGGGGGCTTCCCGCACTGGATTTTCTTGTGCTTCGCGTAGTAACCCTTGGAGGAAAACCTCTTACCGCAGTCGCACAGTATATCTGGAAATGAGGTGATAAATTTTAACGTTTCGTTCTGGAACGACGAAATGGTCGAACGTGCGTGCTCGTGACAACTAGAAGAATGGGCTTTTTGCTGGGTTCGACTATCCCTACCTTCTGGATACAAGAAAAATAATCCATAACATTACAAAAAAAATGTATAAGTCCTTTGGTTGGTTTTTCCCAAATGTGCATACAAGTTATGAGATTAAAAATTAGAGAAATATTTATTATGACGATTCAGCCATACTGAATTCGTCCAGAGTAATGAATCCATTAGGTTTCGTGGCCCGATTGGCCAAATTCTTTTCAATTAATTTATCTTTAAGTAAGGTCTTGGTTGAGATGAAAAAGTCAGTGTCACGAGCGGGATTCGAACCCACGACCTTCGGCTCAGAACGTCGCTGCTCTACCTCGTGAGATGGGAAGTTGGTGTCCGAGTGGATCGAAATCACGATAGCTCAAGTGGGAGAGCAGCGGCGTTCTGAGCCGAAGGTCGCGGGTTCGAATCCCGCTCGTAATAATGACTTTTTCATCTCAACCAAAACCTCACTTAAAGATTAATTAATTGAAAAGTATATAAATAAATTTTAAAAAAATTAGTTTTCGAGTTTCTAGTTTTAAAAGCTTGCACCGTTTTAAACTTTCATCAGGGAAAAATACAAAAAGTAACAATACAGAGAGAATAAACCGCTCAACCATTTACAAAATTAGTTTTGAACGCTTAGAAAACAAACTGTTCAAGGTTTCCCCTTTCAAAGATTGAAATGCCGCATGTAGTAATTTTTACAAATTATTATTGATATTATTTACACCTTAAACTTCAACTACAATAAGTATATTTGTTAAATCATAACATAATAATTAAAATTTATGGGAGAAGCCACCCTCTGGTGATACACACACACACATCACTGGAGCAAATCCCTAGGCCTTTGTCTCTTCATATACGAGGAATTCCAGGTATGGTTAGTATGGAAAGTTGGATGCACAGATAGGTCTGATAATGTGTTTTTAAAAGGGCGTGAAAGAATGGAATGTGGAATCAGTGTGAATGGTTTTATTGGAAAGGTAGAAGAGAGTGGATTTTTCTTATGATTTTGAATTATAGAGGCTGGACTCGGGATGAATGTTTGATCCCAAACTTCCACTCCTTAGGTCCATATCAGATGATGGGAGTTTCGTAAATGTTTGATGTTAAGGTTGAGGGGAGATTGTCCGTACTATATCAGCGTCAGTATGTCATTCCAGTCATAATGGAGGGCAAATTGACTTGTTGATATTCGTTTACTTTGATTATCCATTTGCGGTACCATTCAAATAGGATGAGGTGATAGGAGCTAACAACGGATGGGTTGAAGTGAGAAGCGAGGCGCCGATATGTTTGGGGAAGTAGGGGTGTCAGCAGTACATACTGAAAAGATGATCGGACCAACAGTACTTCCTTGGGGGACTCCAGATTTACCGAAATATAAAGGGATATTACCTGAGAGACACGGTGATATCTGTCAGGCAGGATCGGAAGATAAGGTAAAAGACATTTAAGACAAGGTTCAAGAGTGAAAAAATTGAAAAGATGATCGGACCAACGGTACTTCCTTGGGGGACTCCAGATTTTACCGAAATAGGGAGGGGGATATTCCCTGAGAGACACGGCGATATCTGTCAGGCAGGATCGGAAGATAAGGTAAAAGACATTTAAGACAAACATTTGAAATTTCAAATCTAGTTTCCACTGAGCATTTGGCCAGTTTTCATAAGTAAAATTTACCGCTTTTAATACTAGTAACAGCTAAACATATATAATTCTGGGCTACTACTAACAGTTCAAGAGTGAAAAAAGTTTAATGAAGGATAATACTGGATTAGGGTTTAAGGATTTGTTAATAAATAATTTTAAAAAATGAGTGTTTGAATCTTTCAAAAAATTTATTTCAAGAATCAACAAATTGTGGAAGGTTCACAAGGACTAAGGCTACTCGGTCATCGTGTATTCCAAGACAAAATCAAGTTAAAAAACCAAACAAACAGAAATAAAATAAAACTTCGCTTCGGTTATAGGATATGGGTCTAACGGGGTGTTAGTCTCATGGGGTGGTTGGTGGCAATGTGCTGGTTAAGATTTGAACGCCAGTAAGTCATATAGCCGCAGTTGAACGGGCAACAGACCGAAGGGGATTTGCCGCATTGCCACTTTTTGTGTTTCGACAAGTAAGACTTTGTCTTGAAGAATTTCCCACAATCGCAGACCAAGCCTGAAAACCGACAAATCCGTTAGTCTTTGAAACGCCCCCTTTCTCATTTTCCTATGTACAGATAAAAATATATAATAAAAAAAAAGAATTGAAAATATTGAAAAAAATATATATTATTTTATGGCAAATTCATATGGCTGTTCGCAATGTGCTTTTTCAGATTGGACTTCCAGTGCGTTCTGTAAGAACAGCCGCCGAAAGAGCATTCCAAAGATGGAGGCTTCCCGCACTGCCACTTGATGTGCTGGTAATAGTAGGAGGTCTTGTTTCCAAAATACTTCCCACACTTGCAAACAAGACCTGTAATTTTGTACAAAAATATTTAGTCTCAGCCAATATACACTAATACTAAAGATCTAAAATTAAGACTAAACCTTCCAGTTCTTAAGACCATCGAGATAAAGATATACAATATATCTATATAATATAAACAATTTATTTCCCAAAAATAAACAATGTTTTAATAATGTTGGAAGAGTATTTTATGCAACAATTACTGCAGAACAAGTCTAATTTTTGTGTTTATAGTGTGTTTTGGTCGTAGGTGTTTTTCAGTACATGATAGAAGATGGCAGCTCTTTCTCACTTCCTTTGATCCATGGGTCTGATGTTAAACCTTAAAAAATGTAAAACCAAAATGTAATATTAAAATTAAACTGAACTAGCGCAATGTTACCTTGATTTGAAATGCGTTCTAGGATTTTTTTAAAATCGTCATGTTAGCATGGGTCTTGAGATATGCCAGTGGGTTTTGAAGCTGCAAATGGTATAGACGAAGCTTTCTCGTCTTTGCGATAATAAATTTGCACAATGCATTGACTGGAAAGATAAAACTAACCAGAAAATCGCCCTTCAACACTCAATTATCTGGTTTCAGCTGAGCCTGCTGTGACCTGTATTGGGGATCTATAAATTCCAAGAGGATGGGACATACACCCAAGGAATGGATCACATCCTCCCTTCCTCTGAGGTTACAAACTCTCTTTCTCGTCATGGAGTGTAGTTAAGAAAAAGCATTTCGCCTCTTAATTTAAAAAACCAGCTCAGCTCCGTAGGCGAAAGTGCTGTATTTTTTGAATTAAGGGACAGCAAGGATCTTCATATAAAAGAAAACGGTTAGACTGTCGAGCCGACCCCACACACTCTTTCCGGTAACATTCGTCCATCCTTTGACGTATGACCATCAATTGGGCACACCATTCCCGATCCTGGAAGTTAAGAGTCAAAAGGGGTACTTTTCCAGTTCCTTAACGTCCACTGGACGAGAGTGGTAGTTGTAGTACCAGAATAACTTCAACGCAGAGAAGATTCAAATTTGATCAATTGGATCGACAATTGGCCGTACCCCATCGTACTGATTACTTAGACCAACTCCACCGGCGACATGGCAAGGTTATCACAAAAATAAGTTCGTACTGGAAAATAAACTGTTTATTACTAAAATCGAACTGTTTTCTTTTACAAAGATATTTAGGATTTCATGTGACGGCTCTTAACGTGCATTTTCAAGTTGTACATCCAATAGCATCTATAATCGCAGAACTGACACGCGATGATCGGTTCTTTGCCGCATTCTCGCCTCTGGTGTCGAGTCCTGTCGTACCTGTTTTTGTACACTTTGCCGCATTCACAGGCGAAACCTTGAAAAAGACAAAACAAAATGAAAACCTAGAATTATTACAAAACTGGCACGAAATTTTCCGTTTTAAATAAACGCGGGAAAACTTGAAATCTTGATGAATCAGCAAGCCTTTGAATTAATGTTCACTATTGCAGTACCAGGCTAACTTCAACGCAGACATCAAACAATCAAAAACCTTCATAAATCACTATTAAAATTCCAACCGAGAAATTTTAACTAACGGCCTTCGAGCCTTTCTCCCAACTATAACACAAAGTTCGATTCGACTGTTTTATGCTTGTTAAACATGTGCACTTTGAGGGTCGACGGCCTGTTGCATTTGTAATTGCAGAGTTGGCAATGGTAACGTGGATCTTTCCCGCATATGAACTGTGTGTGGTATCTCAGATCCCTTTTGTACTTCCAACTTTTATCGCACTTTAAGCACTGAAATCCTGAAAGTTTCAAATTATATTAGACAGAGTCGTTGAGAATCGAATCCTGATTACACGACATTTGAAACATGGCAAAAAAAGAGGTAAAGTTCGAAAGGTTGCAGGTTGAGATGGCGAGTTGGCGTCCGATGGGATCGAACTCACGATAGCTCAAGCGGTACGAGCAGAAGAGGTTCAAATCCCGCTCGTGACACTAGCTTTTTCATTTCAACCAAAACCTTACGTAAAAAGATTAATTAACTGAAATTAGTCAAGATATTTCAACAGTGCGTCACCTGTTCCCTTCAGTATCAAATAGCTATTAAATCTATGTTCCAGCTAAGAAAAAAAGCCATCAATTTTGTAAAATCTATAACTTTTTTTTTGGTCAAGAGGAAATGTAGCTTTTAGCCATTTCTCTACCTTCAAAGACTCGCAAGTTGAACGCTGCTGAACAGCCAATTTTCTGATGGTATTTATGACATGGATAGGTGAGAAAAGTGAAAAGAATTTTACATCGATACCAAGCACCTTTATTGATTTTTTTTTAAACAGATACTAATTTCGAACATTTAATTTCAAAAATACGTTGGGGTATCTCGCAGTGACGATTCGCCGTGACAAAACGCTTAACAGTCGTGGACTTTTGTGGCCAACTTCATCGAGACCATGGTCGATTTGTGTTGTGTAAACATGTGAACCTTGAACCTCTGTTTGTAATGGGTTTTGTACGGGCATAGCGAGCAGATGAAATTCGGTTCTTTGTTGCACTCCCATTTCCTGTGGGCGTAGTAGTTGCTGTTGTGTTTAAAAGTACGGCCGCATTCGCAAACGTAACGCCCTGCAACAGCATGAATTTTTAGCACAAGGTATTTCAACGAGAACAACAGTAGCGTCCCACTTGACATAAAATTGTAATGAGAGTTAAATAAACGCTCTGCGGAAGAGGAGACTTTTGAAAAAGATAGAAGTTTTATTGTAAAAGATTACAACAGTGGAACCGACTTTAACGGACAGAATGCACAGTAAAGCTGGGCGCACACTAGGTCGGTGGGGCGGCGCGGAACCGACCCTCAAGAAGAATACATTGAAATGATTGTAACCCCGCACACTACGCCAGTAGGGCGGCGCAGCGCGGAGCCGGAGAAAGTTGCCACTTGTTACTTCTGGAACCCGGCGCCGCGCTACCGGCCTAGAGTACGCAGGGGCGGTAACGCAGCTGAGAGCGGTTCCTACATAGTGTGAGTACCTTCACAATTCCGCGCTGCACCGCCCCACCGACCTAGTGTGCGCCCAGCTTAAAAGTGAGCCCCTTTCCTAGTAGATATAAGGGGTTTTATACATATTTGTCTAATTGGACTAATTGGTCTAAGGGCTGATGTGTTTGGTTATGATGATAAGAAGGGCGCTTTTTGGTCTCGAGCCCTTAGGCTAGATATCTAGTTGGGTTATAATTTGTCACCTCTGACCCGCTCGACTTATCCGAAGTGGTGGTTATCTACATGACGTGTAGTCGGTCTCGGGCCCCTAAGCTAATTTGTTCCTAGATATCTGGCTAGCTGATAATATGTCACGTTTGACCAGCACAACTTATCCGAAGTGCTGGTTATCTATATGACATGAGTCGCCTCGGGCCCCTAAGCTAATTGGTTCCTGGATATCTGACTAGCTGATAATATGTCACCTTTGACCAGCACGACTTATCCGAAGTGCTGGTTATCTATATGACATGTAGTCGCCTCGGGCCCCTAAGCTAATTGGTTCCTAGATATCTACCCGGCTTATAATCTGTCACCTCTGACCCGCTCGACTATCCGAAGTGTTACCTACATGACGTGTAGGTCGTTTCTATAATTTCGATACCAAACATTTTTATTGATTTTTTTAACAGATACTAATTTAGAACATTTAATTTCAAAATTACGTTGGGGTACCTCACTGTGGTGAGTTGCCGTGACAAAATACTTAAACGTCGTGGCCTTTTATATACGATAAAAGGACAGAGTGACTGACATCCTTCTATTGAACACTCCTCTATCATTACATAACTTAGGATTAATAAACGCAACCGGATATCAGGAAACCATATTTCACGCCAATTAATGTTTTTTCCCAATTAGGATTTTGAGCGTTTTCGAAAATTACATACTCTTTCCGAAGTTTAATTTTTTTTTTCATTGAATTGGGGAATTGAGGCATTCGATTAGTTCCACTGATCTCGTGTGCCAATTGCGTCAAAAATTGGTCACATATGTAGAAATACCTTCTTAAACTAACGAAATATCAGAAGTTCCAAAAACTTAGAAAAAGTATGTATTTTTATCGGTTTTGCGAGTTTCACCTACCGGTTGGGGGCGAATTGCGAGTTGGGGAATGGAGCTGTTCGACTAGTAAGTCTAGGGTATACGTCGGACGGTACATTTTTCAAACAAGTACCGTGGAAATAAAACACACTGTACATTTAACTTGTGTCGAGAGTGAATGTATTTATTAGCGAGCATGTATGATATGAGAGGGTCGATGGTGGAATATCGAGTACTCCACCATCCTAATGAATGAAAAAAACAAGAAGAATAAGAAAAATAACTTTATTCTGGGACTGGTGTCCCCTAAGAATAATATACATGAAATAAATAAAGAAGTTTCTTCTATGAAATTAAAAATGAAATAAAAATCTTGGTACAATGCACAAGTAAGGCAAGCCATAAGAAAAAATAACATGAATATTAAACAAAAATATCAAATATTAACGTATGGCTTCTGTTTGAAGGGAGAGGAGGTGATTATACATGTGGGATTTAAAGGAGGAAAAGGAGGCAGCGTCACGAATAGAAAGGGAGTTCCAGAGTTTAAGGGCTCGGATCAGAAAGGATCTTTCGAAGGTATGGGTTGTATGTTGAGGAAGGATAAAGTCAATTAGAGACGAGCGGGTGTTATGAGTGTGATGTGAGTAGTTGAATTGGAAGGATTGGGTGATGTAAGGAGGACGACGAGTGTGAATGGACTGGAAAAGAAAGCAACCTAGGAAATACTGTGCATGGGAGGAGGGGGTCTCAGGAAAGTTGAAAATATAACCCCGGGACCCCCGTGGGGTGCCGAACACGAATCTTACGCAACAATTCAATAGTTTCAATCGCGCGTTCCCCTCATCCGAGAGACCACCGTATGCCACACAGCTGTAATCTAAGAACGGAAGTATAAGGGAAGATACGACGACGAAATAGGCTGAGGGAGGCGATACGTTGGCGGGACATTTTGGAAATGTAAGGAAAGGTTTTGGTCAAAGACTACTCCTAGGTTTTTAACCGATAAGCAGAAAGGAATGGGATGGTTATTTAACATGAGAGATGCGATGCTGGGAGGGAATTGAGGAGTTACCTGGACCCATTAATCATGGCGGTGGATTTGGGCGGATTAAGGACTAGGGAATTGTTATGTGCCCATTCGTTGATGGAATTTAGGCCTTTTTGGATCTTGAGAATGGCCGAATGAAAAACGGAAGGGTGGAAAGATGGATATATATATTTGAGAGTCAGCGTTGTGAGGTGGTAGTTACAGGACTGGATGAAATAGAAAAAAAGGATAGGAGAGATGCTAGAGCCGAGCCTTGAGGCCCCCCAGATTTTAATGGAAGGAAGGAGGAGGTAAAGCCATGGGGAAAGGAGACACCTTGGTGGCGAGTGGTAAGGTAGGAGTGGAATCAACGGATGAACGGTATGTAAATAGGAGTTAATGTATTTACAAGGATTTGTGTGCTGAATTGATCTAGATGTTCAGCACCACCCCCTCCAGAACTCGGTGGCTGGACGGATGAGACCGAGGTCTACTCCCGGACTGCCAACACTCGGGGTGTGTGATTCTCGATTCTGTAAGCAATTTACTGTAAATGGATTTACTGTAAAGTTGGACTTGCCGGTGGACATATTTTTGTATGTACATGTGAGTATTTCATCCTATAATATTGCGTGATGTCTACTATCCCACCGCATTGCTTCCCGGGACACTTTTAAGCTGGGCGTACACTAGATCGGTGGCGCGGCGCGGAACCTACTCCCAAGAAGAATATGTTGAAATGAATGTAACCCCGTACACTCGGTCGGTAGGGCGGGTCGGCCGGAGCAGGAGGAAGTTGCCAGACTTCTGGAACCTGGCTCTGCGCCGCGATACCGGCCTAGTGTGCGCCGGGGTGGTCGGAAATCGTTGAGTTCGGGTATATTCGGCTGCCCTCGGACGCCGTATATGTAAAGACGAAGCCAACGATTGTGACGTGGGACTCCTGGAAATGCAAACTCAACGCTAAACCGAAGCACGCTAGTCAGATGGAGGGGGAAAATTCGACCAACGCGGTCGAGAGCGTTCCTACATAGTGTGAGGGCCTTCACAATTCCGCGCCGCGCCGCACCACCGACCTAGTGTGCGCCCAGCGTAACAACGACAAAATAACTTTTCGATGCCTTATGTGGCTTAAAACCAATAAAATTGGTATCGAACAAGAAAACAAATACTATTATTTTAAATATTATACAAATAGGGAGAAATCCCTAAGCGAATCAACTTTATTATCTTTACAAATTAAATAATTTATGAATAGATTTTTATGTCAATACATTTGCGCGTTCGAATGTTTGTTGAAGAGGTGAATCTTGAAAGCTTGCTTCCAGTGAGTTTTGTACGTGCAGTAGCTGCAGACGAACTTCGGCTCCTTGTTACACTCCCATTTCTTGTGCGCGTAGTAACTGGCTGTGTGCTTGAAGACCTTTCCGCAGGTGCATACGGTGGGACCTGGAAAAAGTTATCGTCAGACTTGAGAAAGGAAGCTCTGAACGCGGAACGTCTCGTGATTCCGTGATTCGTCTTTAGAACTTCATGTTGGAGTGTCTGTTGAACATGTGGAGCTTGAGAGACTGCCGGCGGAAACATTTGTACTCGCAGGCAGAACACTTGAACGAGGGCTCTTTACCGCAGTCCCACTTTTGATGGGAGACGAGGGTAGATTTGTTTTTATACACGTTACCACAACCGCAACGGAAAGGACCTGGAAGAAAACAAAATCCTATAAGTTAGATACGTGATTTGGATCAAACATGACGACCTGCTAAAAATCTACCATATTCAATGTTTCTTTTTATGCTAGTTACGCACAAAAGTAAAAAGAATCATGATAAAGTGTATCGTTACTTTTTGTTCTTACTCTAGATTAATAGTGGTGGGCTTTTTCCGGCTAAGGTAAGATATTATATTTTATAAGAAACAACACTTTTTTTTCTTGAAAAAATTTATTGTTGACAATCTCAATTTTTGTATAACCTGTTTGAGGCGTGCAAACAGACTACGCATTTGTTATTAGCGCTGAAACCGTTCGTTAAAAGAAGTTCATGTGGTGGATGTTGAAGCAGTGAACTTTAAGCTGCTTCTTCCAGTGCGTCCTGTAGGGGCACACAGGGCATAGGAACCGATGTGGCTTCCCGCACTCGTAATTCTTGTGTGTAGTCAGGTTCCTCTGGTGTTTGAACTTTCGACCGCAATGGCAAAGAAATTCTGAAAAAACAAGTGAAGCTGTAATAAACCAAAGCAGGTAGTCGAGACACCTTCCACGATTACTTTCCCAAAATCATGCAGCGGGATTTTTAACACAATTGAACGTTTAAAAAAAAAACTAATTCGTCGAGAAATTCAACAGATAATACAGAGCACCGAAATAAAAACTATGAACGGATTCTTTAGAGTTTTTTAAAATTTTGTTTCAATAACCATCACAGTTGATCGTGCTTATTGTAAACGTGCAGTTTGAGGCTGCACTTCCTGTGGGCCCTGTACGGGCAGAAAGAACAGGAGAACCTCGGCTCTTTCCCGCACTCCCATTTCGCGTGGGTGCTCAGGTTTTTCTTGTGTTTAAAAACCACACCGCACTTGGGACAGGCGAAACCTGAAATACAGGAACGTCTCAGTGAAAAGGTAGAAAACTCTGTTCAAAGACATCGTCCAACAAACCAGAAATTGATAAACTGCAAAATCGTCCAAGGTCATAAAACAAACACCTTCAAAAAACACCAAACTTAATACAATATATATATTTTAGAAAAATAAATATACATCATAAACATTATAGATTAATATCATAATAAAAATGTTATCAAAAATAGTTAGTAGTTGTACGCTAAGATGTGCTGGTGTTTTGAAACGTAGTGCCTGAACAGGGTTCGTTTCAAGTAAGTTCTGTAGGCGCAGATAGTGCAGGCAAACTGCGGCTCTTTCCCGCAGATCCACTTCCTGTGCGTATAGAAATTACTGTGGTGGCCGAACCTTTTTCCGCACTTGCAGAGATATTGGGTACTAGAAACTGAAACAAAACTATTGTCAGAATGACAAAAATGTCAAATCTCGAGTCCATCGGTCTGGAGAGTGAACTAACTGAGGATGACAAGGACAAATGATAATATCAGACGATCTTTGTGTATTTATTTTATTTAGTTATACAGTTATACATATATTTTTCAAGCCTGTTGAACGCATGCAGTTTGAAATTGTCGAAAAAACTTTTACATAGGTACGCCTCTTTACAGCAGATTTTGTCCATATGTACATCAAAAATTTCAAATATTTTTGTAATTCTGGCGTAATGAAAATTAACGACGCGTCTTTTATTGCGGTAGATTTGTCACGACGATAGTCGAGTTCGTCTTTCCGACGTGTTTGTTGTAAATGTGCACTTTGACGTAGTCCTTCCTGTAACTTTTGTAAGGGCAGTAGGGGCAAAAGTTGTTCTTCTCCTTTTGGCTAGCGCCGCTCTTACGTCCTCTCGGTCCTAAAAATGTCAAGTAAAGATTAGACAATAACACTACCTGCATGAACAACAACTAGATTTTTTAAGCATTCCCACACTATTTATACACTTGGATTAATAAATTCAGTTTATTAAATACGCAACACAAAGTTGACAATAATGATAATAAGCAGACGCAAAAACGATACACAAGAGCAATGAACAGCTCACAATCCGGTTGAATTATTCAAAACATAATATTTCTTCCTTTTTAGAATTAGTTTTTGTTGTGGCTATGAAACGTACTAGAAAGTGAGAGTATTATCCATAAAAACTACAGCTTTTTAAAATAGGTCCCCTTAGGAGCTAGAAAATCAAGAAGCGAAAGTAGGAATCGAACCCACGACCGGTCTGACATCATAACTATTCGGATACCGTAGACGCCTAGTCAGGTTAGGCTATGGTTACTATGGATGCGAATTCTGACGAAATTTTGTTCTCAAGAAGTCCGAAATCTTCACAGAACAAGGTGGTTACATTGTGCGAACTGTAGAATTAATTGCAACAAGCTAATACAACGGTGACTGTCATGGCACTCCGATATAAGTAAACCTAAGGCTAAGGTTACGGTTAGGCTATGGATGCGAATTCTGACGAAATTTTGTTCTGACGAGTACGTGGTTACGGGTACGAAAAAGGTGATTACATTGTGCGTGTTTTCTGGTAGTCAGTACGTTTCTGCCTCCAGCAAAATAGACGAAATTAATGATTTTTATTTTCTTGAAAGTCCGTTGATTAAACTATTGTTGATGGGGGACCGCGGTAGCCGAGTGGTTAGCATGAGACTCTCACGCCGCGGTCGTGGGTTCGATTCCCACCGTCGCCTCTGACCCTTTTTTCCCGATAACCCCCAATTTGAACAACATATATAAGAATTCGTCATGGCTAATATGCAAAGATCATAAGGAAAAAAAAACTATTGTTGATAGGTGGTTGGAAAACAGAGCATGTTAACCACTTATTTTCCACAAGAGACGAGAAGGGAGAGTTTCAAACTTATTTCTAGTCCCTTAAAAAAATGCATATTAATTTATGTATGTTTAACGGTCATAATTGCCCATATTAATTAAAATTTGAAAAATGGCAAAAGAAGGAAAATTCGAACGGTTGTAGGTTGAGATGAGTTGGTGTCCGAGGGGATCGAAGTCACGATAGCTCAAGTGGTCGAGCAGCGGCGTATTGACCTGAAGGTCGCGGGTTCGAATCCCGCTCGTGACGCTAACTTTTTCATCTTACCAAGGCCTTACATAACCAAAAAAATAATTAAAACTTCCATAAAAGGTTCGTGAAGTACACCTTACATAGTGGCCACGGGGAGCTGTTAGCCGAAGGTCGTGGGTTCGAATCCCGCTCGTGACACTAGCTTTTTCATCTCAACCAAAACCTTAAATAAAAATTCATTAGAATAATTAATATAATCAATTATGACCACTGACCAAATATGGTTTATTGCTAGGGTTTTTTTCTTGGGCAACTTTCTTCCACTTTGGCCGAGAAATATCTCTGCTGTGATAGTTTTTGTCGATTCATGTCCCTCAAACATCGATTCTCAAAAACAAGACTAATCAGTTCATCTATATCCATGGTGACACCAAAACTGTTGAACGCACGAAAAAATCAAACTGGTTTGAATGCTGGAATGGTTCTGAGGACATCGCGCGTGTTCTGACATGCACTTCGCTGCCAATGTAAACACTCTCATTGGAAACAAGTATTTGTTTGATCGGACGAACTCGTCAGAAGAGAATTTCGTCAGAATTCCCATCCATAGTAACCGGAGCTGATGTTAAAGCTACAGCATCAGAAGACAGTAAAGGGCAAAAATAAAAACAATTTTTAGTTTAATATTAAATAAGTTTAGTTTACTCTATACGGATAAGGATAAGACAGAAATAGTTTCCTGCTTGGGTTGGCTAATTCTCTTTTGACGAGACTGTTCAATTTTTCAAATTAATTATACGATCTTGGGTGGGATTTAGAAAAAGTTTGGAAACAAAAATATTTCTCAAAACAGTTTTTTCTACAAATACGCTACATGTATATCATTAAAGCTTTGTACAATCAAAAATTTGACGATCGATTCTTAGCCGATATTAACGCCTTATCGTAGTGCTTGTTGAACACGTGCCTCTTTACGTAGCTGTTGTACGGGGCAGTGTAGGGGCAAAACTGGCAATGGACAGTTTTCTTCCCCGGTTTCTTTTTCGTCGAACCTGAAAATTCAAAATTTCACAATCAGCGAGCAAAATGTTCGATAATTATCACCTGCAGGGTAATTATCCGTCATCGTTGTCTTAATGCAAAAAGTGAAATGGGAAATTATAAATAAAAACACAACATAAAAACTTATACTGTTTATTTATTTGATGCTGGTTGAACACACATTCTAAAATTATGTTTAATATCACACACACACACACATACTTAAATGCTAAATTATATCGAAAATCACACTACTTACAGATCGAAAATTTATTTTAGTACTATTTGCATGGCTACAATAAACAAAATAAAATACAATACAAACAGAAACTACTATCTTGATGAAATCCGAACATTATATAAACAATAAAAGATTATTCGGAGATCGTGAGATGCGATCTGGTGTGACGTAGGTTTTAGAAAAACATTTTCTTTATCGTGCCCACATTTCGACCTTTAATGAGATCATCTTCAGGGATTTACAAACATTGTTTAAATTTAACAAATACATGTATCTATGTAGGATGTTGAAAAAAAATTAATGTTTGTAAATCCCAGGCCCTGAAGATGATCTCAATAAAGATCAAAACGTTGGTACGATAAAGAAAATGTTTTTCCAAAACCTACGTCACACCAGAACGCATCTCACGATCTCCGAATAATCATTGACTAACGGTCACCAACCACCAAACAATAAAAGATTCAAAAATATAGATTTTTTTAATTTAATCGCAGCCTGTCGTAAGGACCAGGTCTCACATAAAAAATTGCTATCTGTAAAAAATAAATACACATTGAGTAAATAGATAATTACAAATCTGACAGGTCTGTCAGACCAGTGAGTAGAGAAACCAGCCGCCGCTGGAACTCTTTCTTATTTGGGAACGTGAAGATAGGAGGTCATTTTAGACGATGTGTAGGAATATAAGATGAGGGTGGGATTTTGGGGGAAATCTTGGGTAAATGCGGGTTAGGGAGGGATAGTTTAGAGTGGAAATTGAGAGTGTTCGGATCAGATCCTTCACGGATAGAATTTTAAGATCTTTATGGATCATTTGATCGTTGACGTAGGATTTGGCCGAGGTTCACAGTTCGATTACATAAGGCCAAAGGTGTGTGTTTTATAAGTGTTTTTGTAGTTTATTATGTTTGCTTAGTGTTGATTTTTATCTTTTGTTAAATTCTTGACTTTTTAATCTTGTTATGGGTTTCGTGTAAGTCTGCTTTCTATGTAAACTTACCTTGTTTTTTATGTGTACTGGTGAGAAGGTCGTTTGAGCGTAAACGTTACTCGTTGGCTTTTCTGCTCGTTCAACCGAATCCACCGAGGGCACCAATAAGTTCAGATGTTGGATTGCTTCTGTGGCTTGGATAGGATTAGAGTGTGCAGACAGGATTGTGGTATCGTCCTCATAGGTTGTGAGTTGTGTGTTTGCTGGTGTAGTAAGTCAGCAGTGAAGAGGATGGACCACTTCGTCGTGGAACGCCAGCTTTGACTGAACGGGTGAAAAATCGTGTCGATTCTCACCTCAAACCATCGATCCTAGAGGAAGTTAGTAGTTTTGACTAGTAAAACCGGAGTACTCGGTGAATATTTACGTAACGTCTAGAAATTCGGAGAAATATTGAAATTCTCTGAAGCTTTGCTAACAATAAAATGGAGGGATCGAAAAAATAAAAATATACAAATAAACCAATTAAAATTTGTTTTGAGTGATTTTTCTGTAAAAGTTTGTCAAAACATTTGGTGCTTATCTTCAGAAGACAATGCTTGGTGAAGAGATACAATGTAGCAATTAAAACGAGATCGCTTCAGAAGCTTTTGGTTTCCTTGACTGCGATATATCGTTCTAGACGTTTGATACCTGTGATATTAGGTCTATAAAATTTTTAATTGTTTTTATCAGCTTATTCTTAATCAATTACTCAATTAATTATACACAATTTTTTCGAAATGAAATTGGAATAAACGGGGAGACGAAATGGGAAGTTTGTGGCACGGGCGATCGAAGTCACGGTAGCTCAAATGGTAGAGCGTCGTGGGTTCGAATCCCGCCTGTGACACAAATTTTTCATTTCGAAAAAATTTATATATGATTAATTGAGTAATTAGGATTATTGTTTAATCACTTCTTGTCGCGCGCAGTCCATTGATTCACTAGCTTTAGCAACCGGCCGGTGTCTTGTGGCAAGATAGATATATTTCTGCATAGTTAAAATTCCCTATAAAATTTTGCATCCACAATAATTTCCTCACGATAATTAATACATCATCGACGATTTCAGTAGATGAATAGCTAGCAGGAGCCATAAGGATAGCAGCAAATTTATTAATCCTATTGGTAATTATTAGGGCTGTGATTTATATGCAATGAAAACAGACTTATATGTAAATATATTTGGTAAAAAATGCAATCTAAAACTGAAAATATGCGAAAACTACCATGAGAAAAATAAGGAAACCTCAAATTAAAGCACATAATTGTATTGACAAGAGAAACAGTGGCAAGAGGAACATTATATAGCTAATATTAAAAAAGAAAAACGCATTGAAAAAAAGTTAAATAAATCCGTCGTATCTTCCATCTAGACCGATCCATTTTCGATGAAGTCTCTGATTTTATGGAGAGTTTTATTGTAGATAAGATCCAGGTGAGATTTCATGAGGGGAATGGTTTGCCCTGTGTATTTTTTAAAAAAAACCATTAAATTCACGGTGGCTTAGTTTATGGATGGGTATGTCAGCTCTAACTAAAGCCCGACATAACCGGACTTTTCAGCCCCAGCTCTTGTGGAAACTTGAGTCACAAAGGTTTGTTGAAACTTAGACTTCTTAACTTTGTTTTCCTTTGTTGTGCTGTCTTTAAGTGCTGTGTTACCAAAAAACGTGTGGCTGTTCATACAGGTTTATCACAACCAACACGGTATAAAACGTCTGCATAGCCTTAAAAGTCTCACTTGAAAACTCACGAAGCATACTATTGAAAAGACCTTCGGTCTTTGCGATGACTTTTGGCATTTTAGGAGTAGTCAGTTCACAACACGCAAATAATATTTCACGATGGAAAACGCATGAGAGGCTGGATAAAGCTGAGAAGTATGATGGCAGGGAAAAAAAACTGAGGTCGTATATTTCTATGAATCCAACTAAACTATTCCAAGAGAACGTTTACAATGGTACAAACACTATTCCTTTCTCTATTTATTCCAAGAGAAGAAAAGGACCGAAAGTGGAAAGCTGAGGAGCAGCAACTGAACAACCACAAACTCGTTCATTATGTGGATACGGGAGAATGGGAGCCCGTGGCTCTTTTTGGGAGCTTTTCTTTTTGCCTGCTCAAAAACACTAAAATTTGACATGCCAAATACCGATATGCCGGATACGTAAACAAATATGCAATTATAACCCACTTATGCAAAAATATGCAAAATAAGTATAGCTTAAATTGCTTTAAAACATATAGTTTGGTAAAACTGGATGTTTTAGTTAACCAAGAAAAATATGCAAATGCATACATTTCACAGCTCTAGTATTTATGATAAAACGACAACAAAAGTCTAATATTTCTAACCAATGCAAGTATTAGATTCGCAATTAGGGGTCTTAAATGAACACCCTGTTTTCTAAACCCGCAAGACATATGAGTGTTGCGGAAGTGTTGGTCTAGCGCGCCCGAACGGGAGGCTTACATGCAACGTAATTTGATTATAGATCGACTAGCTGACAGATGAGTTGTTAAGAGACAAAATGTCTTAAAGAAGAACAAGAAGAAAAACCGTAAAGCTAAGTCACACCATTAACCTAATCAGGTCATAAATTGGACTTACTGTTGTAAAATTGTTTTGGGTGATTGTTTAATGCTTTCATTTTAAGAATTATGCAGCAAATGTATGATCAATGTAGCAAATTGTTCAATTAAGAAAGTTCATGCATCCTTAGTTATACATTTGGTGAAAGCTTGAAGGTGTCAGAGTGGCGGGAACAGTTGTGAAGGTCCTGATTTACGCAGATGATGTGCTTCTTCTGGCGGAAGACCCGCTTACTCTCCAGAACAACATAAATATCCTAGAAACGTTATTATAATCTATGGAACCTCACAGTCAATTTAAGTAAGTCTAAGAACATGGTGTTCAGAAAAGGAGGTCGTCTTGCTGCTAATGAGAAATGGAAATATAAAGGAAACCCTATTGAAGTCGTTAACCATTAAAAATATCTGGGTATTACCCCCGTCTGTCCATGACTCGGCATTTTACGGAGAGGATATCATCGGGTAAATTTTGGATACATCGTTTTTGGAAAGCCCTCGTTATTAACTGTAAAGTCCCTCCTTCCACCAAATATAACTTATTCAAAGCGGTTTGCCGTTCAATTGTGTGCTGTGGTGCCCAGAGTTGGGGGTTTCAACGATATGAGTTGGTGGAAAAATTTCAACGTTCCTTCAACAAGAAGTTGTTTGGGCTCCCCCTCATAACACCAAATTGCACGGTTTGTATTGAGACTTCAACCTCTCTGGTTCATGTTTTCACCTTCGGTCTCCATGATAGATACTGCATCAAGACTTTGAATCTGCCTGCTCACCGCCTTTCTCGTTCTCTGGCCTTTGAGGTTATGGAGGAAAAAACATTCTGGTTCAAGCACTGGGTTAATTTGGCGGAAAGGAACTCATGCCCTTTTGACTCTAACTTCCAGGATCGGGATAAATGATGTGCCCAGTTGATGGTCATACGTCGAAGGATGTTACCGGGAAGAGTGTGTGCGATCAGCTCGACAGTTCAACTGTTTTCTGTTATATAAAGATCTGCAGTCCCCCCCCCCTACCTTACTGTCCCTTAATTCAAAAAATACAGAACTTTCGCCTACGGAGCTGAGCTGGTTTTTTAAATTAAGAGGCGAATTGCTTTTTCTTAACTACACTCCATGACGAGAAAGAGAGTTTGTAACCTCAGTGGAAGGGAGGATGTGATCCATTCCTTGGGTGTATGTCCCATCCTCTTGGAATTTAGATATCCCCATACAGGTCACAGCAGGCTCAGCAGACACTAGATAATTGAATTCCTTAATGGTAGGAACAGACGTTGGATGGCTTGACAGAACCCTACGTTCCACTCCGTCCAAAGTGGTCGCAGTAAAATCTTGTACAAAGTATTTTGACGGTCAGATTTTGGTCATATTCGTAATTTCCAAGTCTTATGTTGAGTTGTCTCTTAAGTCTTATGCGGGGATTTAACGTGTAGGTATAGTCCTAGATGTTTGACTTGAGTAAAAGTCTGTATCTCTTTGTTGTTGATGTACAGTGCAGGGCAAGATTTCTTCAATGTGAACGTACACTGAGTAAATTTTGCTTCATTCAATCTTGTCATCATTTTGCACCAATACTCGATAAACCCAAGGTGTTCTTATTAGGGTATTAGACGTAGCTTGGATAGTATTCGAGTTAAAGGACAAAATCGATGTATCGACCGCGTAGGTGATGATGGTTTGGATTCAAGGTAGGTCAGTATAAATGATACATATGATGGGATATAGAATGCTCCCTTGTAGGACGCCGGCTTATATCTGTGGAATGGAAAATTACATTAAAGACGACAACCATTGGACTTATTGTCATGTTGTATGTTACTGTGCTTACCGCAATGCAAAGCAGTTCGTAAGTAATAAAGCAGACCAAATTTCAACACTATATCAAAGATAAATAATTTATTAGTTTATTATCAAATTTCCAATTGTTACATAAATTATAATCTAAACATAACATTAATTATTTATAAAATTAATTTACTTACAAGTTATTGTTTACATACATATATATACATATTTGTAAATAATTTAGCTTATGATCTCTGGCTGTTACCTGTACTTCGGCTGCTACCAGTACTATTAGGTTTGTATAGTTGAAATTAATTATAATGGTAGATTATTTTTTTCTACTTCCAGCAACCCATGAAGAAGGGCGTTTCATATTTTAACTGTTACATATTTAATTATATCGAATTGTTAATTTTTTATTAGTTTATATATGTTTGTATTATTGTTTATTAGTAAAAGATTTTGGTCAAATGTTTGGCAGATGTCTTAAACTGTGTACAGTTTAAATGGATTTACGTGTTGGACAAGTTTTCGCCGTTAACATTTTGCCAGTTGAAAAAATTTTCAACTCTGAACTAGATATGATACAAACGTGAAACAGTTTAAAGTTCACAGGTTGTAAGTTTGTTCTGGGCGATAACTTCATATTCAGGGTGTTCTGCTACTCGTGTTACAAATTTACAATTAGATTCTACATTGAAAATGGAATCAAAAAGTCCTAATTAACTATGGTCGGAATCTCAGCAGTTTCAGAGTTAGTCCCCTTTTTCTGATTTTTTAAGATTTCACGACGTTGTTTCAAATAAATATAAACTCAAAAACTAAAAGTTCTGTACAAATCCGTTGAGACCATTGAAAACTACGTGAAATTTTCAATAAGATGTGATCATCTAAACTTTGAACCGGAACTTTGAAAATTTTCAGAAAACACTCGATTTAATATTCTTTTTAGTGGTGGAATTGCTTTTTTAATTACTTAAATTTTCTGGTGTCTCGGTTTGGCAAGAGTAGTTTAGGATCACCATAGTAAATTTTTCAACTTCGAAATTTTTTTTTCAAAGTTCCGGCTACTAAAACGCTTGTTTCACCAACGTTTACAAGTTCAATACTAAACTTGTCAACCTTCGTGAAATAAGAGTTTTAGTAGCCAAAGCTTTGGAAAATATTCTGTTTTTTCAAACTTAGAGACCAGCAAATTTCAGAAAACGTACTCCATTTAATATCTTTTTTTGTGGTGTAATTGCTTTTTTAATTATCTTTTTTCAAAGATGTTCTTCATTGATGGAGGAAAGGATAAAGCCGTGGCTGACGGTTGGCACGGTGGAAAATTTTTTTAAAAAACTTAAGGAAATTTTGAATGAATTTATTACACTTTTTTTAAAATTTGGGTTTCCTTAAGGTTTTTTTTCATTTTCTACCTTACCAATTCTTCAACCACGGTTTCTTTTTTTCCTTTATCAATTTCTTCATCTTTGGAAAAAATAAATAAAAAACCAATTGCTCCACTAGAAAGGATATTACATGGAGTCGTTTTCTGAAATTTGCTGGTCTCAGGTTTGGTAGTAGTTTAGAATCACCATAGTTTGAAAAAAAATTGTCATTTCATTTAATATTCTTTTTCGTGGCGTAATTTCTTTTTTAATTACCTTTTTTAAAGATGTTCTTCATTGATTGAGGAAAGGAAACCAGTGGCTGACGGATTGGCAAACGAAAATTTAAAAAAAATAAGGATATTTTAACTTTTTTTTTAATTTTGGTGATTTCGCTTATTTCACAAAGGTTTGCAAGTTTAGTATTGATCAGTTGAGTTATTGCCAATTTAACGTAGTTTTCAGTGGTATCAACGGATTTGTCCAAAACCTTTAGTTTTGAAGTTATCATTTTTTATTTGAAGCAAGATCGTGAAATCTTGAAAAATCAGAAAAAGTGGATAACTCCGAAACTGCTTAGATTCCGACCATTACATACTATTGTAATTAACAATATACCACTAGTTCCTCACTGAAGATGGCGCGATGCCGAGGTAGGTTTGAGTAGTTCAACCCGCGAGTGAAGAAGTCCCAGTAAGAGACCCAATACATTAGTATGAAATACACAAGTGTTTGAGTTATTTTATTTCATGTTAATTTTTTTTTACTTCACGAATAGACTAAGACAGCCCATCAGAAGGTCGATAGACGATGGCTACCTAAGTCTATTAATTTGTTATAACAAAAAAATATGGAATGATATTATTATTATATTCAATTTGTGGAAGGAGGCATTGACAAACTATATTAACCATTTGTTTACATTTTTTAGCCTGTAACTTTTTTCGAGACTAAGCCTGTCTCATCCTCAGCAGATTTTACAAACTAAGTGCTACTGCATAATATAGTTCAGACTGTATTTATATATTAAATAACTACTACTATATTTATATAGTATAAGTGACTCTCGCCCAAGCACGCACACGCAGCACGCGCGCGCGCATACACACACACACACACACACAAATGAAAATGCATGAAATATCACTTAGCAAAATTTTGCGCATGAGTAGAAAGCCTTTGTCCTTGTTGGTTTGTACTGCCTCCTGAAAACTATATCCTTCAAAATAAAAAATCTTAAAAAATGTACTTTTTTCCTGTTGGGAATTTGCTTTACACTTTCGGAGTAAATTTGTATTTAGTCTTGCGGATAAACGACAGAAATAGATCGTTGGCATACAAAAATTTACATGAAATTAAATTATTATCGCAAATGAATAAATACTAAACAGACATTTCCTTAAAATCACCTCGAAACGTTCTCATTTCCATGGGAAAAAGAAAATTCGGTTGACCTGCAACAAACAATTTTTAAAAAATGTCTCAAATTGTCACTTATGAATTGTCGAGTTGACCTACAGAGTTAATCCCAAGGTTAAAAATTACTAAATCCGTTATGTCTAATTGTCTGATTGGCCAAATTACTTCTTTTAATTAATTATTCTTTTTTTTTGTAATGTCTTGGTTGAAATGAAGCTCAAGTGGTTAGAGCAGCGGCGTATTGAGCCCAAGGTCGTGGGTTCGAATCCCGCTCGTGGCACTGGCTTTTTCATTTCGACCAAGACCTTACATAAAAACGTCAAAAATTACGTTCAACTTGGAAGCGTTAGCACGGGAAGAAAACTGTCATTATCCCAAGGATAGAACTTACAGTTGCTAAATTGTGAGATTTCTCCATGTCTGAAAGGTGTTGAACCTGAAAATTGGCCGTTGCCATTTTGGTCTGCCTATGCTCGATGGGTTGATCCGTCAGGCGCATTTATCGATGGTATAGAGCCTAGATTTTCATACGACGAGAATACACAATTTATTGATATAACCAATTAATAAGTTGGAAACATCGGTAGTATAACTGGCCTAGCAAAAAACGGAATATAATACATCTACCCTCAGGTCAGGTAATGCCTAACTAAACCGACAATCCATGCCGAAACGGCCTAGGGTCACTTATTGGGTCTATCTTCACGCACGGATTTGTTGAGTTACTCAAACGCGTTACGGCATTGCGTTATCTTCAGTGAGAAACTGTGTTTATGTGCGAATGAAGACAAATCTAATAAGTGACCCTATGCCGGTTCAGCATGAGTTCACCGATTGTCAGATCAACTCTCATCATCAACACTAAACCGACAATACTGGATGGAATTGTGGTTTTATATCCACTGTTCTCTCAGCAAACAACTTAGGTAAGTAAATTAAGTATTCATATTATTTAGGCAAGTATAGCCGGGTTGCTATGTGAAACTTTTCCATAGATACATCTTCCGGATAATTTAGGCTGTAAGTGAAACTATCGTACAGTATGGTCTTAATGAAAAAGCAAATACTGTTGTTACTGCCAAGCTTTCGACTTATTTTAAGGTCATCATCAAGGCAGACCAGTCTTTAGTGTGTCTACAAATCGACATGATTTTTTCACAGACTATTTGAAATTTATTTAAAGACTCAGTCCCATTATCAAGGACAGTAACCTAAATTTAAAACCTAGAAATTTAGAAAACAGGGAATCTAGGGAGAGGTTAAGGGCTGTAACCAAGCTACACCAGAACAACCCTTATCATTAAATAAATACAATAATTATTCAATAATAATGAACTTCAAACGAGACAGTGACTCTTTGTAGGTAAGAACCATCATTTTCAACTATGTAATTACTAACTCCATCATTACCATGTTTTATAAAAGAAATCATTGGTTAATTTGGAAAGTAAGAATGAAATAGAGTAATAGTAATATAAATATGTGTCATATTAACAGTAAATAGAATATGTGCCTATTTGAATAATAAAGGAAGACATACCAACAATTGAAGATGGCCAAATGCAGAAGCAGACCAAAATATGAGACGAATGTGCTACAGGTCTATCACCTCGCAGACCTCAACACATTACAAATGAAGGAATGAGTTCATATTATTTTAAGAGTTCTACTCTTTATGCTTCATGCTGTACTCAGTCGTTGCAAACAGAAAAGGTGGAAATATTTTTGTTGATTGGTGGATTATGTCCAGATCCACAGGGTTCAATTGTTTGTGGTGAAATGGACGCTAGTTAACCGTTGGCTCGAGGCAGAAAGGCGTCTCAACAGGTACAGTTAAGCCATGAGCATAAAAAAAGTACTACTATTAAGAACACAGACCAACAACTGAATATGGTCAAATGCAGAAGCTGACCAAAATAGGAGACGAATGTGCTACAGGTCTATCACCTCACAGACCACAACACATCACAAATGAAGGAATGAGTTCATATTACATTCCAATTGTTTGTGTGGCGAAATGGACGCTAGTTAATCGTTGGCTCCAGGATCAACAAGTATAGTTTAGCCATAAGCATAATAAAGTACTACTGTTAAGTACTGGACTTTTTATTGTAGATGTTTCCACCTTGACAGGGATGATATCCTGACCAAATGAAATCTTCAGAATTATAACTAGTTATAACTAATTTTTCATCAGTATTTCCAATAACTGACTTATTGCAGGATACACTGAACATTGAAGTGTGCATGTTTTTTTAACCTTGAGATCTCTCCGAATCGTCAAATAATACTTCGAGAAATGTGTACTACTTACCTTGTCAAGAAAAAAAAATCTTTTATATTCAAGTCACTATTTACACTCGCGTGCGAAACTTATATCGTTATAGAAAAGAGATAATATATTGTATAAAAAAAATGACACGATACGTTTTGTTTTATATTTCGCTGGGAATAATAAAACGTCCCACCTACCTTCTGATCTTCATGCGACGTTCTCAGGAAATCCTGCTGTTAAATTCCATAACTGAGCAGGCTGTATTTTCCCATTTTTTGCAATATTTCAACTGAAAGGCTTTTTAATAAAAAAGCAAGATAAAGTGTCAAAGGTGAAAGACCGTCGCGTACTTCGACTACGACCTAAGATAAGCGTCTTGCGTTGCAAGAAATGACAGTTGATCCTCTGAACAAATCACAAATTTCCATTAATGGTTTGGGTCTGAGCTTTGAATTTACTCTAATGTCACCTCAGATTTGGTTTAAAGTTTAAATTCAAATTAACTATAATGCAGAAGTTTTACAGGCCGGCAAGCAGCTGAGGTCATCACCTCTGGTTTCCTTCTTTTTCTGGTCTTTCAGGCGTATTTTGTTTTAAGCTGCAGTCATTTGAGCGACCTAGCTAGTCTCTAGTGTATACCTAAGGTTATCAACTACAGAATAGGTACAAATTATACAGTACAGTTTATACATCACCACACGATACAAACGTAGAAGTCTGAGGACATTCACCCTCAGAATACTCCTTGTAGCGGGATTAAATCCTCCAAAATATTCAAATAATTACATCAGAATTACAAAGACTCAGATTTAGTCAGGGATCGGATAAAATGTACATACGTATATATAAGGGTCATTAAGGCCGCCAAGAAGATAAAAAAACCCTGTAAAAAATCCACGGTGAACCGTGATTCTTTACAAGGGTGACAATGCGGAGGTTTAAAAGTAAGAAATTAAAAAGCGATTAGGCACTTTATTATCATAATGAAATGGTTAACAATCCTCATATGATAGAACCCGGCCAGACCAATAAAATGTGGGTCGAGTTGAGCAGACCTTCCTCATCTGAGGAAAATTGATTTTGGAAGGTGTACAGCTCAGGAAATCGAAACTGTCGCCAGCACTTGCCCACAGCCGAATATATCGTTTCCCTCTCCATAAGGGAGAATGAATTGGATTTGAAAAACACAGGCCTCGTTGAACTGAAACTAAAAAAGTGTTACTTGAATCGATGTTAAAACCCTCTTGGCACTCAAAGAATCGAAATTTCTTAAAGTTTTGGGACTGACTACTGTAAGGAATATTAAATGAATCGAAGATATTCTGAGTAAGTAGAAAACCTCCATTTAGCAGAATGCGTCAAATTAAATGAAACCATTCGCCAAGGATACGCTGCCGAAATTGGTCAATTTAAAAAGGCTCAGGCTTGAGAAAGGGCAGATGAGCTGTCCAACGGTTCCAATCATCATTTCAATTATGAATTAGAAATGATGATGTATCCTCATATGATTCCGGACATATTATCGGATGGGATTTGAGAATGCATCCATTCTAGCTAATAACCGTCTGTCGTCGTCCAAGACTCAACCCTAGACGGTAAAACCATGTAAACAAACTTGGTTCTTCACAGCCTTTTTTCCCCAAACCGTACGAAAATTAACGAACGATTTCCAAGGTAGTTTTTAGTTTAATTATCAGGGCGAAAAATGCTTAAAATGTAAGTTACCAAGCACCCCTCAAGTTAAGGAAAATTATATGCCTCTTAACTACCACAAGGGCAAAGCATCAGGGGCGTCGGTGGCCGCAACGGTTTAAGCGTTGACTCGGCGCCCATCACTGTAAGGTAAAGGTCCCGGGTTCGAATCAGCGGCCCTGCATTCAAACCCGACATAATTACAAAATTTTCAAAAATACCGGCACCCCGAGGGTTATATGAATTAGCTCGGTTATGGTACAGCCATTTCTGTAAGGCAATGATCACATCAAAAGAGGTGCGCGAAGAGGCACCGACAAAAATGCTTAGTCTTACAGGCAAAAATGCACTTTCAAGTTATAAGTATAATTAGATTCATGGACAGTCTTCCATGCCTCCCAAGATCAAAATGTGTGGGGTTTAGTCTCCTTTATCGTGCCAACGTTTCGATCTTTATTGAGATCATCTTCAGGGCCTGGTATTTACAAACATTGTTTAAATTTTACAAATACATGTAGGATGTGAAAAAAGTGAAGTTATTCAATGATAGAAATTTTAAATTCAATCAAAGTATTTGTACTCACTCAAAGTGTTTGTTTTCTGTGTATATGTGTCATTATTGGGTGTCGTGTCGAGAGTGCCAGAGAGTTATTGATGTTTTATGTTTATATACTTTGGATTTTGAAGGGATGGAGAGGGAAGTCGGGAATAGAAAGACATTTTTTTAAATGAGGAGTCGGCTTCTTTGAGGTACAAGAACCTTATATAATATCATTTCTATTAACACAATTGATCAAATTTGTATAAACTTTCTGCCTAGTCTTGGGGCAGCGGTACAAATCGCTGTTCCGGTACCTCACAGCTGTAGGGATTTTTAAATGTGCATTGTGTTTGTGAAGTGTTTATGTCAATTTAATGGAATGAATGTAATTTATTAGCGTGAAAGGAAGGGGTTTTAACCCTACCCCTGTGGAAAATCGAGTACTCTGGTAGAGTGATTGTGATCAAACTTTGTGTGTGTGTGTGTGTGTGTGTGTGTGTGTGTGTGTGTGTGTGTGTGTGTGTGTGTGTGTGTATGTGTGTATTATATGTTTTATACATGTTCTTTAGTTGGTAATCTGAGTATACATGACAGGCTAGTATTTTAGGATATCGAAGAAAGTTTTCATAAAAAAGCCGGGGTCAGTAACAGACTGAGACGCTCAAATGGCTGAAGGTTGAAAACTAAAAAGACCAGAAAAAAGAAGCAAAAATATGCAAAGGTATGAATGATCTGAGATGTTTGTCGGCCTCTAAACTTCCCTCATTATTATTATTATTATAAACCTTCTTGACTTTCTTGAATCGAATGGATGTTTATTTTAATCTCCTAAGATAAAACGCAAACCCAGCGGGCAAAAAAATAAAATAAACAACACAAACTATATTTAAAGTCTACTTTTAAAGTACTAATAATGTAAAATTATTTTGGAGTTGGGGGTTTTGATATTTCGGAAAACGGAGCATTCAACCTTAACAAAATCATCTTTTTCTTATACTTATAATTTTGATTACTTTAATTTGACTTTTGCTTACAAGTTTAATTTTTTAACGGCAGAAATCAACTGGCCTGGCTAATTTACAAACTCCTTGCTTTTTTTCTATTTTAAAATTTATTTTGAAGGGATTTTCTTTTCCCCAACCTGCTCAGCTATAGAAGCTAAACTTTAAACTAGAAAAAAAAGAGAAAATTCATGCAACATGCAAACAGTACCTGTACGGATGATGGTTCGTGTGTTAAAAAAAAATAATAATTTAAAAAAACAAACAAAATAGCTAGATCGTCAGTGAAAATTCCGTCTTTTATAAATAAATGCTCATTTCAAATAAGTAATACATAGATTGTGCGAATGTATCTGAAATACTCGGGATGAAATAGATGGTCTAACGGAACCAATCGTTTTATCGCCGAACTTTCGGTTATTGTACAATCATCATCAGAGCTATACAAAAATTAATGTATATATTAATTTAAGTTTGTATTGCACTGATTGTGGTGATACAATACCAAAGATTCGGTGATAAAAATGATTTGGTTCTCTTAGGCCATCTTTTCGTCCCAGTATCAAGCCTAATGTTATACAAATTGAATATTATTTATTTTCTAATTGTATTTTACTATATATTTTATTTTGTAGTTGTAAAGGGGACAGGTACTGCTTTAAAATTAAAACTTCACTCACCAATTGTAGATTTGCGTCAGCAGGTAAATTTTGTTGAGAGTTTCGGGAATATTGCTTCTTTTTTTAGGCAACGAAATTGAACTGGAGAATTGTGTTGAATAGGGAGTAATTTGGACTTTATTTTGTATTTTCGATAGGCCAAGCTAAAGTTTAAAACTTATCAATTATAAAACAGCAAAATTTGCATTTGTATTTTTTTATTAATCAATAGAGGGAAGATAAACTTTGGCCAGATTAGTCTGAAAAATAATTCTTCGATATTTCTTCCGATGGTTAACTTTAGCTTTTTGATTCAAACAAATTACACAGTAGCAAACATGATATTAAGTCTTGATTAAATATAAGCAAAAAAATCCGTAAAGTTTTATTTATAAAACCCTGTCTATTACTATTCTCATACTTAGATTGATAACAGTTTAGAAAAAATTTAAATAAGTAAAAAAAGAAGCAAAATTTCCCGTGTCTTGCCACTATAAGAACCACACGCGAAATATTAAAAAAAAAAAAAAATGAGAGCACTCCCGAAACGCGAGCCAATGCTTTTTGTATTTATATCTAATGCGAAAGGACCAAGAATGAACAAAACTCAATATACAGTAATATCAATGCAAAACCACTTTGCAGAGGTTGCGAATCTTTTGTACCGAAGAGAAAGATTAAAGCTAACACGTATGCAGAAAAGAGAAAAATTGAAACAATTATGCCAAAACTACTTGATTAAAAACCGCTTAACCAAACTTTAAAAATATATTTTAAACGACTGTAAAACAATTTTTAGGTGAATAATTATCTCTTTCGTATAAAATACCAATGAGAATTTGTCTCCCCCCCCCAAAAAAAAAAAACCTTGAAAGGAATTTTTGTGTGGAATTTTGAATATACAGGGTGTTCGGCTACTCGTGTTACATACTTTGCCAGTAGATTCTACATTCAAAATGGAACCAAAAAGTGCGAAAATGGTCCGAATCTCAGCAGTTTCGGAGTTATTCCAATTTTTCTGATTTTTAATATTTCTCGACTTTGCTTCGTATAAATAATGATAACTCCAAAACTAAAAGGTTTTGGACAAAACCGTTGATACCATTGAAAACTACGTTAAATTGGCAATAGGATGTGATCAATACTAAACTTGCAAACCTCTCTGAAATAAGCGAAATCACCAAAATTAAAAAAAAAAGTTAAAATATCCTTAAATTTTTTTTAAATTTTCCTTTCCCAGTCCGTCAGCTTCTTTCCTTTCCTCCATCAATGAAGAACATCTTTAAAAAAGATAATTAAAAAAGAAATTACGCCACGAAAAAGAATATTAAATGAAATGACAATTTTTTTTTCAAACTAACTATGGTGATTCTAAACTACTACCAAACCTGAGACCAGCAAATTTCAGAAAACGATTCCATGTAATATCCTTTCTAGTGGTGCAATTAGTTTTTTACTTATTTTTTCCAAAGATGAAGAAATTGAAAAGGGAAAGAAGAAACCGTGGTTGAAGAATTGGTAAGGTAGAAAATGAAAAAAAAAACCCTTAAGGAAACCCAAATTGAAAAAAAGGGAAAGAAGAAACCGTGGTTGAAGAATTGGTAAGGTAGAAAATGAAAAAAAAAACCTTAAGGAAACCCTAATTTAAAAAAAAGTTTAATAAATTCATTCAAAATTTCCTTGTTTTTTAAATTTTTTTCCACCTTGCCAACTGTGTTTTTCCTTTCCTCCATCATGAAAAACATCTTTGAAAAAAAGGTAATTAAAAAAGAAATTACGACATTAAAAAGGAAATGACAAATGAAATGACAATTTTTTTTTCCAAGTTGAAAAACATACTGTGGTGATTCTAAACTACTACTTCCAGACCTGAGACCAGCAAATTTCAGAAAAAGTACTCCATTTAATATCCTTTTTAGTGGTGTAATTTCTTTTTTTTTTAATTACTTTTTTCCAAGATGAAGAAATTGATGAAGGAAAATAAAATAAACCGTGGTTGAAGGATTGGTAAGGTAGAAAAATTTTTTAAAAAAAATACTTAAAGAAACCCAAATTTTAAAAAAGTTTAATAAATTCATTCAAAATTTCCGTTTTTTTTTTTTTTTTTTTTTTTTTTTTTTTTTTTTCCACCTTGCCAATCCAGCCACTGTTTTTCCTTTCCTCCATCAATGAAAAACATCTTTGAAAAAAGGTAATTAAAAAAGAAATTACGCCTCTAAAAAGGATATTAAATGTAGTACGTTTTCTGAAATTTGCTAGTCTCTAGGTTTGGAAATAGTAGTTTAGAATCAGCATACTAAGTTTTTCAAGTTTGAAAAAAAAATTTCGAATTTCTCTCTTTTAAAACGCCTACTTTACCAACGTTTACAAGTTTAGTATTGATCACATCTTATTGGCAATTTAACGTAGTTTTCAATGGTGTCAACAGATTTGTTCAAAACTTTTCATTTTTGTTGTTATCATTGTTTATACGAAGCAAAGTCGAGAAATATTAAAAAATCAGAAAATGTGGAATAACTCCTAAACTGTTGAGATTCGGACCATAGTTAATTAGTACTTTTCGGTTCCATTTTGAATGTAAAATCTACTGGCAAAGTTTGTAACATGAATACCTGTTTAGTATTGCTTAGTTTTACAATATCTACCTACAAAAATGTCTTTTCGTCATGCGGATTGACGGGAATTCGTCACCTCGCTAACCTTTAGCTCATATTTACTCAAATTTGGTTGATAACAAAAAACTGGACTATAAATACTAGAGTTTAAAATTTTTGTCGTTAATATTTATCAACAGGACGACCTCAAACAATTCAACCTTCGGTTGTAATTTAGTTTAATTTGGGACTATAACCAGAAAATTTAATGTCAAATTGCAGACTTGACTTTGACCTTCAATGTTCACTCAGTCAAATTCTGAGAATAGGAAGTGGTAATTTTAAAAATTATATTATATACTACTGTTTGAAACCCCTTGGATTGGTTCCAACTCCAAGCTGAGGTCCACCTGTCCACAGGAGTTGATAAAGAAGAAAAAAATATGCATGGACTTACATACTTTCGGATAGTCAGGCAGTTATAAAAGCACTAGGAAAACGCAACAAGGTAACCTTAAGGTGGATTCCTGGGCAGCAATATTAAAAAAAAAAAAAAAAAAAAAAAAAAAAAAAAAAAAAAAAGACACGAACCACAACATGGCGCATAGGAGAATGTGCCTGAGAATGAATGTTGTTGGAGCTTGAGAAAGCTTTGGATAAAAGCACAAGATATGCAGCAAGATAAGAAATTTTTAAGTCTCTCAAAAACAAAGGCGAAGGGACTCCTCTCTTGCAGCAGGCAATTTTGAGGAAAATATGCCTCTATCCCTCTGACCTATCAACTAACACAGAACAAGCCAACCTGTCAAAGAAGAAGCAGCCCTCTCATCGGACAGAAACTACACCACTGAGAATGTGCTAATGTTGGTGTTGGAGCTTGAGAAAGAAAAATTCCAGCTTTGTTGAAAAGGTCCATACATGAGGCAAGGTAAGAGATTTTTAATCACTCAAAAATGAAGGCGAAGGGACTCCTCTCTTAAAGCAGGCAATTTTGAACTACCAACTAACATAGAACAGGCCAACTAGCCAGAGAAGAGCAGCCCTCTCATTGGACAGAAACCACATTAAGTGCACCGGAGCATGTGCTAATGTTTTAACTGGAAAAATGGCTTAATAAAGAAACACTCCAGCTTTGGATAAAAGCACACGATCTGCAGCAAGATAAGAAATTTTTAAGTCTCTCAAAAACAAAGACAAAGGGACTTCTCTCTAACAGCAGGCAATTTTGAGTAAACTAGTCCTTTATAACTCTGAACTACTAACATAGAACAGGCCATCTACCCAAAGAAGGACCAGCCTTCTCATTGGACAGAAGCTACACAAGTGTACCGGAGCATGTGCTAATGTTGGAGCTGGAAAAATGGCTTAATAAAGAAACACTCCAGCTTTCAATAAAAGCACAAGGTATGAGGCAAAGATAAGAAATTTTTAAATCTTTCAAAACCAAAGGTGAGGGACTCCTCTCTTGCAGCAGGTAATTTTGAGGAAAATAAGCCTCTATACCTCTGACCTATCAACTAACATAGAACAAGCCAACCTGTCAAAGAAGAGGCAGCCCTCCCATCGGACAGAAACCACACCACAGAGAATGAGCTAATGTTGGTGTTGGAGCATGAGAAAGAAAAACTCCAGATTTGTTGAAAAGCTTCACACATTAGGCAAGGTAAGAGATTTTGAAATCACTCAAAAATGAAGGCGAAGAGACTTCTCTCTAAGCAGGCAATTTTGTGTAAAATAGGCTTTTATAACTCTGACTCTTGGACAGAAACCATACAAGTGCACTGGAGCATGTGCTAATGTAGGAACTGGAAAAATGGCTTAATAAAGAAACATTCCAGCTTTCAATAAAAGCACAAGGTATGAGACAAAGATAATTTTTTTTAAATACCTCCAAAAGGAAGGCGACTCTTTTCTTTCAGTGGCATTATTGAGGAAAATAAGGCTCTCTACCTCTGAACTACCAATTAACATAAGCAAAATAGAGATAAACATGCCGGCTCTGTTTGGAGAAGAATTTTAATTTCATTTGACTAACTCTGTAAAATTTGTCAACTTGAAGAGATCAAAAATTAATCAAATTAACTGTTATTGTCTATACCATACTGAAAAGTTGTAAGGAAAAATTTGATGGATAAAATTGACCAATTAGAAAATTAAAAATTTGTCAACTTAAAAACTTGAAGCGATGACAACTTTAATTTTCATTTAGCCGGAAATTTATCAGCTAAAGTTTGGTCATTCTAATTGCCAAGTGTAGGAGCAATCGTCTGAACAAATGAATACAGCAGTCATTTTCTTGTAATGTTTCCAAACAGTTTTTTCAAATTTAACATCAAATGTTTTACTTGATATATTTGAAATTGTTAAACATGATGTACAAAAGTTGAATAAATTAATTTTAAAGTCAACACATTTGACTTACTGGCCAACTCCACAGATGGTTGCAGTGGAAGCTCACCAGGGTCCGTACTGTCTTGGGTAACTTTGTCCTTTCATTTTTTGACAATGTGAAATTTCGAATTTCACAACTTGAAAATTTGCTATTTCTCAAAATGGTATAATCTATAAGATTTATACCAGTTGAATGTTTAGAGCGTACGTTTTACAAGCAAGCATTCATTCGTACAGAATCGAAATAATCTGCCTGCTTTTAAGAAGTTTTCAATCGAGCCTTAAGTAATTTCACTTACAAAATTAAGTACTTCTTTTAAGTGAATAATCAGCTTTAAAACAAAAACAAAATCCACTTCTGCAAATAAAGCCAACAGTTTCCAGTTTCCAAGTGGCATTCAATCATTGAAAAGATAAGATATGTCAGGGTGAACTGTACGTTCAGTTGTCACAAAAAATACAGCCTGTTCCAAAAATCCAAGTGTTTTCCGTTTAAAAAAAAAATTGTTCATCACAAAATTTTGCTTATCTACAAAATTGTAGTCATTAGGCGTTCTATATAAGAAAAGTAATCGACTTGATTTTGTTAGGAATAAGAAGGATTTTTGGCATGGTTTAGCTTTGGAGCATTAAACCTCTGCTGCAATAAACAATCCAGAGCTTTTGGCAAAATCCAAAAATCAAAACTTTACAATATAGAACAATTTGAATATTGCATCACTCTTTTTGGTGTATCAACTTTTAGATACAACAGTCTCCTAAGTAGGTAGTTTAGTAGTACTAAGTAAGAAGAGCATAAGGTCTAGCTTTTTAGCAGCTTTTAAACATTTTATGGAAAACTGTCGTTTTGACTGAGCAGGCATATTTGTAAAGTTTGTTTAAAGCACACCAACTTTATATAAATTAGGCTTAAATGTATCAAAATATGCCAGAAGGTGGTTGGATAGGAGATGGTTGGATCTGGGACAACCCATAAGTCAACATATTTCGAACCGTGTCAGTGTGTTAACATAGCTGCTTTAAACTTTTAAAATCATTCGATTTTATTGTAATTTTAAAATCGGCCCCGTCACGAAGTTTAACGAGGCGGACATCGACGGGTTTGACGTGTCCACGAAGCGAAACAGGCCGGACCCACAAGTCGTCGGGAAAAAGTCCACGGCCCGATAAATGCTACTGGATTGGTTACCTTGTTGCTGAAGCAGGCAAGAGATGGTAAAATTGAAAACTTGTGGATCAAAACAGTATGAAATACAAATACAAACAACAATGGCTTTATCACTGGTGTAGTTCGCACTGCGCGTTCACATTCACCTCGGCGTGTTAAAAATCGGAAAACTTACGGAAAATAAAATTAACGGACGGTTTTTATTTCTAAACCGGAACAAATAAAAACAAACTGCTTAGCCTGAAAGGTGAAAACCAAAGCCGAAGCCCCGGTAGTGTTAACAGTTGTCGCTTTACACGGCCGAAAGCACTAGCTCAAAACACACACAAAAAAACACATAACTTAAAAAACAAACAAAAAAATAAACTTAATTTTATTTATCCTTGATTTTTTTAACTTTCTGTTTGTTTATAGTTTCGATACGATCCGTTCATTTAGATTGATGTAGTCGGGCAAAAGCTATCGTCGGTGTTGTTTCGTTGTCATTGGATTCCTGTAAACCGCGTGATAATAAACAAGGCATCATGGCGGTAAGTCTTATTTTCCTCTAATTTACAGTAATTTTATAATTCCCCAAGATTAATTATATATTAATTACTTTTTACGTTGTGATTCCGTTGCGTTTGAACTTTGAACAGAGTATTTTAGACCGTTCGACATCGAGGTATCATACCTCGTGGCCGAGGCGCACGGCACAACGTACCCCTTATCAAGTAATATTGTAAAAAGTTGTCCTTTTTACCTCGTTGAACAAGAATTTTCCAACGCACACAAAATTTTTTGAGTTCAAAGAAAAGCATTTGGAAATTTCCCAAGTCGTATCTTATTCAATAAATTATGTAATGTGATTATAAATATCGTCGGGATACAACAATTCTTAAAAGGCTCAGTGTACAACACATCCCGAATCACGATTCAATGTCTGTCATGCAACTTTTATTAAATAATCTTATAATAATAGCAATAAACTTTTATGAGTATAGTTAGTATCATCCTGGTCTGCCCTGTCCTCGAAGACAATAGGTACACTCATTTAAAAAAGTTTCCGAACACTTTTGGTAAAATAGAAGCAAACCTTTTAAATTAAATTGATTAACAACACAATGTCTTGCAACTAAACTGCTCAAAAATGAATAGGGATAGTTGTACTGCTCGGCATTCGTCCTTCACACCAGTCTCGTAGTTGAGTCAACTGAGTTCACCGTGGAAAGCATTGCAAGTGCAAGTTTCCATGTGGAGAAGTTCATTGAAGTGAATTATTAGTCCCGCGATATGGGACATGAGTGCAGTGATAAACTTAAAAGAAGCAAAGTTTGGACGGAAGTAGCACAGCTTTGAGAGAAAGCGCCCGTTTCCTATTTTTTTCTTCTCTTTTTGCAGAAGAGCAAGCACAAGAAGTCCTCCTGCTTCCTTGGGTTCTAACATCGTAGTGACCTCCCTTTGGGAAGAGAGGTTGATTCCACAAGTTGCCTGGTATGAAACCAGCAGTCTTCACACGACAGTAAACTAATTGAGAGTCAACCGGGCAACTAGTTGAATCAACCAAACCGCCTCGTCTGAAAGAGGCCTGAGTCATAGAGATTGGCTTTTCTCAGAGTGTGGTCTCCCGGGCTTTAGCCTGATTCCGGTGGACTGTAAGTGCCAATATGAGGCCTGGTGGTGGATCTCAGTGCATTACGATGCTAAGGTAGGACAGAAATATTGTCATTGCTGCAAGACGGATTCCTTTCCATAGTGCCCGCCAGATCCTAAATGAAGTACAAGATGTTTTGGCAAGGTCTTTATTGACATAAACATTTCATGATTGGTTTGTAAAGGCCTCAAATTGTATGCCTCTTTGAGGCGACCTGCAGCCAAGACGAGAACAACAATTGGAATGCTGTTATGTTTACTGATGAGATGCATTTCTGTCTGTACGTTGATAGTAGGCGTCGAAGAGTTTACTCAGAACAGGGAATGCGTCCAATGGCACAAATCGTACTCTCTTCAGTGCAATTCGGAGGAGGCGGTGTAATGGTCTGGGCCGGGATTTACCTTGCAGGACAAACTTGACTCCATATTGTTGAAGGCAACCTCACTGCAGTCCGTTATGTCCAAGAAATTATCAAGGAATACATTCCTCAAACCAGAAAGGGGAGACCCACTAGCTTAGGATAATTTAAACTCAAAGAAAATAAATCATCTACCCTTCTAGAGCCTCACCTTCAAAAGGCAAGGCTTGAGGAAGACGATAAGCTCAAATATTTCCCCCTTTAGTTTGGCGTGGTCTGCCGGTAAAGGGTCTCATTGGCAGGTATTTGCAATGTCTGGATCCCTTAGTTAAATTTTCCTTCAGTAAAAAACAATCATTTTAAATCAATTTTAATGCAATTTATAGTAAAAATAAAATTATAAACTTTAAAAGTCTGAATTCATTATTTTTTATTTCTTTGTTTATTGACAATTATCTTGATTTTATTTCAGTAAATGTAGGTTTAGGTTTACCCCTAATTTTTACTACTGCTAATAAACGATTGTTCATTATTAGAATTTTTTTCTCTCTCTCCATTTTCTCCATGTTCAGGGATGATCCAGTGTCCACTCCTGTAAAATCTCTTCTTTTACAATTATTTTTGTTTTTAAGCTGCCTTCCAATTCCCACAAGTGCTTAATAGGCTATCTAGGTGCCTATTCAAGGTGATTCACTATTCATATGAAAAAGTTTGTAAGAACCATGGTCCGATTCTCAACCATTTTGCAGATATTCGACAGTTTTTTTTATGTTTTTTATAACTATCTATGTGTAGCTCCTGAACTATTTATTTTTGGGAAATTTATTTACTCGTAACCTATACAGATTTTTACATAGTACAGTCATGATCACCGTATGTTTTTCTTTTCACACAGTCAAAGTCACACATCAATGCCAGCATTGCACTCAAGAGGGCATATGCTATGATAAGCCAGCCTATGCTGACACTCTTGTGGGTGTTTAAAGAGTAAGGTTTTGAGGTCATCATCGATTAAGTCAATGTGGCAGATTTTCGGTATAGGTATGTATAAAGAGGGCTCGAGCACTAGGTTAGAAGGTCATAGATGACCCAGCATAAAAAGCCTTAGAATATACTTGTACATTTTAACATATAAAGGATTGATCATTTTAAGAGCAATATTGTGTTACCATTATTAAACAATGCCAGTTTGTTTATCTATATACCATTCCATTTATCTCCATTTCTTTAAAACCATACAATTTTTTTTTCTATTTTATACTTTGAAAATAAGTTTTCTACGTGTTTAATTGTGTTTAAAAATTGTTCACAGACTCCAGCAATGCTTGCTAAAGCCCCAGAGGTAAGGGACATCGCAAGGATTGAAAGGATTGGCGCCCACTCACACATCCGAGGTCTCGGCTTAGACGACAGCCTTGATCCAAGAAACGTAAGAAATCATTTAAACTTATCATTTTACAATTTTAACAAACCCCATTCATCTTTATCAGGTCTCACAAGGCATGGTGGGACAGCTGAAGGCTCGTAGAGCCGCCGGTGTCGTCCTCAATATGATAAAAGAGGGCAAGATTGCTGGCAGGGCGATTCTACTCGCCGGTCCGCCCGGGACGGGAAAAACAGCCATTGCCATGGGTATCGCCAAGTCTCTCGGAAAAGACACGCCATTCACAGCAATGGCAGGCTCTGAGATTTACAGCCTCGAGATGAGCAAGACAGAAGCTTTAACACAAGCTATGAGGAAGTCTATAGGCGTTAGGATAAAGTAATTATTTATTTTTTCCTTTAAGTACTATCAATAAGTCAGAACAAACTAATAACAGAAAGTCTGTTTATAAATTCCTTTGATTGTGTCATTAATATTAAAAATATCTTTGTATTACTAAAAGCTAATCTTATTTTCTTTAATGTAATAAAATTAATGTATTTTTTAAGGGAAGAAACAGATATCATAGAAGGTGAAGTAGTTGAAATTCAGGTCGAAAAGCCGGCAACAGGAACTGGTGCAAAAGTTGGAAAGCTTACTTTGAAGACGACAGAAATGGAGACAATTTATGATCTCGGCACAAAAATGATAGACGCCCTTACAAAACAGAAAGTACAGGCAGGAGATGTCATAACGATAGATAAAGCGACCGGCAAGATCAACAGGATAGGCCGTTCATTCACTAGAGCAAGAGATTATGATGCCACCGGTCCACAGACAAGGTTCGTCCAGTGCCCAGAGGGTGAACTTCAGAAAAGAAAAGAGGTCGTGCACACCGTCACATTGCACGAAATCGACGTGATCAACTGCCGTACGCACGGCTTCCTCGCTCTGTTTTCCGGCGATACCGGTGAAATAAAACCGGAGGTCAGGGAAAAAATAGACGAACGTTTTGAAGAATGGAGGGAAGAGGGCAAAGCCGAGATCTCCCCTGGGGTGTTGTTTATCGACGAAGTTCATATGCTTGATGTCGAGTGTTTTGCATTTCTCAATCGCGCTCTCGAGGATGAAATGTCTCCTATCGTAATAATGGCGACAAACAGGGGTATCACAAGAGTGAGAGGAACAAACTACAACTCTCCTCACGGCATTCCACTTGACCTCCTCGATAGAATGGTCATAATATCTACAACAAAATACGATGAAGCGGAAGTCAAAGAAATACTGAAAATCCGGTAAGTATTTTGTAACCTTTCGCCCACAAATTTCTAAAACTTAAAATTATATTTTATAGGTGTGAAGAAGAAGACTGTGAAATGTCTGACGAAGCTCTTACAGTCCTCATGAGGATAGCCCTCGAAACATCACTACGATATGCAATCCAATTAATCACACTTGCTGGTTTAGTCGCACGCAGAAGAAAGTCAACAGAGGTTTATATTTTTTTAAATTGTTTTAATTACTAGTCATTTCAAAAGTTATCTCTTGGCCTGCATCATTGAAAAGAGAAAGCTCTCTTTAATCCATAACAATCACCAAAACCAGGGAAATCAAAATAAAACCTCTTCATTGCTCAGTTGCATTAAAGTATGAAAATTTTAGTTTTATTATGAAGTAATAATAATTGACTACACCTGTAAAAAAAATTTATTTGTAATTATCGTAAGGGCTTTATCTATAGATGCTGGGGTACCATGAATGAATGCTCGGACCAATTTACAATAATTTTATTGCTCAAATTATTAAATTAAATCCATAGTTCAATACTGGGATTCAAAACCTTAACTGTTATCTCACAATTATTATGAGATTTTAATTATCACTACCACCACCCCGATGTTAGAATATATCTGGGTTGAAACAAAAATAGTCGCTAACGATACTTCCCCGTACACAGTTGTCGTTCCAGAATGATCCACCTTTTATAGAAATTTCCTGGTTTTCAAAGCGTTGTAGGGTTTTTACCCGAAAAAAGTGAATTTTTTATCATATCGTCGTGAAATACATTAATCTTGATGGTAAATATTTTCTTCTTTGAAGGTATAATGGGGACAGCACAAAATAGGCAAAAGAATATTATCTTTTTGGCCTTTTGCTCCCTCACATTTTTTTTCCTTATTAATCGTAAATGATTAGTATTTTGTAAATAATTTAGTTAAAAAAATTGGTAGTAGTAGTTCATAAGTAATAAATATGGAAATAATTACTGAATTATCCTGCAAATATTTCATAATATATGGGCCATTATTCCAGAACGACATGCCCAAAAATCTAAAAATGGCATTTTTTAGCAGAATTAAGGGTTTATAATAATAATTAATAGATTTCAAAATTTAAAAAAAATCACTAATGTGTGGTGATTAGTGACCGTTAATCGATATTTATTTAGAAGTCGTGAGATGCGGTCTCACCATCCTCTTCATACAATAATAAACACGGCCAAAGGGTTACTTCACAGAATGATTACCCTGAGCCATGTATGATTATCATTTCACCACAAGAACATAAAGATATACAAACAGATCCTCCATAACAATCTCTACCCTAAACACATAATTAACAGAATAATCAACAATTACAACTCTACACTAACACCATCCACTATTACTAATAATACTACATTCGAATACAAACGAACCAACATACCATTTATCCAAGGCCTATCACACAAATTAAACACATTTCTCTCGTCCGATAACTTCAAAATAGCTTTCAAAAATTATATTTATATTATACAATTCAAACACTTTTTTTTCCAAAATTAAAGATGCCACACCAATAACAAATAAATCTGACTTAATCTACAAGATCAACTGTTTAAACTGTCCGGCAACTTACATCAGTCTTACATCCCAATATCTGGACAAGAGAGGAAAGCAACATATCTATGATTGCAAAAAACCCAAGCAAAATCCTACAGCACTCACTACCCACTTTTGAACACCAACACAATTTCGACTTCAAAAATCCAAAAATATTACATACAGAACAAAACAAATATAAACATAATTTTTTAGAAATGGTTTATATCAACCGAGATAAACACAGCATCAATTACAGAATAGATCCATGTAAACTCAGTCGCAGCTACGCCAATATCATTAATCACATTCAATACAGATAACATACCTATATCATCACATTACATTCCACACATCAAATATTTTTCACATAGTCTAATTTCTCAACAATTCAGCTTTCGTTTTTCTATTTATCCCTTTCTATATAATCCTGAAAGGATAATCTGGCCGAACCATTACATTTTTTCCCTTCGTCGGCTCCTTTCACCTCAAAGAAGCCAACGCCTTATACAAAAATGTCTTTTCTATACCGACATCCTTCCCCACCCCTTCAAAATCCAACGTATATAAACACAAAATAGCAAAATCTCACTGGCACTCTTGATACGACACTTAAGAATGGCACAATTACACAGAAGACAAACACTTTGAGTGAGTAGAAATACTTTGATTGAATATATAAAATATATTTTGCATTGTATAAATTAACTTTTCCACATCCAAAATGTAATTGTAATATGTAAACAATGTTTGTAAATCCCAGGCCCTGAAGATGATCTCAATAAAGATCGAAACGTTGGCACGATAAAGAAAATGTTTTTCTGAAACCACATCTCACGATTTCTAAATAAATATCGATTAACGGTCACTAATCACCACACATTTCTATACTGTAAATATCTTTTTAAATTTATTAAGGATTAGTAAGGAGAAATATACAATCGACAATATTTTCATATTATACAGGCTGTTATTCCAGAACGACGTGCCTAAAAATCTAAAAAAGTCATATTTTAGCAAAATTTTAATTAAGGGTAATTTTTAAACATTTCAAAATTTAAAAAAAAAATCACTAAAATGGCATGTATATAGCATGGTAAATCTGTTCTTGTAAATAACTAAAGTTTACCTTTATTTTATTCTGATTTCAGGTTGGAATTGAAGATGTAAGAAAAGTTTATTCGTTGTTCTTAGACGAGGAAAGGTCGACGGAGATACTCAATCAATACCAGGATCAGTATCTGTACGATCAGAAGCCACTGAAAGGTAAATTTAATTCGTAATTTTAATACATTTGTTCCAATTTTGTATTTAACCCATATTTAAAAAATTTAATACATTTATTTTTGAGGTGGTCCAGGAGGAGAGCCGATGGAGACTTGAATTCAAAAAAGAAAAACCATTCTACTTAAACCATTAGTGTTAATCTTTTGACTGTGTCTTGAAAAATAAATATTTCTCAGTGTACATTTTGGTCTTAACTTTTTAAACACCGTCATTATGAAATAGATGTAAATTAGTTTTAAACCTGATGAAGAACAGTTCTTCTCTGAAGATGGTGCAAAAATAAAATATGTTGAATTTTACATAGTAGTAATATCAAAAACCTGTGTGTAGAAGGACAAAGTGCCAGTTCAACATTGTCCACCAACTAGCTGGCCAAAACCAACAATTTTATTTAAATCTAAAATTAGATCTTTTTTTTAAATTAAATTTAACAAGCAAATTTAACATTGATTTTGAGTTCAAAAATAATTATCAATACAAAATGTTTGTTTTTAATTGATTTTTTTTCCAATAAACTAGTGTTAATGAATTGTGTTCATTCAACATCAAACTTCAAAATATTTTATATTTGACAGAGTGAAGGTAAAATTTAAACAACTGATATAAATTTTAAAATAAATTATAAAAATGTAACACGAAATTGAAAAAGTGGGTCAAGCATAAATTGAGATAGCTACTTCTTGTAAGAGACAGGTATAATAAAATATATTAATTTACATAGTTACGTTTAGTGGAAAATTATTTATTTGACAGGCTATTCCTTCAAGCTTGAAAGTTTTTTTTTTTCTAACCATAAGGGGTCGTTTAGTAATAGTTAATTCTCTCCCGTGAATTAAAAAATATGTATTAATATAATATTATTAATAATGTGTTATTAAATTAATAAAAATCGAATGCCTGAACTGATTTGCATTCAATGCTTCCCATTTTAGGACAGAGGATACAGGAAACATAAACGACAAGCCATTCACTGTCAACCACTTGACAATGAATATTTTAATAGCAAAGGGTGATAGATTCGTAATGCGTCAACAAAAGGAGCTTAACCTTCAATTCAATTACCATTAATTTTGTCAGCTTATTATAATTAAAACAATAAAACTTTTATGGTGTGAAAAGGGTAGGGATCGAAAGGTACATAGGTATTTAAGACAAATTCCCTCGGCATATTTGTGTTCTTCTTAGTGCCGTGTTATATTTCTGTTAGAAGTTGTAAGTCATTTAATATTCAAATTCTTCAGATGATCGGTTTTAATCTATAGAGTGGTTGACATACGGTATTTTTCCCCTTGATTCAAGTACGATTGCAGAAAAATGTCTTCAAACGTAGAGGAAATGCGGTTAGGTAATGAAAAGATGAAAAAAATACGACAGGAAGTGGTCATATCGGGCATTTCTGGAAAATTTCCTGAATCTGACAACATGGAGGAATTGAAGGAGAATCTTTTAAACAATGTCGATATGGTGACAACTGCTGATGGTAGATGGCCTAAAGGTAGTTGAAATAATTTAAAAAAAAAATGTTAACAATTTCTTTTCTTCTTTTAATAGAAGTAGTGTTGTTAAAGTACATTAAATTTTTAAAAATTGATAATGGCCATTCACAATTATTTGATATGATTAATAGTATAAGAGTTTTTCTAGGAATTTATGGCACCCCTGAAAGGCTTGGAAAAATCAAGGATTTGTCAAAATTCGATTCAAATTACTTTAGCGTGCACGCAAAACAAGCTCAAGTACTAGATCCACAGATACGATTAATGCTGGAGTTGACGTACGAAGCGATGGTAGACGCAGGTGCGTTTTTTTAGCATAACTTGTACTGTTTTTAAAAATAAAATTAATCGACCATAGGCGTCAACCCTGAGGATTTGAGAGGGACGAACACCGGAGTTTACATTGGCGCTTCATATTCAGAAAGTGGAGAAATATTTATGGGGTCTGGAGTGGGCCTAACTGGCTATGAATTGACCGGTTCTTCAAAGGCAATGTTTGCCAATAGAATATCGTACTCGTTTGATCTGAAAGGGCCTAGTTTAATCATCGACACAGCTTGCTCGAGTTCAATGTTGGCTTTTCATATGGCAGCCAATGCTATAAGAAATGGTGAAATCGACGCTGCCATCGTGGGTGGGGCTCATATATGTTTAAAACCCGTCACCTCATATCAGTTTCTCATATTAAACATGCTAAGCCCCGATGGAGCGTGCAAAGTTTTTGATAAAGACGCAAATGGCTATGTCAGATGTGAAACCGTATCTGTACTCTTGCTCCAGAAATCACAAGATGCAAAACGGATCTACTCTTATGTCGTTCACACAGGCATCAACTGTGATGGAAACAAAAAAGAAGGCATTACTTATCCCAGTGGTAAATGCCAGAAAAATCTGATGAAAAGAGTATTCGATGAAGTCGATCTAAATCCCAATATGGTCTCTTACATAGAAGCACACGGCACTGGAACAAAAGTAAATATTTATATTACATATCACTATATGCATACGGTGAATAACGTTTTTGTTATTTTTAGGTCGGGGACCCTGAAGAGGTTGCCGGTATAGCAGAGATTTTCTGCAAAGACAGAAAGAATCCTCTTCTAGTCGGTTCGGTCAAATCGAACATGGGCCATGCCGAACCGGCTTCGGGAGTCTGCGCCCTTGCGAAAGTCATCATAGCGATGGAAACTGGAATTTTACCAGCAAATTTACATTTCAAAGAGCCAAATCCAGACTTACCAGCACTGATTGACGGGAGAATAAAAGTAATTTATATCAGATTAATTTATACGTTTGAAATTAAATTATAATTCAATTACTTTGATAATTCTTTCAATTTAATATTAGGCAAGTAAAGATTTATTTATTTTTATTGGGTTGTCCGGAAAATAATGCAGGATTTTAAGTTTTCATTAAAAAAAATCTATATAAAATATTCTGTTTACGTTTACAGGATTACTCANGAGAGTATGGGAAATTATTTTGATTAAAGAACATTGCTTTAAAGTAACTAGTTTCTTTTTTTTTGTTTAATACCAAAATCCTGCATTATTTTCCGGACAACCCAATACATTAAAAAGGTGAAAATATTTAAAAAAGATTATCATTCATTTATGCAATTGAATATGAAATGTTATAAATGAATATGTATCATTCTAAATATTCTAATTCTGTTTGCACTTGACCTTTCTTTGTCAATGTCTTTTGGTAATTCTTAAATGAACACAATTAATTAAAAAACAAACAGTGATCTATTGAATACTAATGATTTAAATCTTTCCACCAAACACCACATTAATATTAACGACAAAAAAATAAAACATTAGAAAATATTGTAACGTTGAATGAAACTCCCAATCAAATTAATTATTTAATATTTTTTAAGTTTTTGAATTAAACTAACTTTTACATTTAATACAAGGTTGTTAATAAGAATACAAAGTGGAATGGTGGATACGTCGCTATGAATTCTTTTGGTTTCGGCGGCTCGAACGCACATATCATTTTAAAGAGCAATCCTAAACAAAAGAAGGCCGATTTAAAAAATCACCGGCTCGTACCGGTTTGTTATTCTGGGCGTAACGAAGAAGCCATCAAAAGCTTTTTTCAATATGTAAGTGAAAACTGCTCATGGATGTTTCAACTTTTCCACAATTTTTTTTTAAATTGTTTTAGCTGAACAAATTACCAAGAGATGATGGGTTTATATCATTAATACATAACATCCACAAGAGGCACATACCTGGGCATAATTTTCGTGGTTATACTATACTCGGTGCGAATGAAAAAATTCAGGAAATCTCAGTACGATTTTACCGCTGAAATTAGGTGTAAATTTTTATTTTTATAATTATTTCTTTAATAAAAACAGGAAGAATCTGGAAGGAGGGAAATATGGTATATGTTCACCGGTATGGGCTGCCAGTGGCCAGGAATGGGAAAAGCGTTTATGTGCCTGAAACCATTCTCTGATGCGATACACATTTGTGCTGCAGCTCTTAGCACTGTCGGTGTAGATTTGTTAGATCTAATTATGAATGCGAATGAAACAACTTTTGACAAACTTATTCATTCCTTCGTTTGCATAACTTCAATACAGGTAAACTTCTCGCTCATGGGGTTTAAAATTAAAAATATTTAAACAAAATTACATTTTATATAATAGATTGGGCTTGTTGATGTTTTGACGGCACTGGGAATTAAGCCGGATATGATCATCGGTCACTCGGCCGGAGAGCTGTCTTGTGGATACGCCGATGGTTGTATGACACGTGAGCAAGCAGTACTTTCAGCTTACTGGAGAGGCAAGAGCACCTTGGAAACTAAGCTATCACCCGGTCTCATGGCTGCTATCGGTCTTCCCTGGAAAGAAGCAAAACGCAGATGTCCGCCTTCTGTCTATCCAGCCTGTCACAACGGTGAAAACTCCGTCACCATTTCCGGCGGTAAATGTGAAGTCGAGGAATTCCTTGAAGAGCTTAAAAAGGAGAACATATTCACAAAAAAAGTTGCAAGTTCTGACATAGCTTTTCACTCCTGCTATATATCTGATGTAGCACCGAAACTTTTGAAAAAATTACAAACCGTATGTTTTTTGTCAAACTTTTCATTTTTGTTTTGGAGTAATATAATAATGGTTTCTTTTCTATAAAGGTGATTCCAACTCCAAAAGCAAGAAGCACAAAATGGCTAAGCTCTTCTGTTCCGGAATCCGAATGGGAATCTGAGATAGCATCAACCGCATCACCCAGTTATTATGTGAACAATCTTCTTTCACCTGTGCTCTTCCATGATGTCGCTTTAAAAATCCCCGATGGAGCTTTAGTCATCGAAATAGGCCCGCATTCAATTTTTCAATCTATATTGAAAAAAACCACACCGAAGAACTGCTTGAACATCGGCCTCACCAAGAAATTAGTACCCGATGAATTGGCTCATTTCATGGCCAATGTTGGAAAGTGAGTTGCCTCTTAATTCAAACCCTTCGTATTAAAATTTTATACATTTTTCTAGACTGTTCATCGCCGGACATAACCCAGATTTGAGCGTTTTTCACGGCCCTGCCGACTTCCCTGTTCCTGCTGGAACGCCGATGATATCACCTCGTGTCGTATGGGACCATTCAGCAACATGGAAAGTCGCTAACTTCCGGATATTGGTATGAATCTTCAATATGATTTTAAAAAAATGACGATAATAATTTAGTTTTCTTAGACGGGTTTGAACTCGATGGAATTCAGGGCTGAAATAGATATGTCTTATGAAACCAATGCTTACATCAAAGGTCATACTATTGATGGAAGGGTTTTATTCCCTGCGGCGGGCTATCTTGTAAGTTAAAAACACTTCGGTTTTTTTTATTCAAATTAATTAAACTTATTTTAAGTGTTTAGCATGGAAAGCATATGTATGGTTTTTATACAGAAAGGATGAAAATTTGCCTGTGTCAATAGAAAATGTCAGTTTTCTCAGAGCTACAGTCATGCCAAATGATGGTAAATATTTTATTTTCAAACCAATTTGGTTAAAATTTAAAATAACGGTAATTTTAGGTGCAGTGACCTTTTGCATTGGTATTAATACCGTAACTGGAAACTTTGAAATAACCGAAGGCAACGCTCTGGTGGTAACCGGACAAATTTCAATCCTTGAAAATTTAAATGATACAGTCGGCCCAATTACAAAAAAACAAACGTCAGAGTTCAAGGAATTAGAAAAAGAGGAGATTTACAGAAATCTTCATCTCAGAGGTTATAACTATGACGGTCTGTTCAGGGGAATAAAGTCGTGTGAAATTTTAGGTAAATCATGATTCAACATGATGTTAATACAAGTATTATTTATGTTACATTTTTTCTTTTTTGATAAAGGTGATAACGGTCTTTTGGAGTGGAAAAATAATTGGGTAACATTCATAGACACAATGCTCCAGTTTATGATTATCGGAGTCAACTCAAGGCAACTCTGCCTGCCTACAAAGATTTTGAAAATTACAATCGATCCAAAAAAACATTTAGAACTCCTGAATGGTTTAGAAGGTTGTCATTTTCTTTCAAAATCTGTTGCACAAATGAAATAACTATTGAAATTTTAGAAATTCCGATCCAAAGGATGAAATCTACCGGCATTATTAGATCTGGAGGAGTTGAAATTAGAGGTATGAAGGCAAGCCGAATGTCAAAGAAAATAGTTACACAAGCAGCCAAACTAGAACAGTATTGCTTTATGCCTTATAACCCCGACAAGGTAAAACTTTTTAATAAACCGGAGGCTCCAGGTGAAAAATAATAATCATTTCAGGAAGTACCTTGGCAAGAGGCGTTAACAGTTTTGGTACATTTGGTGCTGGAAAATTCAAGAAACAGGATGAAAATCGCTGAGTTTCATCAGGACGTAGAAAACGTTTTTGCGCCGGATGTCTTAAAAATCATTGAATCTGAACCTCTGGCGCATGCAGAAATTTTGGTCCACTCAGATATTTTAACTGTCCACCGAGAATCATTGGAACCTTTAAACATAAAAAGTTACAATTTAGAGAATAATCTCGATTTGGTCATTACCTCCGACTTAACTGAAAATGTTAAAGCTGCTGTCAATGCCATACGCACAAATGGATTCATTCTCACCTATAGAGGTGAAAACAAAGATGATTTTAATGATTACTCTCTTGAAAAGATCTCAAGAATAAATACTGAAAAAGGAACGATGGCATTATTTAGAAAAGTAAGTAAACACTGGAAAGCGATTTATATTTAAATATTAAATTCCCCTGCCCAAAACAGGTGGAAAATTGGAATATGCCAATTTGCCTAGAAGTTAAGTCTAATTTTGATTGGATTGATAATTTGAAAGAAGCTTTGAAAACCAGCGTGGACACTGGTAAAAAATACCTTCTTGTGGCTAAAGAATCAGTCTCGGGTTTAGTTGGAATGTTTAACTGTCTTCGACAAGAGCCTGGTGGAGAAAATTTTAGGTATAATAATTCAAGCTAAACTATCATTAAAGAAGTTTTAAAATTCACGTGTTCTAGGTGTTTGTTTCTTAACGACGATGTGGATTTAGATCATTGCAAGGAACAGCTCAAGAAAGACATGCTTATGAATATATACAAGGGTAATTTTCCGAATACCCTTAATTTTTGTTATACTTTACATATTAACTTTTTACAGATGGAAAATGGGGAAGCATGAGACATTTATTGGTGAACAGATTGAACGATACAGTAGATATGACTCATGCTTACATATCTACACTTGTACGCGGGGATCTTTCCAGTTTACGATGGATTACAAGTCCTTTGTATAACTATAGACAAGGCTTGGATTTATGCACTGTTTACTATTCGCCCCTAAATTTCAAGGATGTGATGATAGCCACTGGAAAGCTGGTCATCAATGAAGAATTCTCTCCCAAAAGTTTCGAAAAGGTGAATTTGTACGGATAAATTTATTCCAGTTGCTTGACTTGGTCGGTTTTCTAGGATTGGCACCTTGGTATAGAATTTGCCGGTATTGACTCAAATGGCCAAAGAATAATGAGTTCGACAATACATCCGGGATTGGCGACGCATGTTGAATATATTAAAGAGCTGGCCTGGTTAATACCAGCAAAATGGAGTCTGAAAGAAGCAGCAACGATACCCACGGTTTATACGACGGTATGAATAACCTTACATTTTATCATGCTCAAGCTGAAAGTTTCTATTGTTTTCAGGTGTACTATTCGTTATTTTTAAGAGGAAATCTGAAGCGCAATGAGAGCATTTTGATCCATGCCGGATCAGGAGGGGTGGGACAGGCGGCTATCAGAGTCGCTTTCAGCATGGACTGTGAGGTTTTCACGACAGTCAGTTCAAAAGAAAAGAAAGAATTCCTTTTGAAGACTTTCCCAAAATTGAAAGAGGCCAACATTGGAAACTCGCGTGACACAAGTTTTGAACAGTTAGTCATGGCGAGGACAGAAGGGAGAGGAGTTGACCTCGTCCTAAATTCTTTAGCAGGCGAATTGCTTCATGCGTCAATAAGATGTCTAGCAAATTACGGAAGGTTTTTGGAAATTGGAAAATTTGACAGTATTAAAGACACAAAAATTGGTAAAAAATAGTTACTAAAAGTTTCTTTTAAAAAGGGGCTTTTTTTTCAATTTAAACGAAAAATTTTATTTTTTAGGCACGGCTTGTCTTTTGAAAAGTGTTTCTTTCTGTGGAATACATATAGATGACTTAATGGTCGATAAGAGTCAGGTTCCGATATTAAAGAAACTCCACGATATGGTCCAGGAAGGAATCGATGCGGGCGTAGTGCAGCCATTGCCGTATACCACGTTCCACCATTCACAAGTGGAACAAGCGTTCAGATTCTTAGCGACTGGAAAGCACATTGGAAAAGTCATTTTGGAAATTAAAAACGGAGAAGAGTCTGAGAACAATTCGACCTTGGGCGTTGTACCGGCAATACCAAAAACTTACATGAATCCGAAGAAGTCTTATGTCGTGCTAGGAGGCCTGGGAGGCTTCGGTCTTGAGCTCACCAACTGGTTATTGTCAAGAGGGGCTAAAAACATCCTTCTCGGATCGCGTAGAGGAGTCAAAACAGGCTATCAACAGATGTGTCTGCAAAGATGGAAAGAATTAGGTTTCAATGTTGCCGTTTCAACTCAGGATACAACAAATTTGTCAGGGGCAGAAAAGCTTTTAGAAGAAGCAAATAAAATGGCACCTGTTGGAGGGATTTTCAACCTTGCTGTCGTAAGTTTTATTATATGGGGAAAAATCTTAATACTAACAGTTAATTAACGTTTTTAGTCGAGATAAAAATGTCAATGGCACGAGCGGGATTTGAACCCACGATCTTCGGCTAGATAAACCGCTGCTCTACCACTTGAGCTATCGTGACCTCGAGCCGCTCGGACATTAACTTCCTATCTCACCTTTTGAATTTTCCCTCCTTTTTGCCATTTTTTTATCTCGACTAAAAACCTTAATTAACTGTAATATATTAATTGGTCAAGCGGACCACAAAATTAGTCAACTTAATACTAACTTCTGCTAATTCTTAAGTAGTCCTAGTTTTTAATTTCATAATGAAGTATAATCATCTTGAAATATAAACCCTGTAAGATCTGTGTTATTTAATTGTGATTTGTTCTTAGGTTTTGCAAGATGCACTGTTTGAAAATCAATCAAAAGAAAGTTTCCAGGAAGTTTGCAGATCGAAAGTCAATACCACGAAAAATTTGGACGTCGCTTCTAGAAAATTATGCCCCGATCTCCAACTTTTTGTCGTGTTTTCATCAGTATCATGTGGACGTGGAAATCCTGGTCAGACAAATTACGGCTACGCTAATTCTGTCATGGAACGGTTATGCGAAGCGCGTCATGCAGCAGGATTACCAGGGGTACGTTGTAAAATTTGTCTCAAAATGACTGTTCTAATTTCTCTCGGTTGTAGCTTGCAATACAATGGGGAGCGGTTGGCGACGTGGGTCTCGTAATCGAAAGTCTGAAAGGCAGCAATGAAACTGTAATCGGAGGTACTGTTCCGCAGAGAATCACCTCTTGCCTCGATACGCTGGACACATTCTTGCAGATGAACCATCCAGTTTTGTCATCTTTAGTTCTCGCGGACCGAATACAAAAGTCAAAAGATAAAGATTCAAAAATAGAAGACATAATTGCAAATATTTTAGGCATTAGGTCGGCAAAGAACGTACCAGGTTCTTTAACTCTAGGTGATCTCGGGATGGACTCGTTAATGGGAGCGGAAATCAAACAAGTTTTGGAATTCAACTACGACTGCTTTCTCAACGCTTCACAGATCAGAAACTTAACATTCGACCAACTCAGACTTTTAAACAGTTCAAACGCAAATGAGAAAGCTGAAAATGCTTTAAACACCGATGACGAAAATTACGATTCGGAAGGTTTGATTCCAAAGAAGAAAGTGGTAAAAATGAAATCAGGAACTTCTTCAAATAAAACCCCTTGGTTTTTTATCCACCCTATTGAAGGAAAAGTGGAACCATTGAAGTTCATAGCAGATTCAATGGATACAGATGAAGATATCTGGGGGTTGCAGTGTACCGAAGACGTACCTTTGAACTCTGTAGAAGAGTTGGCAGAATTATATATTAAGGTAAGGAATCTTAAATCGACTAAAAAGTCAATAGTATGTTTTAATTGGCCCTCTTTGCTGAACAAGAGCATTTATTAAGTGATTTATAATTTTATCGAAAGCTCAAGTGGTTAGATCAGTGGCATATTGAGTTGAAGATAATGGGTTCACATCCTGCTTGTGACACTAATCTTTTAATCTCAATCACACTTTACATAAAATTATAAATCACTAAAGAGTCAATGTATGAAGTTGATTTGTTTATCTTTTGTTATTAGGAAATTCAAAAGGTACAAAAAAAAGGCCCTTACAAGATATTAGGCTATTCCTTCGGATGTATAATAGCGTACGAAATGGCGTCCCAACTTGAGAAAACCGGCGATTATAGTCTTTTAGTGTTCCTAGACGGTGGGCCGTATATGGTTTCGACCGCTACCGAAATTTACAGGCAGTCCAGAAAAACGGAAAAATCAGATGAGGTGGACGCTTTTGCATACTTCGTGTCTCAATACAATCCGAGCGTGGATTTCGCCAAAGCCTTAACCACGATGAGGTCTCTCCCTGATCTTGAAGCAAAATTAAGCTATACGACTTCACTCTTGAAAAATTTAACATACAGCGAAAAAGAAATATCAGATGCAGCGTATGCATTTTTCAAAAAGCTTGCCCTAGCCGAAGCGTACAAACCTACTGGAGTGATTAATAGTAAAGTCATTTTAATAAATTCGACGGACAATTTTATAACTCTCGACCTCGAAACCAAGCTCTCAAAAGTAATACTTGTTATTTAATCTTTAATTTTATATTTGTTTTGATAAATTAATTTAATGTTTATTTTTTAACAGCTTTGTAGGCAGACCATTAGTTATCATACCATCGAAGGAGATCATAGAGCAATAGTTCAAGGGGAAAATGGCAAAAAAGTTGCCAGGCTTGTCTCTAATTTATAATATTCAAAGGAAACCCTAAAACTTTATAAGACTAACATAAATAAACTGTTGTATTATAATAATATCGCTGTTTTCTCTTTCCCACTTATGATATTTGTAAAAAAAAAATTAAAATTATGTAAAACTTTGAATTTGACAATTTCTCAATTTCTACTAGTTGAACATGCACCACACAGGGTGAAATATATTTTACCTTTGCTTACATTCCTTCCTGTTAAACATTTATTATTATATCACATTTCCATAAATAAAGAGCCGGCAAGGATATTTCGAGGAAAAAAAAATTGATATAGTTTTAGAAACAAAAACATTCTTTTCATTATATCACAAAAATGTCTATTAACGAATAAACAGTAAAACTTAAAAAATAAAGTCCACCTATGATTTACAAAATAAAGAAAATTTACATAATTTAGAACCATATGTACAGTTAGAAAGAGATCTTTTTTAATTTAAGTTTGAAAGGATTGTTGCTATTTTATTTCCAGACTCGCCTTGCAGTATCGTCTTGTGGTCACCTTCCATTGTGTGAACATCAGGCTTTTCTTTGCACACCTAGAAAAACAAAAAGTTATTATTATTATTATAAAAAGTTAAGTAAGTGATATTTGCATTACTATTTTTTTTTTTTTTTTTAACTCACATTTGTGACACTGGTAACTATGTCATTTCCGACGAAACCTTCATTGGCTTTGATGAGGGTGGCTTTGCCCTTAAAGACGTTGTTGGGTTTGTACATAGAGGCGATAAGGAGTTTTTTGAAGAAGACAAACGCAGCCTGAGATATCTGCTCATCGCTGAATTTAGTGTGTCCTTGTAGCCGTGTTGTGACCATTTTAAGCCTGGCTTCTATATTCGGAAGTTTCCTTAAGTCGTTCTGAGTCTGTTCTATATCGGTGGCGGGGTTGAACAATGCGACAAAGTAAGCCAAAGCGTCTGCATCATTTGCATCTTTGTTGCGATTTTCCTTGTACCGCCCTGTGTACGCGGTGACAAATGTTGGCGAACCGTCCAGGAAAACAAGAGTGACTTTTTCTTTGTAAGTCTCGAGGAGAAGAGCCATTTCAAAAGCTACCATAGCTCCGAAAGAATAACCGACCAGCCTGTAAGGACCATTCGGTTGTACTTTTTTGATTTCCTGTAAAAGAAATTTTCCATTTTAATCTACTGAACAAATATGCATTGACATAATTATCTTACTTTAGTGTAGTATTCTGCCATTTGTTGAGTTGTATCCATGGGTACGTCGGCAGTACACTGGAGCCCCCAAATTTCTTCAGGGACTGACATAGCTTGCGCCACTGTTTTGAAAATATCAGAAGTCCCTTCAATCGGGTGGACAAAGAACCAAGGCCCGTTTTTCGAATTGTCTCCGGATTTCAGTTTGACCATGACTTCTTCCGGGAGGAGTTGTTCCGATTCGAAAGAAATGAGTTTTTCGTCGGAGCTGTTCACAGCAGGTGCCGAAGAGCTTTCTCTACCTTCAGCGATTTCTCTCAGTTTGCCGAATGTGAGATTTCTGATCTCAACAGGGCTGAGTATGATATCGAAACCCCTTTCGAGCACCTGCTTTATCTCAGCTCCCATAAGCGAATCCATGCCGATATCTGATAAGGTAGTGGCATCCGCAATTTTCTGTACGTTCTTGATACCGAGAATATTGGAGATCATGTCGAGTACATTAGCAGTGCTGGCTTCTTTTCCTTTACGTCTCCTTTCTGCGACCACCATCGAAGCGACAACAGGATGGGCAGTTTGCAGTAACGAATCCAAAGTGGCAAGACAAGATGTGATCCTCTGTGGAAGTGTGCCTCCCACGACAGTCTCATTGTCTCCTTTCAGCCCGTCTATAACTAAACCTACATCTCCTACAGCTCCCCATTGAACGGCAGTCTAAAAATTAAACCGATTAATTTGAAGAATATAAATAATAATAAATGTAAGCATACCCCAGGGAGGCTTAAAGCCTGTCTAGCCTCACAGATCCTCTCCATGGCAGAATTTGCATAACCGTAGTTTGTCTGGCCGGCATTTCCTCTACCGCAAGATACTGAAGAGTAAACGACAAAATAATCCAATTCTGGGCACAACTCCCTTGAAGCCAAATCGAGATATTTAGTAGTATCTACTTTGACTTTACAGACTGCTACGAAATCATCTTTGGTCAGTTTCTCCATAAAAGAATCCCTTAATACCTTTACAATAAAAAGTAAAGTTAAATCATCAATTAATTGTTTATTTTATTTACATTATTACTTACAGCAGCAAGGTTAAAGATTCCACCGACTGGTGCTAATTTGTTTGCATCTTGCAAAAGTTTCTTTGCCCCTTTCAATGTAGTAGCATCTTCAGTTGAGATTGTGACATTGTAGCCACGTTCTTCCCATCTACGAAGACACATGGCCTGATAACCGGTTGTAACGCCACGCCTGGATACAAGTATCACATGCTTGGCTCCTCTTACTAAAAGCCAGTTGGCCAGTTCGAGTCCAAAACCTCCTAGACCTCCAAGAATGACGTACGACTTATCTGGATTCATATAAGTCTTTGGTAAGGCCGTTACGACCTGCGGTTTGACATTCTTGACAACTTTTTCGCACTCTTCTTTCTTGATTTCCAAAAGAACTTTTCCAATATGCTTTCCACTGGCCATATATCTAAAAGCTTGTTCGACTTGCGTGTGGTGGAAAGTAGTTTTCACAAGAGGTTGAACTACACCAGTTTCAATTCCATTCGACAATAGTTCAACAATTTGTTTCTTCTCATCTGTAGAGCCTTCAATTTCAAAAACTGCATCCAGAAGAATACCGTGCACTTCAATTCCCTTTTTAAGTACTGACATTCCTGCGGAAGAAAAATCAATGCTGTAGCGAGAGAACAGTTTGGAAAATAAATTTTTGAACTTACCGATGGGAGTATTGCTGAACATATCGGCCTTGCCTATTTCCAAAAATCTACCATTTTCACCGAGACACCTGATCGTGGCTTGGAGCAAATCGCCGGCGAGAGAATTGAGAGCGACGTCGACTCCTTCACCTCCCGTCCTTTCTAATACAAGCTGCTCAAATGTTGTATCCCTAGAGTTCCCAATGTTCTCTTCTTTCAGATTGGGGAACACCTTCAGCAGAAATTCCTTCTTCTCCTTCGTGCTCACTGTCGTAAAAACTTCACAGCCCAAGCTGAGGGCTATTCTTATCGCAGCTTGTCCCACACCACCTGTGCCCGCGTGCACCAAAACCTTCTCACCTCTTTTCAATTTCCCTCTGACAATGAGAGAGTAGTAACTCTAAAAAAAAAAAATAATAAATAAATAAATAAAAAAATTGAAGTGAATGATTGCCGTTTATTTTGAACGATTGATGATTAACACAATAAATACCGTAGCGTAAACAGCAGGTACTGTAGCAGCATCCTCCATTGTCCATCTGGCCGGAATAGGCCATTTCATGTTGACATCAGCAAGAACCGACGTTGCCATAGCCTTAGACCGCACCAGTCCCATGATTCTGTTTCCTTTAGAATCCCTCCCAGAGTATTCAAAACCAAGGATACATTCCTGTACGACATTCAGATGGTTAAATTAGGAATAATTAATAAAACAGTTTATTCTGACCTCTTCGGCTTGACGTCCTGGAAGGGCATCCATCGGCAGTTTTCCAGATGCAAGCATGACATCTTTAAAGTTTAACGTAGAATAGTATACAGTGCATAGTTCAAGATCCTTGTTATGTTCTGGCCTGTAAAGATAAAAAATTATTAGCATTGTAAAACTATTTGTGTTCATAAATTTAATACCTGTTGAAACCTAATGGACTTTCGATCCATCGTAAACTAGCGAGATCACCCTTTGTGATCGTGTTGATGTAAGCGTGTTTGACGTCCAATGTGATATCTTTCACATCAACCAACAGATGTCTCATGCTTCCCCATTCACCACCTAAAAAATTAAAGTTTATGGTCACTCATGATAAAACGAGCTCAGTGGCGGCATACCTTTGTAGACGTTGACTAGCAAGTCCTTCTTCAACTGTTCTCGTTGAGACGAAAGGTCCAACTTAGAACTATCCGCAACAAACACACATCTGAAGTTCTCACCACCGGGTTCCTGTTTAAGACAGTTGAAAAACCCAAGAATACCAGATTCTGGCTCTTTGAGTGAAGCCACAAGGTATTTCTCGCCTGTTTTTTCACTATCTTTCATCGCCGTTTTAACTGTTTCGACCCAGTTAAAATTTGAATCAATTTCAATTACTTTAGGATATTTCCAGCCCTCTACCTGTAAAATTTAAATAAAAAATTATTTTATAGAATAAAAACTTTTATTATATAAACTATTACCTTTCGAACAAGCACAAATGAACCTCTGGGCGTTAATGTTTTTGATACGACTTCAACAGAGTTTCCATTTGAAATAAGATCTACTTTCGGATGTTCAAAAGTCAAAATGAAACCACCATTGTTAAGAGAAGCGAGTGCATTTTTAAGAAGCTGTCCGTCCTTAAGAACATTGGAAGTTACCACAAGGTGCAAGTTGTTTCCGACAGCTTCCTTTCCTAGTTCTTTTTTCAAAACTTTTCCGTTTAAGTTGTTCAATAAATCTTTGAAAGTGTCAGAATTTGGACATGAAAAGCCCAAATCGACACTGCACTGTGGTTCCGATTCAAGAACGCTAACAACCATCGGCGCAAGTAGGCTGTCTGCTTGTACAGTTTCCTGGTAAACCTCTACTACGTTCAGTTTCCTCGCACCTCCAGAATTTTCCAAAACTAACTGCAAAGCTGAAGTCACTGCATCTTCGAGTTCGACTTCCTTCAATTGATTGAACGGTACAAAACTGTACTGTTCGGTTTTCGGTGGCGCTTGTACGCCAATCCTTCTTGGAGCCTGACTTGCCATCATGCCTCTAATCTCAACTCCTCCAGATCGTACAACTTTACTATGTTTGTGCATTTCAACCGGAACTTCTGTTTATAGAAAATAAAGTCAATAATCTATTTTGAAACAGGATAAAATATTTTAAATAATTTTTACCATTGGTGTCTTTTACGAGGTTAAGATGTAACGCTGGATCGATGGTAACCCTGAGAATCCTTGTAGGAACGTAAAGCTCTCTGGTGTTCATGCCGACGAGAGAAAACTGAAGCATTGTGTCCATGAAACTAATCCAGTTGTCTTTCCATTCAAGAACGCCATTAGCACCGACATTGTCGCAATGCTTGATACCCTGGAAAAGTCCCTGGTAGCCATATCCTCTGAGACGTAGGTCTCTGTAAACCTCTCCTTTCTCCAGTTGTTTTTTATCGCACTTGACAACGGGAGCACTCAGCTTCAGACCATCCACTTCCAGACCGGAAGATTCCACAATTTTACCGTTAACGACCAAGGCGTCACCCTCTGTCAGTTCAAAGCTTCCACTAACGTCGTTTATGTTTATAAAAAACTTGACAGAAGCTGAACAAATATAATCATTTATTAATTAAGATTAAGGCATTATGTATAAATAACTTACCATCTTTAGGCATGATTGTCGCTCTCAAGATGTTAACATTTTCAAACCTAACAGGGGTACTTTCAACATCTTTATTTTTTAGTTTAGCGAAGGCTCTCCATACAAGTGTCTATAAAATATCAATCATGTAAAAAACAAGAAAAGTTATTAACTATGTATGAATAATTTTTCTTACAAGATATCCAGTCGCAGGGAATAAAACTCTTCCATCTATATTGTGACCAGAGATGTAGGCATCTTTTTCATCTTCTAAACTCACTACGACTTCCATGCCGCCTTTGGAGTCACCCTGAAATTATTTTTAAGTCATAAAAGTTCATTGAAGTGTCAAATAGGTTCTTCACCGCTTTGTAATCTGGAACGAGCCATGTTTGAGAGTGGTCCCATTTGATACGAGGGGAAATCATCGGAGTCGACCTGGCTACAGGGAAGCTTGACGGCTTGTGGAAAAGGCTCAAATCTGGGTTCAAGCCTGAGACAAACATCCTGAAAGAGAAAAACATTAATAACTGTCAAAATAAGTCATCTTTAAAAATTTTAAAAAAATTTAAAACAATACTTACTTTCCAACGTTAGACATGAACCAGGCAAGGTCATCTTCCACACCTCTTTTGACAAGACCTATGTTGATACAACTTTTGGGAATTGTCTTTTTAAGAACTGAGTTGAGAAGGCAGTGAGGTGCAATTTCAATGACAGTCGCATTTTCTGGAATCATCGTAGCCACTTCGTGGAAGAGTACGGGTGATAATAGATTATTGACAAAGTACGCTGGAGAAGCGTGTTGTGCGATCTGAGAGCCCCAGCCAGCTTGAGGGATGGATGAACTGAGCCATTTGTCACTTCTTTTTTTCGGCGATGTAATAGTCTAATTTAAAAAAAATAAAAATAAAATTATAACATATTATAAAAATCAAGAGTTTGGTTATTAAAACTTACACTTTCAAGGTTTTTTCTAAGGATTGGTGCAGCATCTTTGATGTAAGGGGAATGGAAAGCTATTTTTGAGCTTGCAACTTTCTTAGCAAAAATATTGTCAGCTTTAAGAACTTTTACAAATTGTTCTACGTCATCATTCGGTCCAGAAATGGTGACACTGGTTTCACTGTTATGACAGACAGCATTAACCCTAGGAGGGCATCGTTTTTTAGTCTCTTCCCATGTGAGGCCTACAGCGGCCATGCCCCCTTCGATCAGACCAGCGTCCAAGACACTCTTCCCTCTCCAGTAGGCGGAGAGTATTGTCTCTTCGAGCGTCGTGCATCCATCTGCGTATCCACATGCGACCTCTCCGGCTGAATGGCCAATTATTTTATCGGGTTTAATACCAAGGGCGGTCAGAAGATCGACCAGAGCAATCTGCACTGCGGCGATGCCAACAAACGAGTTGACTACGTTACTAAAAGTCTCTTCAGTAGAGTTGGTCAACAGGTCTAGCAGATCGAATCCTTGCTGCTTCAGTATCGATGCACATCGGTGAATTGCAACAGCAAATGGCTCAAAGCACATGAACGCTAGTCCCATTCCAGGCCATTGAGCTCCCATACCAGAAAACACAAACCATATCTCTCTCCTGCCTGGCTCTTCCTATAATACATTACATAAAAATTTTATATTTAAAAACTTGAAAAAGTTGTAACTTTTTTAATAGCCAAAATTATTGTACGTTACACTTACAAATACTTCACGCATATTTTTTCCATCTTTAGTGCCTAGAACAGTGTAGCCTCTGAACGGATGGCCAGGGATGTGTTTCTTATAAGTAGTATGTAAAAGAGTAATCAAATCATCATCTCGTGGTGTCGTTTCCATCTGGGAAAAGGAAAAATGTGAAAAATGTTAAGAAAAGCAATTTTGATTTACAAACTTACATATTCCAAGAAAGAATCGACAGCCTCTTCTGTCCTCCCTGAAAGGCATACGAGCCTTGGGACGTTATCCTTCGCAGGAGGAGTTTTTGGCTTTGTATTAGGCTTAAGAACAGCGTGTGCGTTTGCTCCACCGAAACCGAATGAATTAACGGCAACCAGACCTGGGTTCCAATCGAGATTCTCATTGACTACCTTGATACACAAACAGTTTTATTATGTGAGCTTAGAATATTGCACGGATGTCTTTCTACCTTCAATCTTCCATCGAGTAAACCAGGAATATCTGGGTTTGGATCTTTAAAATGCAAATTTGCAGGTATTTTTCCACTTTCCATTGCAATAACTATTTTGGCTAATGAACAGACTCCAGAGGCTGGTTCAGAGTGTCCCATATTGGATTTAACCGATCCTATGAGTAAAGGTGATTTCCTTCCTTTGCAGAAGAAGTCTGCAATTGAATTTATTTCCTGAGGATCTCCTACCTGAAAAAAACACAAATAAAAAAATAGAATGGTTTTTAAAAAGCCATTTTCTTTGTTTTATATTACTTTCGTTCCAGTCCCATGGGCTTCTACGTAGGTGATATCCAGAGGATCAAGTCCTCCTTCTTTGAATACTTTTTCAACAAGTGTTTTCTGCATTTTTCCACTTGGGAATGTAATGCCTTCCTGCTTGTTTCCGTCTATATTAGTCCCGGTGTTAAGAACGTACGCATATACTCTTCTGGAGTCCTGGGCTCTTTGCAGGAATACACAAGCGACTGCTTCACTACGCACGTATCCACTCCCTGTTGAGTCGAAGGCTTTGCACTTTCCTTCAGCGCTGAGCATGTTAAGTCGTTGAAACTGGACCGAGTTGACCGGCTTGAGAAGAATATTCGCACCGCCTACAATAGCGGCGTTGATCTCTCCTGATTTGATAGCTTGGGTCGCAAGGTGAAACGCGATGAGAGAACTAGAGCAAGCGGTGTCTACAATAAAACTAGGCCCTTTAAAGTCGAAAGTGAACGATATCCTATTTGCCATCATGGACAAAGTTGCACCGGTCATGTTGTAACCGCTTATCTTGTCAACATTACGATTTAAAAGATCGCCAAACTCGGTTGTAGAAACACCGATATACACGCCGGTTTTGGTACCCCTCAATTCCTCAGGGTTCATACCTGCGTCGAGAATCGCTTCGTACGACTTCTCCAAAAGGAGCTTCATCATAGCGTCCATAGCATCCGCCTGTTTTGCGTGTACTCCAAAATAACTACTGTCAAATTTTGATATATCGTTGATCCTACCAACTCTCACCGGGAGTCCGTATAAACCTGGAATCAAATATTCAACTTTATTTTCAAAAACACAAACATTTCAGTTTCTTGCTATTCCATCTTCAGCTGAGGTTTTCTAACTCAGACATTATATTATTTTATATTCACAAAAATACAATATTTTTCATTTCAAAAAACACAGCTAATCAACACCTCTCATATCAAGATAACATTAGAATTTGAAAAAATTAAAATAAACAACTATCTTTAACAATAAAACCAAAATTCAATTGACATACTGAATAATAATCAATAGCAGAATCAGTTCATTTTTAGATTTAGATCCATGAAGGAATGGTTTCTTTGCATTCTTTCACCATCCAAATTTATAGTTTGGTTTCCAGAATTGTAATCAGTGTTATATTGCAGTTGCCAATAAGCCAGCACTTTTATGATAGTTTTAATAAGTAGATTTTTACTGCAGTCTTTTATTTTTCTGGTTATTCTGACTTTTAAATTATAAGAAGCCAGCACCAAAAAGAACATAATTGTAAGAAATTTAGAGTTGAAATTGTGTGCATTGCTATGACAGAAGGCAGCCTTTGTATTGTAGTAGAGTGTCATAAAAATGACAGTTTTTCTTGCTAATTTAAAAATAATTTTCTTTTGACACAATTTGTTGTTAATATTCAAAGTATGCCATCTTGAGGCCAGCTCAATTCCACCAAATTCTTATTATAATATTAATAATAATTATTCTAATTATAATTTTTCCTTTTGTGTAATGAGAAGTGTGTGGTCGAGCATTATCTTGTTGGAAAAAAAATTCTATTTACTAATCCAGGGTAACACTGGTCAAAACATCATATATTTTTTGTAACTGCTTCAAAGTTTTGAATCAATGGTTCGATCTTCTGTAATGAACCCGTAATGAATTATGACTTTGTAATTCCAAAATACAGAGAGCATGGCTCTTTGTTGTTTTGCTCTTGTTTAGCGACTGGTAGAGCAGGCTGATTGCGGTCTAGCCATTGTTTCTTGATCTTGGGGTTTCTCCAATTTCATTCCAACTAACTATTATTTTGATGAATCGAAGGTTATTTGGGTTTTTTAAAAAGCTGACATTCCTACTTGGCATCATGCCTGCTCAATAGTCAACTCATGAGGAACCAATTTTAATGAGCGATTCATTTTCCTCAAGTCCACGATTTATGATAAATTGGGAAACTCTAAGCTCTCTTGCTTCTTTTGTTGGGTCTGCATCAACAGAGTCCAACATAGCTTGCTCATCGAATGATGATTTTCATCCAAAACCCTTTCCGCTTGAGGCTGGTGTCATTCTCTTCTTCAAATTGCCACACCAAATGGATTGTTTGTACATTGTAAAACTTACAATTCCTATAATGGCATAATATTACAAAACTTTCCAATTTCCAATCACGTTGTTTAACCAAACTCTAAGACAAAACTGAATGCATGATGAAATAATTTTTTTACACATTCATGTGTTATAGAACACAGATTAAAGTGGTATAAAATCTAATTGGTTTGGAAATCAAATAAAACCTATATGGGAAGACGATTTCCAAGAAAATGAAATTGGTCTTTTTTTATGATCCACCCTATTATTTATTTTGTATTTATTATAATAAATATATTATATATTGTGCCTCATCATCTTGCCTCCTCCCTCATATAACATTAATATATATAACTCAAAATTAGAGGGCTGCTTCGTAATAAATGTGTCTACACAAAATATTAGTTAATTTGTATAATTATAAATTAAGGTGGTATTAGACTTCTTCCTTAGCATAAGAAAAATTGTGTTGTTTTTTTCAGTATATTCTATAAGATGCTTTTTTTATGTTATTTAACTCTTTCCCAAGAAAGGATTTAGTTATTTTAGTAAGCTTTATTCTTTTGCTAAAATACATCAAAAAAGAGTTATTATATGCAAGTAAATGGAGTAGCGTTAGCCATTTTCTGAAGAACTTGTTAATTTCTTTGATTCGTTCTGTTAAAAAGATTGTTAACCTATATGCCTGTTGTATACATTGTATATGTACATCTAGATATTTTGTCTTAAGTTTTATTATACAAGTCAATTCTTATTGTATTATTTTCTGCTGACTGCACACCCAGATAAATATGTATATAGGAAAATTTTTGTTTTTATCTTACCATCTGGCCACCTTTTGACGTCTGTCTCTACCATGTCGACATGTTCGAAAAGATTGTTCTTGAATTCTTCCATGTTGTCCGACCTCGGGAAGGCACCGGAGACGCCGCAGAGGGCCACCTCCTGCATCTCCCTGAAGCCGTTGAGTTCGGGCCCGTGGGCATCTGAAGTAGTCCTGGCCGGCATCGTTCTGCAAATGAACGAATAAAGAAGCAATTTAAAATCTGATGATTTTGTGGGTCAAAAGAGGAGGATAACCCAGGGTCAAGGTGCATTCATTCGTCTTTCGATTCTGATAAATATTACATTATGGCGTCTTTTTTTTTTTTTCTTCTTCTTTGCCATTATCTACCTAATCTTTAAATGTAATCTGATGGCCAATGTCTCAAGAGGTCATGAACCATTACCTCTGTGTAAAAAGGACCAAGAAAAAAATCTCCAAATTCATGCTAAAAATCAAAATAATTCGAAAAATGAAACCCTGAGGGGTTGATACCTAAAGAAATTTAAAACAAACTAGCCACCAGGAAAATTAAAATAAACAATTCTACCTAACTAAAATAATAAATTTGTGAAATGAACAAAGCCATTTAGAAAGTCCTGTATTAAAATGAACTTACTTCCAGGTGATATTTGTGAGAACTATGACACAGTCTGCAATGGCAGTGTTAAAAAAGTAGCCAGTCTTTATTCAAATTGGTTGAAGATAAGCCACTTAAAAGATCATCCTGACAACGCGTGTAACACTTTCACTCATGACCTGACATAATCATAATCAAACAAAATCCAACTCTTCAATACGTTATCTAGTTCAAAATTTATTTAAAAAAAAAAAAAAAGCACCAACTCACAGAGATAATCGAAGAACCACATAATAATATAAATTCAAATTAAAACAAATCAATTTCTATTTATATTTGGGATAAAACATGTACAAGTAAAATCCGAGATAGTTCATGATCAAAAACTTGAAAACTAACTAATCGCAGTACAATTCAGAAAAAATATTGACTATCTTTCAATAAAAAAGTATTGTTAGCACTTTTTTTAAAAGATAGTTCTGTTCACAGAAGTTTGTGGGAACTTCTGGGTGGAAAACTATCTTTTCCACAAAGTGAATTGCCATAGTCACCAAACATCAAATCATTTGTAATCTGTAAAAAACATCCAGGAGGGCGATTCTTTATCTATGTCGTCATGTCAATCATAAAAATTTCCACCTTGAATAAATTCAAATATCTTTTTCCAAGAGTAGAACCTTTTCAAACATATATAGAATGTGTAAGTAAGATGCATTAAACTAGGATAAATCCGAAAATTTAATCAACAATGTGGAGAAAAGTGGTGTCAATAAAGAAAATTACAAAACCAAGTGTGTAAGTAAAATTGGATTAAAGATTTTTTAATTAAAACGAAAATAATAAATAATCAGGTAAAATTTCAAAATTTAGCAACTACATTAAAGAGATTACATAACCACAGAGAAAACTGCGAGATTTTTACAGTAAAATTTTGAAAAGTTTTCTTCAGTTGGGGAAACAATTAAAATTTCGAAAATATATTTACAAGGTAAGGGAAGTTTAAAGGGTAAATCTAACATAAAAATAACTTTCAGAATAAAGCCTCGCCATAATATTTGTACCTTTGAACTTCATTGGAACAACAAAGATAAATAATCATTGAGTAAAATTTCAACAATTTTCAAAGCTGTTATTCTAAAATTTAAAAATTCACTGGTACAATTTATAATTTTTTCCAACTATGTACATTCACCAGATGAAAATTTAGATATAACCGTTTTTTATCCAGCATAGATAAAATTTTGATATTTTGGAACAGTGCAATTGAAATGTAAATCTTAGTACAAACCTTTACAAAAATAGAAGGAATATAAGTAGAATTAGTTATTTATTCAAAAAGCAAGATTAAAGAATTATATGGATCGGCTGGCATTTCTTGTAAAAAAAAAATGGAAAGTAAATTTCTTCAATAGTACTTATACAAAATTAACTCTTTCTTTCTTGGGTTATATTTAGAAATTAGTCCCTCCCCCCCGAATTTTAACTTAAATTAGGAAATTTTGCTTTTCAAGGAGCTGAACAATTTTTTTTTTTAAACGTATTTTTTCAAAAACAACTACTACACAATTTTGAATCAAAATGATATCCTAAGATCCTAAGATTTTAAATGTCTTTTTTCAAAAACAACTACTACACAATTTCGAATCAAAATAATATCCTAAGATTCACAGGCTGTATAGAAAAAGGTGCTATTCAAAAACGTTGTAACAAAAAGTCTAAACTGACAAATTGCACCCTTATTTAACACAAATCCTAGAAATTTAATAGAAAATCCTGGATACAAAGATAGATATAACCGTTTTTCATCCAGCATAGATCTGTTGATAAAATTTTTGATATTTTGCTACTGTGGTGGTTCCATTGAAATTTAAATGTTAGTACAAACCTCTAAAAATATAGAAGGAATATAAGTAGAATTTGTCGTTTATTCGAAAGATAAAATTCACAATAAAGAATTATATGGATCGGCTGCCATTTTGTAAAAAAAAAATGGAAAGTAAATTTCTTCAATAGTACTTATACCAAATTGACTCTATTTCTTTCTTGGAAAATTTTGATAACCCCCCCCCCGAATTTTAACTTAAATTAATAAATTTTGCTATTCAAGAAGATGAAAAAAATTTTATTTTTAATGTCTTTTTTCAAAAACAACTACTACACAATTTCGAATCAAAATAATATCCTAAGATTCACAGGCTGTATTGAAAAAGGTGTTATTGAAATACGTTGTAACAAAAAGTCCAAAATGAGAAATTACACTCTTATTTAACACAAACCCTAGAAATTTAATAGAAAATTCTGAACAATTTACAGTTATTTATTATAGTACTAATAAAGAAAACAAATTTTCACCATTGGGACAAATGGTGTTTGCATTATCATTTTTTTAAAGACAATTTTATTATTTTTTACAGATGTATTCATTAATTTGTGTAAATGAACAATGGCATGAAATATTGACCAGTCTGTTCAGACAAAGTCCGTTTAAAATGACCAGAGATCACATTTTTGGCTTATGTCGCTCTTAAACCCAAGGGTTAAACTTTATCTGCCCGGGTTCGAATCCAGCGGCCAGACATACTAACAAATGGGCTTTCTTTTTTTTATTTAAACACTGGCACCCTGAGGGTTGATATGGCGCCTGATGTTGCGAACTCTCGTAAAAAAAAACCTTATCTGATTGATTCATTTGCATTTAAGAATTGTGATAAAAGTCTATCTTCGGGGCCAAGGCTGGAGAATGTTCCATTGGCTTGAGGGGGGGGGGATTCGCAAAAAAATCCAATTTTTGATCATTCACTGCTAATTAAATACCGGTATTTATCTTTTGTCCAGCTTTTCTTCCTTTCAATTCTTCACGATTTGAAAAAAAAAACAGTTAACGATTAAACACTCCTGTGCTTAAGGTTTCTCAGGCAGGTGCGCAAAGTCTTCTCGTGGCCGGTGGACCAAAACGGAGAAAAAGAAACGACCAATTTTCTGACCGACCGTTCAGCATGAAGCCACGTTTTTTTACAAATATTAAAACAAACAGACAAATAAAACAACGACCGAAAAATCAATGTTCGGCTTTAAATTATAATTATATATTAGGAAAACTATAAGGGAAGAGGTCAATTAGAAAGAAAAGACATCCATCGTGAAGCCTTCGAGCAACCACGTTTCAAGCATCGAGCAACCACGTTTCAAGCATCAAGCAGAACGAGATTAAATATTGAAATCGCAAGGTACTTAGGCATCAGATTGAACACTTATGCATCTATAACCAACGAGGGCTTCAAAATTATTAATTAAAGTTTCTAAGTCCTGATGAAGTCAAAGTTCAAAGTCCCCTATATATGGGGGTATATATACCCTCCATTTTCTTTATAACTGGTTTCATCCCTGATTTTTTTCTCAACTTAGAATATTTATTGTATAGGGTAGAAAATAAGCTTTATTGAGAATATACGAATAGATATTTTAATGAAACTATAGGAAAAAGGAAGCTTTGTCGAATTATTTTTTTACACATTTGCACAAAATAACGAACTTACCTGTCCATATTTAAAAAGCTCTAATTTCGAATCGGACGATCCAAATCCACTGCAAATTCGGCACTGTGGGGGGGGGGGGTCGATGGATAAATAATAAAACGTGTAATAAAAAAAACGAGCTGGGTCGTAAACCCGAAGACAGTCTGAGCCCGATTGCGAATTTTCCGCTGTGGCCGACCGGTCTTCATTCGGTTTTGTGATAACCCCTGGCGCAAGGACGACGCTGGAGGGGGGCAGTTCATGATCATCCCTGATGGTCGTGAAAACGACCCGAGTGACATGACAACCAGTTGAATACGTAAGGGGGAAAAAACCTACATCTCCCCTCGGGTGTCAACAATGCTGGGAAGAATTTGATTAGCTAATCGCTAAAAAACAACGAGCCGAAACGGACCCATTATCAACAGCTAATACATCCAGCCGTAGAACGCACGTCTTTGATGCACTCCTTACTCCACAGGGCTTCCCAAACTCCTACCCTGACTAGGGGGTCCGCGAACGTCAAGAAATATAAATAACTACTTAAAGAAACGTAGAATGAATAAATAAAATTAAAAACTAATAGCCAAGAAGAGTGAAAACCAAAAGTTTTTTTAATTTTGCAGCATCAATCATCGTCTACGGACATGCTTTACCTATGAAATGAATGCCAGCCTCTTTTAAGAAAGTATTGGATGAATCTGTTTAAATTATTAATCATATCATGCCAGTGGAATTGGAAAAAAATGCTTAGGTACCACAACAGCTACTTAAATTCGGTATGTATGGAGGCTGACGAGGGTAGCTCATTGTGTGATTTGTACGAAAGTCTTTCCGGTTCAATAATTTCAGCTAAATTCGTCGTCATTTTGAGAGTGGAAAACACCCAGAGCTCCGGGAAAAGCAGATTTTTTTCATGAGAAAGCGCACTGAACTGGCTAATTCTCAAACTTTCATTAAAACTCATCCAAAAGCTGTCAATGAAAACTCACTGAACGAACGCGCCTTAATTGATTTTCTTCTTGTTCGTCTTCCAGCTACAAATTACCTATAAGAATCCGGATTTTCTGTCTATACAGCCACCATAACTAAACACCGAAGCTGTCCAAATGCTGAATCAGTCATCAGTCTCCAGCTAACAACGATTAAAGCCAACATAACCAAGTTTTGCAGGCTAAAACAACCTCACTCTTCCCATTAATTCATTAATAATTAATTATTAATTCCCTTCTGTCCAATATGATTTTTGTGTTCCGCATGTCAATCTAATGTTTGTTTTCATTTTCCATCACCTAATGAGGAATCGACTGGCTAATTTAGAAAACTTTACTACATATACTTTAAGTATCTTAACTTTAAATACTCCCTGGGTATGTATATATATGCCCTGGATTATGATCTGTTAAAGGTGTCCGCTGGATAAAAAGTTAGGAAAGCCCTGCTCTATAGTTACAAGTTCTCTTTATTACATTGCGTTCCGGTGTAGGGTCTTAAAATATCTTGGCTTACTGGAACCCTAATAAACCCCCCCCCCCATTGAAACTGTCGTAAGTCATATTTCTTCGGGATCTGTAAGTACCAGTTATGAGTCAAAATAGAGTACCCAGAATTTTGACTACCCCGAGTAATAAATAATGCGACTGTTTTCAGAAATAGTCTATAGTTTATCTTACAGACTTATACGAGAATTCCTTAAAAGACCTAAATTAAAAGAATTTAATTATAGTAGTTGCAATATTATTCATCGTTTTAGAATCTTTATTGCGCTCGTGCCCAGCTATTGAACAGGGCTCCTTTTGAGATATATAGTCTTCCTTTTTTAAAAAGATAGTTCCTACTCACATCAAGTTGTTTTCAATGATCCGGATTTCGAGCTTTTAACTCATCATCAGGTTATAGAACTCCTTCAACTTACTACTTACATCAGCTTACTCTGAGTAGGAATTATCTTTTCAAAAAGGATTGAACACCGCAGTTCAGGCCCTTAGCGTAATAAATATTTCTTAAAATTTGTTATTTCCAAGCAGATACGCCAGATTGACCTTAATACGTTTTGCTCTCTATGCCGTTTAGCCGAAAAGGAGGACCTTTCATATCATTTGATTTAATTTAATTTCATCATCGTTTATTTAATTTAATGAGGTTTATAAACCTTCAGACCGGCAAGCCTCGTGAACCTACTGAATGGATCTTCAAGCAAACGTTTGACGGTGGATACCACTTTATATCAAAAGCTATGGGAATTAGTTTGCATGAGTAAAACTTGACTATATAAATGGAAATTGTACTATGACAATTTTGTTATTTTAACTTTTTATTTATTTTATTTATGTATTATATCATTTTATTTAACCTTATACCATCCCCGAGGAATATAGAGTACTCGGGGGTGAGCGTGTGACGTCTGGAGAGTAAAAGTAATTTATTAGCGTGAAAGGAAGGGGTTGCTTATAACCCCGCCCCGAGGAATGTCGAGTACTCGGGGGGGGGGGGGATGTGACCACTATGTTTGTGGTGATGTATATATATGTATTGTATGTTTTGTTTCGATTCTGTATTTGACAACCTGTTGGTACAAACGAGACTAGTATTCTAGGATATCAACGTAATATATATTTGAAAAAAAAAGTCACTAACCAGATCCAGTCGTTTAAATGGCTGCAGTTTAAAACAAAATACGCACGAAAGAAGAGAAAAAGAAGGAAAACACGCAGAGGGCCGGCGATGACCTCAGCTGTTTGTCGGCCCATAAACTTCCCACTTTATTATTATTATTTAATCTTATACAGTTGATTTTTTTATGTGGTTGCCTGTATTATAAGTTTTTGATAATTGTTAGTTGTCCTGATAATTTGTTATTGTATTTGAACTTTTATTCATGCAGTGAATGAATTAGAATGTCAGGCTTCCTGAACGTGTGGATTCATATATTTTTAACGAGGGTACTCAATAGCAGAGGTCATATCAACCCTCGGGGTGGCGATGTTTTTGAAAAATAAACCTTTACGTTACACTGATGAGTGCCGTGTCAACGCCTGAACATTCATAATGTTAAGCAGGTAATAAATAAAAATAGTTATAAGATCTTTGATCAGCACTATGCCAGCAAATTTTTCACAACCGCTGCTTTTCAACGACCCAAGACAAAACTGTGCACTGTAGCCCTTTTAACACCCGTCTGACAATTTTTCTTACTCGTATCTCTTTTAAACAAAGAAGAAGCTGAGTTTCTTCCTCATAAAAGCTAGTCACCGTTAAATAATTTGCTTGGGTGTTTCTAGTCTGGCCTGTGGTAATCGAACGAGCAGCCAGCCAACGGGATTAAAGCAGTGATTCTTTTTTTTCTTTCTTTCTCTCTTCTCTTCTCCCTTAGGAGGCAATTTCGTCGGAATTTGCAGGAGAACCGTGCTGCTTCAATCTCGTACACCTACTTTCTATTCTCAGGTGGAGCTGTAAAACAGTTAGACCATTTAAGTAGTACAACACGCCAGAATGTATATGTTATACGTCAATTCGCAATTTTTTGTACAATTATTGAAATTTATTTATTCTTAAAAACCAATTTTTTTTTTATTCGTCCGGTTAGAGGAGATTCTAGACTACTGGTGTGAAAATCTGAAAGCTGAATACAATCGATCTCTACCAAAGAAATGGGAAAGCGTCTCTAATACGACGGGAAAAACTATTTTCACCACTTTTGCCTCCGAGTTTCTTTCTGTCTCGGACTCGGACTCTTTGCCTTTTGAAGTTTATAATTATCACAAATGGTTGATTTGTAGGATCCATAAAGTTGAGCTGGACGCGATAAACAAAAAAAGAACTATTTGACTACATTCCTCATCATCAAATACTTCCAAGATGTTTCTTTTGGAGACCAAACAATAAATAACCGCCAGTTTTCAAATATCTGATAAAATACATCCATTATGACCATTAAATCTATTATGTTTAGTGGTCTGATTGACCAAATTACTTATTTCAATTCTTTGTATGTAAGGTCTTGGTTGAAATGAAAAAGCTACTGTCCCGAGCGGGATTCGAACCCACGACCTTCGGCTCGATACGCCACTGCTATAACCATTAGAGCTATCGCGAACTGAGTTCGAATCCCTCTCGTGACGCTAACTTTTTCATTTTCAACCAAGGCGTTACATACAAAGAATAATTAATTGAAAGACCTATTTTAAATATTGGTTTGTGGAACTGAAAAGAATTATCCGGGTATAATAATTGCAAAAGACTACGAATAAAATTTAAAAAAAAAAGTTTAAAAATATTACTTATTCTTAATAAGAAACACTTAATTATTTAATTTATAATGCATAGGTACATAGAATATGTCTAAAATTTTATACTGTTATTTTACTTTGTTTTCGATTACGATTTTTTTATTGGTCCGTCCTCGTTGCCCTTTATAATTTTGTTGATCTCACGTTTAAAATAATTTAAAAAAATGTAGCCTTTAATTATTGGAGCTGTTTAATTTTCTTTGTTTCTAAAAGGATAGATGAATGTCGGTTGTCATCGCTCTCGTTTCCCGTCGTCAATCTGCGAAGAGGTCGATGGCCCGTCCTTTCTATGGAGACCTTCTAATTCGGTTTCTCCTATTTTTTTTCCTTTTCGTAACCCTTTTCTTTCGCGTCAAAGCCGGCCGAATATCATGTTAACATTGATGAAATCAAGACGAACTTTGGCTATGTGGAGCAAAGGGTTTCATCAACTTCCGATGCCGTAGGTCAAGAAATCCTCCCTCAGCGCGTTTTTGCACGATATACATCATATACCGCATGATAGACGTCGGTTAATGTAGATGTTTTCATTATTTCGACGATACAAAGTGAAAAATATATTTTTTCCTACTTCACGATATCGCGAACGGTATGGTATGCTCGCCGACTTTTAACCCGGTGGACAATTAATTCGGATTGTTCGACTCATTTCAATTTGTTTTTGTTCCGTTGTTTGCACGACACGTTTTCTTGATCAGACAACAGCAATGCCGACCAAAGGAAAAAATTATCTTGAGTAAACAATGGCCCGGTGGTACGTTCATAGAAAAAACAGCTTGGCTTTTGTAACAATAACTTTTTCCCATAAACAACAATATTTCTGCATCATTTATGCCATAAATTCATTTTAAATTATAATTTAATTTGAGTTAATTATAAATAATTG